TCCGGCAGCTGCGAAAAAGCTCGGCCGCTCTCGTCGTGCTCGCCGCCCCCTCCATCCCGCCAAGAGCCTGCTAGCCGCCATGCGGTCGACAGAGCGACGGCGACGCGCTCCCCACTCCCTTCACCCGGCCGCGCGGACGTTGCCATTCACCATCACACGCGCGGGGTTTCGCTCGCCCTCCTTGTCCCCGGCCACACTACACATCCTCTCCCAGACACCCCTTGCATCCCCGCCCGGCCCATGCAGCGCACCGCTGTGCGCGCCCTCCCGCGTCACCCTCCTGGCTGACCCAGCCTCCCTCTCCCAGTCCCACGCACCAACCTCCCCTCCCCGTTCGACTCTCGCCCTCCCCAGCCACGGACTCACGGGCCGATTGCGAGCACACGATGTGGGACTGTCGAGCACCACTTCAAGTCGACGCAGCAGGCAACGAGCCAGGTGTCGTGGACGGAAAGGTTGTCCAGCCCGTCCGGCATGGCCGCGTTGCCCACGACGATGCACAGTTCGACATCGACGCTGTCGGGGTCCACCACGATCCCGCCCAGGGCGCGAACGAGGCTGCGACAGCGGTGCGTGCGGGCGTCTGCGCCCCCCGCGACGACAATACTCCACTCCTCCAGGAGCAGTCCCGCGTCGTCACCGTCCTGCGACCCCCCCCCCTCGGCGTCTCCGCTCGATCGCGCCAGCGCGACCAGCTGCGCGAGGGCCGCCGCCACGTCCTCCGGCGTCTCCGGCCTCGCGTCCTTCCACGCCGCACCCGTAAAGCACCGCAAGCCCCGCGCCACGGCGGCGAGCGCCGCCCTCGCGGCCTCGCGGCAGCCCCCGTGGCAGTCCTCGCCGACGACCACCACGCCGTCGCCCTCCAGGCCGGACGCGTCGTCGACGCAGTGCCCGCCCGGACGCGCCGCGATCGCCCGCCGGGTGTCGTCGCCGCAGCCGACCATGCAGACGCGGCACGCTGCGGCCGCCTGCGCAGGCGGGGCGCGGCCGCCGGCGCCCGCGCCACGAGCAAGGAGCTCGTCGCCCCCTCCCTGCGCACCGAGGTCCTGCAGGGGTCGTGCGATCTCCGCACGATCCGTGGCGGGCCTTCCTGCCCCGTTGCGCTTCTCGGCGGGCCCACCCGGCGCCATTCCGTCGGTGCTCAGGCCGCGCTTCCGTGCGCCGCTGGTGGGCTGCTTCACAGCGCCACCGGTCGCCGCCGTCGACGCGGGCGGCGCCTTGCTGGGGTCAGGGGCCAAGGACAGACCGATGTCCCCGACCCTGCTTGCGGGGCGCTCGGCGTGGTCCGCGACGTACCGCAGGTGCATGGCGTACGTCTTGCGGTGCTCGACCATCGCGTCTGCGGCGGCGCGGCCGATGAGCCAAACCACCTCCTCCACGCTGCTGTGCCAGTCACGGCCCAGCCCCAGAGCCGAGCGCGCGCCCCTGTCTGGCCGGAACTGCTTCCCGTCCTTGTGCGCCTCGACATACGCATAAAGGGCCATCGGCGGATCGAGAAGCGCTTGCGCCGTGGGGGTTTGACGCTGGCGGCAGAGCGCTTCTAGCACGGCCTCGAGGTAGTGCTGGTCGAACATCGCGGCCTGCACTTTCTCCAGCTGCGCCTCCGTCTCGGTTTCCTTGCGCAGCGCCACGCAGCGGCAGTGCTGTTGCGCAGCGTCGCCGTGCAGACACCGCCCACCCTGCGGTAAGAACCGCGTCGTCGCACTGCGCGCACTCGTCGGCCACGAAACCTCCGACTGATAAATTTGACGCCCTGGCGCGCACATATCCCCGCGTCAAAGTGCGAAGCTTCCACGCAGCGAGGCAGCTGCCTCTCGAGAGCAGGAACTGCCAACCAAGTTCAGCGGCAGCTCTGTGGTGGGCGCAACGTTCCCGCGAGTGGACTTCGTCGCGTACCTGACAGTGTTTTCCGACCCGCGGCAAGGCCGAACGCAAGAAAGCGTGGCTCAGCCCTCCGTCCGGCCCCTAGAGGTGATGGAGTGTTGCCGGGGCAGCTGGAGCTCGAAACGCTCGCCCGTACCGCGACCTGGGACCTGTCGCTTCCTCGACCCTGTGGGGACCGCGCGTGGCTACCTCGATGCACGGCTGCCTCAGTACCGACGTGTTCGTCCTGCTTGCAGTACCCCGTTCAACGAACGTCCGTACGGCAAGCCGCACAGAAGTGTCTTCACGCCCTGCCCAGGATGCGCAGATTGGTGGTATGCGCAGTGAGTCGTTTCGGGCAGACGCGAGGACTCATGTAGAGAGTCGTGCCAAGGCTTGCCCCAAAAGGGCCCAGTCCCCGGCTGACAGTCGAGCCCACGTTCCCTCGCTGAGCCTCCAGAAGGAAACGCCGGCGCGGTGCGTGCGCATAGGCTTGTTCCGCACTCCGCAAGGTCGCCTGCCACTTTCGCCGTTGTCTGTGCGGTGCAGCCAAGCCTCGAGCGAGAGGGCATCGTGTGGCCTAGACTGGGGCTCGCATAGCTGTGCGAGCGGCGTCGCCAGCTTGTAGGTAGGCAGATGAGTGCAATCCGCAGCCAAGTACCCGTGTCACACGGGTCAGCGTGGTGCACGCAGCGGACCCCTTTCCGCCCTCTCTGCCAAGCCAGCAGACGACCGCTTGCGCGGGCGAAACCGGACGAGAATGAACCACCCTGCGGCCAACCTACTTCCGAGGACGGAATGAATGTGCAGGCACGCCCCCCCGACCGGCAAGCGTGGGTTCAGCGGCTGTCGCTCATGTCGCACTTCAGCTCGACGCGCGTGGTGGGCCAGCGGCGCGGCGCAGCCGGGAAGGCCACTCCGTCTGCCGCTGTTGAGTGACGCTGCTTGCAAGTTATCGGCCAACCTGACGGTCTCCGCGAAGTATGCTCAGCGTGGGCACGGCTGAGTCGTGGCAGCAGCTCTTCGAGCACCGCGTGCGGGGCCGGCAAACTTCCTTGTCCCCGCACCACTCGCAGTATGTCACAGACTTTTCCGGCACTCCCCTCGAGGGCTTCGAGATGACCCAGAGCGGCGAATTGCGAGACAGGCAAACGGGCAAGGTGTGGTGTACAAGTCGACCTCCTCGGACAGCTTCCTCGGATGGGTCGGGATTGGTGGCCCGCCAAGTCTCCATCTTCATTGGCTGCATAGCGGGCCCAGCACAGCGATTGAATCCGATTGTCGTTGCAGGTTTTAAACTCTCTGGGTGCGACGCGCTTCGATGTTGCAGTGCGGGCGCTGCGGGGAGAGTTGACGCAGGGAATCGAGGACGACGACACGGAGGACCGGGCTAGCGGCCGCATTCTCGACAGCCTGACGATTTTTCCTGCCGAGTTCGAATTCAAGGTGGTCTGCAAGGGGGCCGGTGCTTCAGGGCGGGACATGCCAGACACATTTCTGCAGGACTTCAAAAATCTGGTCACATCACTCGCAGGCGTCTCCATCCTCCCGCAGGACATCTCCGTCAAGGAACGCATGAACGGCAAGTGGTTTTCCATTGCGATCAAATGCGTCGTTCCATCAGCCGACGTGGTGAATGCGGTGTTTGAAGAGCTGGGGAATGATGAACGGGTCGTGTTCAAATATTGACGCTGGGGTTTCGCCCAGAGGTTGGGCTGGGGGTGTGACAACACTTTGGTCCCGCGGCCATGAGCGTCGGCGCTCGATCGTCGGCCAGGGAGACCCTCGTGACTTCAGAAATGTCCTTGTGCGGGTACACTCGCAGCCTAGATTCCTCCCGTTGTGACACCTGTTGCAGCCTAGATTTCCGCGACGCGCCACGGCTAATGCCGCCGCCAGGGCGTGTTGTCCGCCCGGGGCCGCGTGCAGCGTCGTGACGCGCGTGCGCAAGTGTCTTGGAAACCCTGGATAAGCGCCTCCGCACGCCTCCGACGTCGCCGCGGCGGGCGACCACGTCCCTTCTATGACCTGCGCGTAGAAGCACGTGCCAGAGGAGCCGGGGAGCAACGGGCCCTCCGCAGGTACGCTCGCGCCCGGCATCGCACGCTACAAAGCAAGGCAAGGCCGAAGGAGGCGAGCCTCGCGGGCCCGTGCGCGCCTGGTGCTGCCAAAAACATGACACGACGTCGGGGGGGCAAGCTGAGGGCACAGGGCCCGGCTGCTTGTGCCCGCTGGCAGTGGGTGACTGATCGAGCTGCCATCATGGTAGTGATCGCCGGGCCGTCAGACACTGAATCCGAGGTCGGAACTCAGTTCCCCAGGGGGAGTCGGACTCAGTCCCCCCGCCGGTCCTCATTTGTTCCATGTGCGACGCCTAGGAAGAGCAGACTGGCCATTGCTGTGGTATGGGGCACGAAGCGTCTGCCCCCGTGCCCCTCCCGCAACTCCATACTCCGCTTCACCAAACGCTACAGCCTTGACGGATACATATTCACCCTCAACGACAACGACCACGTCACATGGACGCACCCTTCCCTGCTCTCCATCGAGATGACCTCTGCCCGCGCGCTCCGGGCCACCCTGCCGCGCTGGGCCATCGCACCCCCCCTGCAAACCTCCCCTGCTCCACCCTAACCCCCGTTACCGCACCCAACTCTATGTCCGAATCATACGTTTCGCTGTTATGGCGAGCAAGGCTTGGGGCGAAGGCCCCTGCCCGTACGGGCGGGCTGGCTTCTGGCTGGTCTTCCCCACCGTCAGCATGGCGGTGTCGCGGGATGAGGAACGGAAATGTCCGGCCCTCATCCAACACAACGCGGCGCCTGGGCTGTGTGCGACTGGTGGGGAGGGGGTCCCAGTCCCCTGTCTTCCGTGTGATTCCCTGTCATCATGTGCGACGCCTAGGAAGAGCAGACCTCATTCCGGTTGCGCGCCAGGGCACGCGACGAACCGAGGCACAGTGGCGTTCGCGATACTGATTGGTGCAGCTGCAGTGAAGAGCTGCTCGCGCGATGGCCACAGGGGGGCAGGCAGCCGCACCAGCCGCCGCCGGCGATGGTGCGGCTAATAATAATCGCGGGGGAGGCGGTCTATTCGGCGGCGGGCTCATGGGATCACTGTTTCGCATGTGGCTCATGATGCAGGTGGGCGCAACCAGCGCGCACGCAGAACCCGCTCACTCAGACACCATCGCGCTGGGCCGACGGTCTACCTCCACTGACTCATGCGTCCGGACTGTGTTTGTTGGTGCCTCGAGCGCCGTTTTCCTGACGCCCGGACATGCGGGCCCTTTCCGTGAGCGCTGCACACCTCCCGCCGGCGCGCGCAAGCCCGGGCCGCCACCTTGCCGTGCTATCGTGACCCGACCGAACCTCACAATTGTCGCTTCGTCCGCAACTCGCGTTTGTAGCCCAGATGGCCGTTGGCGCTTCCGCTTTGCAGCAGCCTAGCAGGTGCCCCGGCTTGCCGTGCTCACTGCTCGTGCGCGCTTCCTGGGGATCGCAGGTTTTCAACTACTTCCGTGGCTCCAGCGTCAAGGAAGGCGACCCTCGAGCCGTGGCACCGCTGTTCGTGGGCAACGACTTTGTTGACGTGCGCATGTACGTCAACACGAACAGCTCAGGTGCGACGAGCGTTGCTGCGCTCCACAGCCGCGGCCGTTCGCAGGCCCAGTCGCTGAGATCGTTGTCTGAGAGGTTCAAACCCCATGCGCAGGTTTGAGTGTCATGGAGCAGAAACCGGCGTGGGAGATCCTTGACACTCCGCTCCTCGTCAAAAACCCGCAGCACAAGCACCTTGAGATCGACATTCCTCAGGTGCTTGACGTGCTCGGTGCACGGTTGTCCGACGATGCGGAGCGGCATGTAGAAACGTTCTCAACCTTCACTCTGCTCTCGAGTTCGCAGGATGTCCTTGACAACGGCACAATGTGGCTCCACACCTTTGTCTGCCGCGCTGGGATGTTCCGTGACTATCCAAGGGAGCCTGGCGACCCGGAGTGGTTCGTCACAACTCATCCCATCACGGTGCACAAACCGAAGCGCCGCGTCAAGCAGTACGTGAATCTGCTCGAGGCAGAGCAGAGCGACATAGACCAGATGAAGAAGCAGGTGCGAGCTGGACTGGTCAAGCGTCGCGAAAGCCCTGGAAGTGCTGCCTGCAAGAGTTGGAGGGCGAGCCTACGTGTGCACTGCTCGCTTTTCACTTCTCGCCACGCTGCACCACGAGCGGCGCGCATCGGTCGTGTGGTGCAAGTGAGATGTCGGGATACGCGCAAGTACGTGCGAGCTACCTCTTTGCTTCTCCGCAGCATGAAGAGCTTGACTCCAAGCCGGCGGAAATCGTCAACTACTGGCGACCCAACATGACGATTCACGTCATCGACAATTTTGCACCATTTTACCCTCGTCAACTGAACCCTCTGCTACAGCCGTTGCTGAAAGTCTACAAGGACGAGAACCCTCACAGGTGGGGGAACCTGCCGCGCCACATCTTGCCGCTGTCGCATGTCATCGCCGTGGCCCGCACAGGCCCGCCGTTGCTATCAGAACGACAGTACGCGTGCTGTCGTATCGATGTGCAGGTTTTACCCGTTCATTTACCACAACACGTTCTGGCTGCTCAACGACAAGCTTGTTGAGGTCAACGCGACGAACTCGCGGCTTCCGCTCACTCTCGAGTGGGGCTCGATCGGCTCGTGGAAATGGCAGATCTTCACACAACTCGACCAGTCGTTCGACATGCAAAAGTCGATGGGCCTGAATCAGGTCAGTACATGCCATGCCTGTGATGCTTAGTCGCAGGTGAGGGCGGCACATCCTATCCACAATGCGCGAAAAGACACTTGCACGCGCAGGATGGCGACTCCGACGAATTCAAGAGGATCCTGACGGAGGGCAACCCATACTTCTTAGCGTTGACGTTCAGCGTCTCGTTGCTGCACTCCGTCTTCGATGCGCTTGCCTTCAAAAACGACATCGGGTTCTGGAAGAGCAACAAGTCCATGGAGGGCTTATCGGCGAGGTCAGCTCGCTGTTGCAATGCCCGGCGCCGGTGTCCGCGCTCGTCGCTTGCTGCACTTGCTATTGACTTCTACCCTTCGCTCGAGCGTCTCGCTCATGCAGGACGGTGGTGATCAACTGTGTGTGCCAGCTGATCATCGCCCTGTACCTCCTCGACAACGACACGTCGATCGTGGTACTGGCCAGCGCGCTCATCGGTACAGTGATCGAATTTTGGAAGCTAACAAAAGTGTTCAGGGTGACGTTTGATGCGAGGAGGCCGCTCTGGCGTATGGTAAAGTTCGAGGATAGAGAGTCCTACGTTTCGAGTAAGACCAAGGAACACGACGAAGCGGCCATGAGGTGACTCGGGACTAGTGCACGGCCCCAACCATGCCGGCGCCCGCGCCTGCATGCAGCGCCGCTGATCCCCGCCTCTTCGCTCGCGAGTGTACCGCAGGTATCTGTCGTACGCAGCGTATCCTCTCGTGGGGTGCTACGCGGTGTACTCGCTCGCGTACCAAACACACAAGTCCTGGTACTCCTGGGTCCTCAGCTCCCTCGTCGGCGCAGTCTACATGTTCGGGTTCATTCTGATGTGTCCACAGGTGCAGTCCCTCCATCATCGGCCTGCACAAGCACCTGGACGCCGCGCTAGCATCTCATCACGCGTCTCGCCCTGCCGTGACTTGCAGCTCTACTTGAACTACAAACTGAAGTCGGTTGCCCACCTTCCCTGGCGTCAAATGACATACAAGTTCCTGAACACTATCATCGATGATTTGTTCGCCTTCGTCATCAAGATGCCGTTGCTACATCGCTTAGCAGTGTTCCGTGACGACCTTGTTTTCCTGGTCTTCTTGTATCAGCGCTGGATCTACCGAGTTGATCCAACGCGCGTCAACGAGTTCGGCTTTTCTGCGACCGACGCTGGGAAGGATGGCGACGAGGCTCAGGAGAGTTCCGACACGGCGCAAGGATATGACAAGGTGCGCAGTGATCCCATCACCACGTGCACCAGCGGCGGTACCAACACCGCCGCGAGCCCAGGCGGCCGCCACCGAGAGGCAGGAGCCACGTGAGTACTTGCAAGTCAACCCGGGGTTCGTTTCGCAGGGAACGGCCCGGGCCGTGCAGAACAGGGATGGTCTGCGGCGGAGGAAAGGAGAAGCCGAGCGTGCTGGCACGTCCGGGGCCGCAGGGCCGTCGACAACTGACAAAAAGAAGACTTGAGCGGATGGCGAAGGCCCACCTCGCGCACGTAGACTCGGTCGGGCAAGCAGCTGCGAGTAACAGAGTCCTCTCTGCGGCCATCAACCCCGGGATGTGGGCCAGGGTGTCGCGCGCAGCTGCGCACAACTTCGCCTGGGTCGATCTGACCGGCCCGCTGCGGGTCCTCGTTTTACTCGCGGAGGGCAAACTGTGAAAACATGGAAGGGATTTGTGGTGCGCAGAACTTCCTTCTGAGAAGGAGCCCCGGTCATCGTGGCATCACTTGACGATCTGAGCGCCGTGCACGCGGCGCGAGGTTTACTGCTCCGATCAGGCGGGGCTCACAAGCAGACACCCCTGGTCCAGGCGGCTTTCTGAGATCCCGACTCCGCTGGACTCAATCTGAGACCCGTAGCCAGGGGGCCCTCGAGTGCGCTGAATGGCCCACCCGGGGTCCGTCTTGGGTCACGTGTTGATCGAGCATCGATCGAACTACTACCCACCTGTGTCGTCCCTGCTTTCGGAACTCGCTTGTGCGTCAATGCTCAGCTACGCTGCCGGGATCGCAACCGCTGTTGGCGTCAAGTTTTTCAGCAAGATGGGTTCTCCGAGTGCTCCGAAGCATGTCCTCGTGACTGGTGCCGCTGGTGCGTGCCTGCAGCTCGCGGGAGCGCCGCCCCCCCGCAGCTGTCCTGACTATGCGTTTGCCTGCCAGGGGAAGCTTGCGAGCGGAGATCCACGTCACGACCCTGGTTTCCGAAGCGCGATCACGAGGGTCGCGATGTCAGGGCCGCTTTTCGATCGCCTCGCGCTGCGCCAGGTGGACCTCAAGGTCTGGTGGTAGTTGCCTGCTTTGTGCCCGAAGGCCGACGACACAGCGTCGCTGCCCTGGTGGCTCCTCATGAACGTGCACGTTGCTGCGCACCCTCGCGCGGTGTCAGCGTGATTTTCACTGTGGTGCTCCCCGAACAGCTCGGCAGGCTCGAAGGTCCGCGTAGGAGCTCCGTGAGTCCGCGATATACGATTTCCTCGTGTGCCGCCGCGGTTTCTTTGACTGTACTGAGCCATTCTTAAGTCGCATCGGCGCCGCAGGTCAGATTGGGTACGCCCTGGCTCCTATGGTGGCGGCTGGCGAGATGCTCGGCCCTGACCAGCCCGTCATCCTGCACTTGCTCGACATCGAGCCGGCGAAGCAGAGGCTCGACGGGCTGGCGATGGAGCTGGTTGACGCAGCGTTTCCGCTTCTGAAGGGAGTCGTTGCGACGACGAGCCTGGAAGAGGCCTGCAAGGACGTCGACATCGCCGTCCTCGTCGGAGGCTTCCCCCGCGGCCCGGGGATGGAGCGCAAGGATCTCATGGCCAAGAACGCGCCCATTTTCGGGCCGCAGGCGAGTTGTGTGTTCCTGTATGGCATATTCGTGCACAGCCGCGGAGAACTCGGCTCCTCCTCCTTCCACGTCGGCGGCTTGCTACGTAGCCGTCACACCCGCCGTGCAGCTGCGTGGATCGCCCGCCTGATGCCGCGGCGTTTCGAATGAATGCGGTTTGCAGGGAGCGGCGCTCGAGAAGTTCGCCTCCAAGGACGTTCGGGTGTTGGTGGTCGCCAACCCTGCGAACACGAACGCCTGGCTGGTGTCGAAGGGCGGCCCTGGCATCCCGAAGGAAAACATCACTGCGTTGACCCGGCTCGACCACAACCGCACGATTGGACAGATCTCTGAGATGACGTCTGTTCCCAACTCCGAGGTGGGTGGCGATTTCCAGCCGAACTACCCTCAGGGCCCCGCTGCGCATGCGTCGCACGCGACGCAGAATGCTAGTCATCTGTTTGTCCGTGCAGGTCAAGAACGTCATCATTTGGGGCAACCACTCGGCCACCCAGTACCCCGACGTGAACCACGGAACGGTGGCGGGCAAGCCGATCCGCGAGGTGCGACACAGTGTGCGATGCCCCCTCCTGTTGCAGCCAAACGCCCCACACTGTGTGATGACTGTGCGGGCGGCAAAACCGCACGCGCCCTGCCCTGCCCCGCCTGCCACGCGCAGAAGGTCGGGAACGACGAGTACTTGAACGGGGAGTTCATCAAGCTCATTCAGCAGCGCGGCAAGGCCGTAATCAACATGCGCGGCGCGTCCTCTGCGCTCTCGGCCGCACACTCGGCTTGCGACCACGTCAGGTCGTGGATGCTTGGCACGCCCGGAGGCGAGTGGACCTCGATGGCCGTGCTGTCGGATGGCAACAGCTACGGCATTCCGAACGGCATCGTGTACTCTTTCCCAGTCAAGTGCAAGGCCGGGAAGTGGGAAATCGTGTCCGGGCTCAAGATTGACGACATGTCCCGCAAGCTGATGGACGCCACGGCGCAGGAGCTGGTGGACGAGCAGAAGGACGCCCAGAGCGTGCTCTCGGCCTGAAGGGGCGGGCCGAATCCCGCGGCGGGCACGCACGCGCGCCTGTAGCTGCGACAGCGAGCAGCTTTGTGTGTGCCCAGTGTGTGCATGGCTGAGTGTGGGGCTGCGGGGTCGGCCGACCATCATCTCAAGTCGTGACTGACCTGTGTACCTCCAGGGTTTCGGGTTTGGCGGAGCAGCCGGGGAGGGGACGCAACCACCCGAGTGGGGGCGAACGTCACAGTCTTCGCGGGCTTGAATCTTAGCATGTTGCTGTGACATAAACGACCACGTTCGCCCCTGCGTCGCTGCGTGTCATGGCCCAGCGGCGTCTGCGACACTCGGCCGCGAGCGCCCTCTGCATAGCGCGGCCGGGTCGGACGCGTCTCGTCGAGGCGCACATCATGTGCCCCTCGTGCTTGCCTCCGTCCTCGAGACAGGGGTACTCGCTGCTGCGCGCTCGTCGCCCTCTTGCACAGTCGGAACCGCGGAGTGAGGTTGCGCGGCCGAGTTCCTCTGAAGGCTGCTGCCTTCTAGCGTCATGAGACTGATGGCGCGCTTCGAACTGGCGAGCACGGTCCCCACCTGCACGAGGATGACGCGAAGCGGATGCGTTGGGGCATGCAAGGCTGCACAATCCGAGAGGCTGACCGTCGTCGACATGCTTTGGGGCCGCACCTGGCCTGCTTTCAAGGCGGCCACGTAGTCGGTGCGATTGAGCCGCAGCAGCCTGCAAGGTCCGATGCCAATCGCGGTGTAGTCAGGTATGTACGCCTCCTGGGTGAGGGCGGAACTACCAAGGTGGCTCCACGGCCCCAACTCGGAGAGGAACTCTTCGCTGCCCGCCCTGACCATCACTCGCCCCTGCACCTCGCAATCGACCGCGCAATCGGAGGTCAGTGCACGGGAACATTGTCACCCACAGCGTGCATGCTGACGCAACGCTGGTCACGCGGCACAGGAGCACGTAGGTCACCTGTAGGACGAGGGTGAACGTGTCGGAGCGGACGCCACGCTTGTACAGCAGCACGAGCCCTTCGGACTGCTCGTTGATAGTCGTGAGGCGCGTCTTGAGAAGGTCGGTGATGGATTCAGGGCCCTCGAGCTCGTCATCAGGACCTTCTTCCATGTCCAGCATCTGCCCAGACCGCACCAGGCTCTTCAGCATTCCAAGGTTGATCTCAAACGGCTTGAACTCCGGCAGGGAAACAGCCAGGTACGCAGCGATGGCCTGGGTCTCCTGCGTATCACGCGCCCACGACAGCCATGCGTGAGTCATGGCTGGAGAAAGCTGGCGATGGTGCGTGGGCAGCAACTCGTGGCGCATGTACCTGTGATGAGAGTTTGATGTTCTCGCGAATCTTGTGCTGGAAGAGCGCCAGATACGCGGACACATCTGGTCTGCCGCCTCTCTTGACAGGAACGCCCAAGTTGGATTCGTACACGTCTGTCTCGTCCACGATCTCAGCTTGGATCATCTCTTCGAGCACATCCTCAAGCGTGATGATGCCTGCAGGTGATTGCGCGGTGCCGGCGGCGCTGGGTGCATAACGTACACAAGCGGCGCTCTGGTTTGCTCGGACGTGACGAGCGCGCAGCCGCTTGCCTGTAACGTGTTGTGCATCCCCTGGAAGTTTGTCGAAGACCACCTGAGCAGGTGGCTTCACCGGCCCGATCTGAGAGCCGCCTTTCGCCTCCGCCTTGCTGCCGTTGGTGACGGGCTCTTCGCCGGCCTCCGTTGCATCCACCGGCGCTCCGCGGAAGGCGATCATTACGTGGATGTACTGGGCCTTGAACGATGAGAACACCTGGTTCAGGGGGATCGACTCCTCGATGAAACGCACATGCGAACGACCGTGGAACGACACGATGGTGCCCACCTCGACCTCGTCGTCGGGATCGACCAAGATGAGATCTTTCGTGTACAGGATGCCAGTGATGTGCTGCCGTGAGCCTTCGTACACCGGGATTCGGGTGTATCCACTGCGGTAAATGTCCAGCATGCAGTCGAAGTCCAGCTTTGTCTTCATCTCAACCATGTACACGCGCTCCAGGGGCGTCATGACGTCGTTCACCGTCTGCACAGATTCGCCACGAACGTCCTGGATTAGACGGGACAGGGTCGCACTACACATGGCGGCTGTCGGCCTTGCGACACGGACAGCTTGTACCTTCGCGGAATACTCCAGGGCGCCGCGAATCAGCTGGTGGTCGTCCTTCGTGATGCCGACGTCCTGTTCAGCATGCTCTGGGTGCTCCACGTGGATCTCGATCAAGCGCTTCAGCTCCTCGCGGCGATAAATGAGGCCAACCTGCAGCTCACGTCGTGTTCGATGCATGCGCGTCGTCAAGAAGTGCGCCTGATACACAGTCGGGAGAGGCATCAGCTGATTTCTCCTGGACGCACCTCTCTTCCAAGCGCCTTGTCCAGGCAGTACGCCAGCGGCCATGTGACCGGCAGGAACAGGATCATGAACGCCCTCGTCAGCCACACTGTGTAGTAGCCGATCGCCAGACCGTGCCGGGAGCACGTCGCTTGCGGAACGATCTCACCCAATATGACGATGAGTGCTGCAGCGAGCGTGACCATCGCGCGCGACTTAGTGCAGTACGCGGGATGGACAGACCGTACGTGCGAAGCGAGCGGCACGCGTGGGCGTAGCTGCCAGTGCCTTGCTCGAGGCAGTGCCAGTGACTTACTCGAGGACACCACGAGGCCGAGCAGGCCAGAGGTGAGATCTGCCAGGAAGATCGACAGAAACGAGTTGACAATGACGTTTCCGACGAGAAGGGTGCAGAGCAGCAGGTTGCCGCGTCTTCGAAGCGGCGCGATTGCCGCAGCGTGGGTGTTTTCCGGTGGTACGCCGACATCGGCCAAAATCTGCGTCGAAGTGGCACGTGATCGCGCATCGACTACGTGACTGTGGCCTCGCACGCTCCGGAGCATGTGCGGTCCCCCTCGCCATCCACGCGTGATGCTGTTCCCGACGAAAGGCAGCATACCTGAAGAGCAACCGAGTCCAGACTCAGCAGCCCGAGCGTCAGGCCCGAAAACAGCCCGGAGAAGCACACCAGGCCCCCGGCAACGAGAACGCTCCCCCATAGCGGCAGGTCCATGGATGCCCGACCGCAGTTGCCCGCTGTACGTGCGTCTGTTGGCCTGTGGAGCGCAGGGGGGCACGGCGGGGTGAAACGCGAGCAACCACGGCAGCGTGCTGCCGTGCGACCAGCCGGCCCGCAGCACGTATTCGATGCCCGACTATCTGCAGCGATCGGACGCTTCGCGCCGGTGCCAACGGCCGGTGCGTGACGTGAGCAGCTGATCTGTGCTACATCGCGCGTGACCTCGCAAGTCGAGCAAGCGTGAATGATGCAAACCGATACGAAACACCGCCGCAAGCCGGTGGGGCGCGGGAAGCCGTGCTAGTGCAGCGGTCCCGAGCAGCAACCACTAGTTGGCAGCGGAGGCCGCGGGCGGCGGCACGACCTCCATGGGCTCCACTGCGGTTGCTGCGAATCTGCAACTTACTCTCAAGCTCTGGACGCGTGCGTGCTCGAATGCTCGTCGAGAGCCACGCCGCGGGCCACGCAATGAAGATCCAGTCCGTGGATTCTCGTGCGACACCGGCAGGCTGACTCGCGAACTCAGGGACTCAGAAGGAACTTGACGGACGCCACTCAGTGCGCGCCGATTCCGGCGTGTCGCGCCCTCGTTGCCCAGCGGGCGGCCCCCGCTCAGCGGTTGATGGCATCAGGTGCAGGATGTCAGACGCACCTGAATGCCCTCGCCAGCGGCGAAGCGAGGCGGGAAAGCAGGCGCCGCACGTGACCATGTCAAACTACTGACCTTGGTTGCCGCAACGCGAAGCGCCCCACGCTTCCTCGTTTCCAAACCCACACCTTGAGTCATCAGTAATCAGCAGCAGACATGGCCAGTGAATCACTTTCAGCAAAGCCAACGAGCGTGCTGAAGGCCGTAGGAAACCATCTAGACCGGGGTGGCCGAGAGCAACGACAGCGGTGGAGTACCCGGCGCATGAGAGATAACGCAAGATGTCGATGGTCCAACACAACTGCGCGATCAGCTTGAGGAAGTCCGCGGTGAGTGACAAGCCCCGCGGCATGGGAGTACTCGTCCGCAAGCCCAGTCACGGGCCCCGATGGCCGCGATGGCCGGCGAGCCTGTGTGATACAGCCGCGTTGCGACATGCAATCCGGACGTGCCAGCGTCCTGAGCAGTGCGACTGCATGCTGATAGAACTCGATCGAGTTGCCGTGTGCGCGCCAGCATCAGGCGGGTTGGCTCTGGTCCAGGCTTGAAAACACAGAGAGAAATGAGAACGCATCACCTCCCTGCGACACAGCACAAATGCGACACCCGGGCGCAAGCGCACACAATATGGAGACGGTCAGAGGCAACCAAACGTGCACAGGTCGGATGCACGAGCCGCGAGAGTGCCGTTTTTACACGTCATCTTGATCCTGAGACTCAACGGCGAGGCCTTGCAGATCACTGCACCGCCTGCCGAGGTAGGAGAACACATCGTACATGTGCCCTTTCGGCGTGTGCAGTCCTGGCAACGCCCTCATCCATCGTGCCGCACTGAATGACGATGTGCGCATCACGTTCAAAAGAGCCCACGCAACATCGCACGCTCCTCGAGACACTACAAGCTTCAGTCGGTGGATATCCTGCTGGAAATGCTGCGCGTCAGCGCACGCTGCCACCCCGAAGGCGAGCAGCAAGGATGCCACTGCATTGCTTGCAGGCCAACACAACGCTGTCGCTGACGTGGGCAGTGCAGACGTCGCTGCTGTGTCCAGGATACACAGCAACGTCATTCGCGCCTGCGTTGCAATGCGTGGTGGGTGCAAGGCGTTGGGTTGTCAAGCAAGCAAATCGTTCACGTCTTTTGGACAGTGTATGGCAAGGGGCCAACCTGCAGCATGACTTGTGGAAGAAGCGCGTCCATGACGTCCTCTGGCATAATGTACGCATCGGTCAGTTTGAGACCCAGCGGAAGGCCCATGACCGGGCGAATCGACAAGCTGCACGCTGCATGAGCAAGGTCGTTGTGTGCCCTGCCTCCCCGTGTTTGCACGCCGACGAGAACGTGCAGCGGTGCGACTCGCACGTCCATCATCCTCACGTGAAGCCCTTGAGAGCGTCTCGCTTTGAACGCCAGCGCCGTCAATTGAGGAGGTGATGGAGTTGCATGAACTAGCGATTCCTGGGTCTGTCGGACCGACCTCAACGTCTCGGTCGCCATTCGCACCAGGTGGACGTCGGGGCACAAAGAAAGCGGGCCGAAGGAGACCGAAACGTTCGGAACGTCAATCCTTGAAACATCCAGCGGACAGAGGACGAATCTGACACTGGATCGCAGGGCCGGCTCGACCTTTGCAATCCGCCTCGTCGGGAGGAGACAGGGTGGGCGCCACCGTGCCGGCCACTGTAAGACCGCCTCTGCAGACGGACGTTTGTCGCCCGAGATCCTGAGACGAAGCAAGAAGGCCTCGAAGTCCACAACCACCCCACGGCTGTCGGCATGGTGCGGTATGACGCCCCTGGTTTCAAATCGCAGCCCCGCCATGTCAACATCAGCGACGTGCCCGCCATCGAAGTCTTGAACATTGAAGACTAGATGTGGTATTGAAAATCGGAAGTCCACCTTGCTGGTCATTGAGGCATTTCTCTGCAGCTGGGCCTGGGATCCTGCCGAGCCGAGATCGCTGTTCCAGTTGCTTGCTGGGGGGTTGGAATGGTCGCTGATCGTGACGTGCAACGTCCCGTTCTGCACGCAAGTGTGCGCGACAAGTCCACACGGCTCCTTGAAGCTGTAGCCGAGAGCCCACCGCATCAGCGATCTGCTACCCCCCGAAACAGGGACGCAGGAAAGCTTGCGCTTCCTCGCGGAACGAAGGGAGAACGACGAGGGCTGCAAGATTGGGCTCAGATCCAGCATGACACTACCATGGCGATCGCTGACTTGTGGTGGCGACAAGGTGAGCTGCGTCGGGCATGTCCTGTCCGCGCACCACTGCACGCCCGCGCATGCGCCGGGAGCAAGTGCGAGCTCCTGATGTGAGCATGTTGCTCCGTTGCCCTGTTGTCGCACGACGAGCTGCTGCAAAGTCGCATTGCTCACGACGAGGTCGCAAGCCTGAGCCGGCGAGCCTCGGATCGTCAATGACGGAGTCCCGTAAGCCACCTCGTGGCATGCCGCCTGCAATGGCCCCGTGGTGGACAAGAACGGCAGGCTTCCACGACAGCTGCCTAGCTTGATTGGCCCGTTCCAGCGCTCCTGACCCGCACCGCGCAAGTAGAGGCCTCCTTGGACTGTGGGGAAGCAACTCGCGTTGGCTTGAATGATAAATCCAGGTTGGTCGTGTGCAGGATACCGATCCGAGGATATGGCCTCAACGCTGGACCCGCTCATGTTGAAGATGACCGACGAGGGAAGGATTCGCACAATCGGTGCGCCGTGCGGCGGCAATGACACTTCCAAGCGTGCGACAAGCTGCCGATTCAGCCACTCCAACTTTAGCTGTGCGCTGAAGTCGTTCTCTGAAGTTTTCTGCAGCCGAGCCCACGACGACACCGCTTGCGCGTCCAGTGCAGATTGCGACTCAACGCTCACGCGCCAAGTTGAGGGGTCTGACCCAAGTGATGCGGAGAAACGGTGGTAGTCGATCGCAGGTTCGATCGAGGATCCGCAAGCCGTCGCTGAACGCAGAATCAGATGTGTCACCGCCGCCGGGCCGGATATTGCTAGCCTCAAGTCGAACGGGAACCAGCTGAATGACACCAAGGGCGCCAAGAATTCGACGCCAAGAACGCCAAGAGAGTCCCTGCTGTATGCCACGTGAACTGGCAGCTTATCGTCCGCGCCAGAATAGCCATCAAGTCCGTCGTCCGGCCGTTCAAGCTCGATCAAGCGCCACGACGTCCGCTGCCCGTGCGAGCGTGGCGGGAGCGCCGTCTCAGAAAGAGCATCAGACACGTCAATCCGTACATCAGACCCCTGACAGGAGGATCTGAGGGCCCGCCTTGTGCAGCTTGCAGCACATACGCGTAGATGTAGGCTCTGTGCAGAAAGCACCGCGCGTGCAACCCGACTGTTGACACACAACTGCGACCCGCTGTGCAGAACATGCCTTGTCTCGTGACTGGGCGCCCTGTCTTGAGGCTCAGCGAAGTCTATCTGCAGCAGATGGTGCTGCAGATGGGAAGTCACCACGATTCTTGGGTAGACCGCAATGCGCAACGCCTCACCGGGCGCGCTGCATACTTGGAACAGGACGAGAGAATCTGCTGCATTTGCAGCCCGCAGTTTCCAGTTGCTTCCGCGCGCTGACGTCGCGGCAGCCCTTCCGATACATGCACCACAGATCATGCTCTCGCGGTCTCGGGTGTTGAATTCCGAAGCATCTTGCAACTCGAACACAGATATGTGTACTTCCGAAGTGACACGTGGAAGGCCGCCCGCGGTCGTCGCACCAGCCGCATCCCATACGAGGGGCAACGCCCGCCCGGCAGGCGCAACTCCACTCCACAGCTCGCTCCCGTCGCAAGTGAGACTCGCGACGACCGGCTCCTGAAGACGAGACTCCAGAATGCAAAATGGTGCGCCTTTCGTTTCTGCCCTTGCGGGCGACAGCGGCGACTCCGTCTTGTCGCACGCGCGCACATCGTCCCTCAAAAACAGCACAGCCCGCATAGCATGGGTGCTGAACAGGGCTGCCACTTCCTGGGCCCAGTTTGCCGCATCTGTCAGCCGCGGCGAAAGCGTGACGAGCGCCCGAACGGAGCCGTCGCTCGATCTCACCGACAGTACGACATTCATCGCATCCACCGGCAGGCCGTGCATCCCGCGGGCGTCAATCACTGTGCTCATGGTGATGCCCGATATGACGTTCGTGACGACTTGATCCTGACTCGCACAAGACAAGCTGGAAGTCCAACTGGCTTTTGCGTGCACCTGCCAATCCTCTTGCCTCACGTCGCCGCTGGCGACGTTGATGGATCCCTCCGCCTTCGTTGACGCAGTCAATAGCGGAGGCGACCGATCGTCGATCGAACCGGCTTGGCGCACACCACAGAACGACACCGTCTCCAAGTACCAGTCGGCATCAAGCGTAAAGGGAATGCCGATTACGGGCACTGAACGGCCAATCCAGGTGTCTCGCATGTCTTGAGAGGGATTTTGACGCTTTTCAACTGAGATGAAAGCCTGACGTCTCATGGGCTCTTGACACACCCCTTGCCGTGCAGTGATGTGCACAGCGTCATTCAAAATTGACGTTATCGTGCTGCAGGCCCGCAGACTGCACACGAATGCGCACCTCTTGGCAGACCCGACAACTTTGGAGGCGACGATCATCGAGTTCTTTGTTCGTTCAACTCGCACAGAGAGGTCCCCGCCCCTCCAGTCGCAAACTCGCTCGGCATCGTCCCCACACGCCTGACATCCGTGCCAAACATCCACAACGACGCCACTTAGAGTCGACTCGAAGTCGAAGCGCTGGAGTTCTGTGTCTGCCCGCAGGCACGTCGTGGTATCTTGGACGACAATCGACATGCCTGCCCTCCACGATCTTGTAACCGTGTCCACAATCGCACCCCTGAAGACCGTCAGCGGTGCAATACCGCCGTGGTGCAACATGAGCTCCACCCGCGGAGCGCGCCACTCGAGTTGTACGACCGGCAGTCCATACTGTTGGAGATCCGATAAATTTACCGATAGTTCGCCACCGCGGGCATCCGTTGACGTGTCGCGTTGCACGCGGCGTTTCGTGCGTGTCAGCTCATGCCAGCGCTGCGACAAGGTCAGAGTCTCATGGGAGACAGCCTCAGCCACAGCAATAGATTGGGAAGAGCACAGGACGAAGATGTTCGAGCAGTGCACCGCCGTGATCAGGCGCTCGACGTGCCGCGAATCATCGACGCAAAATCGAAGTGATGAGTGCACACAAATCGGTGCAGCAGGACGAGTGCCGGAGGCCGCCGAAGATTCTGGAACTGGAGGGCTCTCCGTCAACAGTGCGACCACTGGATAGTCGCTGCCATGTCCGCCCTCAACTGCTGCGCCGACCGGCGAGGCATTTGCGACGCCCTGATGGTCCCTCTCGATCTGCGTCTTCGACAGCCCGAAGAAGACGAGAACCTCCCAGGAAGTCTGGACAGTGCAGGAGATCTCCCCGCCTTCAGCCAGGACACGCACCATCGATCGGCGCTGAGGAGGCGCCACGGATCGATCGGTCGTTGACAGTTCCAGCTCCGCTCGTTCGAGGAGCACCTGCGCCCTGATGTCGATCGGCAAATCTGGGAGCTGCAGCCGAAAGTTCGGCACCGATCGCCTGGGGCTTCCAGCTGTCTTTGTGACAATCGCACCCTCCTCCTCCACACGAATTATGACTTCCGTCATGGAGGCAACGACAGCGTCGATGTCTCGCCGCAAATCCGGAAGTTGCGTATCGCACAGAAATGCAGTCATTGCTTCCTCCGACGCAAGCACGAGGGGGTCGCATGCTATCCGAGGAATGTCCAGGCTCAACTCAACCACGCCGAGGTGGGGACGTGAAGCACGACGCTCGTTGAAGGCATGGTGTTCCGCGTGTAATTTCGCTGTCAGCTGTGGCTGATCGTAGACGATCGCACCCACGTCAGCCCATCCTCTGTCGGCAGATGCGTGTGCACTCATGGCACCAAGGCGCGAAGCCGCGCAAACCCCGGCTGTAACGCCTCGGAGCGTGAGAAGCTGCCATCCAATCTGCCACGCCGCCCCGCGAGGTCTGCAAATTTTGTACGGGTCGACTTCCGGGACATGGGCAGTGATGCCGCGAACCAGGAGGAAGATGCCAAGGCCTTCTCCGCGTGGGCATGCCGGGGCGGCCCCGTGGGAGCAGCTGGGACCGTGCTGAGCGCCCGGCAGTGATCCATCTTGCGCGAGGATGTGGAAGAGGAGTGCACCGCTGGATTCGAGTTGCATGGACCACAACATGATGTCCTCCTCATCTCCCGCGGCCTCCGAAGACATTGAGCTGTGCACGGAATGCAATGATGCAATGCTGCTTGACGTGTCGCAGTCTGCGGTGAGTGCTGCCTTGTCCTGCTGAACTTGAATGTGTCTCGCACCATCCAGTGCCGCCTGGAGCTGTTTGCTAACTCGCACAGAGTCGCGGACATCCGGCCATGCGATGTCGTCGACGAGTGCCGGTAGGGCATCAGAGAGGAAGCGCGCTGTCGTGAGCAAGCTCAGAGATCCTATATCAATACGTCCGATGTCGACGTCGATGTGCGCCACGGTGCCGCCAAACGCCTGCCCGTGCCTTGCCGTTGACATGACGTGCACGCAGCGCTCCTCGTCGCACCGTTCTGACGGATGGAGGCGCATGAGACAGCTTGCTGGCACTGCTGGACTTGTAAAGGCCTCAGCCGATCGAATGGTGAGCCCAAGGGTTTGAGCAAGCTGGCTCGGCCCGTTTCTTCCGACTCGCGTCTCGTGAATGAACGACACATCGCAAACTTGACTGTTGAGGATGGTGGCCAGAGCCTGCATGTCATTGCCTTCCCGTGCCAGCGGGGCGAAAAGCTTCGTGACGATCCGAGCTGCTTTTCCCGTCATGTTGGATCCCACATACGCCGAACTCGACGTCGAAATGTCGAATCGCTCGACCCCGACGGCGATGGTGCGCGTGGCAGGTCCCTCAGTCAACTTGAAGCAAAGGTCGCAATGCTCCACAGCCGCGCTGAACTCTGACGCCGACCGAGGTGGTGCAGCATCGTTACGATCAAGCGCACCGTCCGCGTGAAGCTCATTCAGCAGCGGGCTCTCGATGAGCGAAGGCACGAACGAGGTGTAGAACTTGAGCAAGTGGCTTGCTGACTTCATCCCGAACTCGAAGTCCACCTGGCGTGTCTGCAGCTTGATCCGCGAGCTCGGCAGCCGTCCATCGTACCGCAGCCTGTGGGAGTCAATCAGCAGGCTGCAGTCCAAAGACAAAACTTTGAAGCGCCTGGAAATCTCGTAGGGGGCAGGAACGCATCCCGACGGTTGAATGTCCCGCACAGGAGACGCATATCCCAGAGACATGCTGACTTCTCCAATATCGATCATCGAGCGTGCATATATCAGCCGGTCGAGCACTTCGTCCCGCGTGCTGTCCCAGCTGCTCTGCGGGATGCGCGCAGCGCTCGTCGACGAGTCCACGAGCTTGCGACAGAGCGCCGCCGCGTGAAGCCTGTTGACGTCCGGTAGAACGTGAATCGAGATTTCGTTTGCACCCACAATCAGGGCTGGTGCTGACGTGATCGATAGTGCCCTGCCTTGCTGCTCCCCCTCCAAAGCCACCGTCATGCTGCCGACTTGTATTCGCACATCAGTCGCGGTTGGTCCAATGCGTCCAACGCACTGTTGCGATGTTTCGAGCAGTTGCACCCTCTCAGAATTGATGCGGTTCAGTGCCCACATTGACTGGAGGGAATGCTCGCTCTCGACACCCTTCGACGCAGCTGATGCGAAGACTGCTAGTCGCAGCATGCTGGCTCCGTCCAGATGAACAAATACGGAAGGTATCCTGACATGCACCGTGTTGCTCGTTGCCTCTGGCATCTCCCGTTGGCTCTGCGAAGAAGCGAACACCGCGAGATGGCTTGAGTCCCCCGCGCAGCACGGATCACCTCCGCGCGACTAGCGACGATCATCACCGGCACGACGCACGAGGTGAGGTGTCCTCCATAATGTTGCCATTGAGGTCTCAGGTGAGGCACGTATCTAGCGCACCTGTGACTTCTCATCGTCCCATTCAGATGGCTCGGAGGCTTCACTCGATCCGGCCGCGGCCGCGGGCTCGCGACGCTCGTCGTGACGGTTCCAGAACCGCAAGAGCTTTCCACATGTTCTCAACTGGGCCCAGTCAGTCGAGCACTCCCCGGCTCCCGCAGTGCAAGAAAATGCAGGGGCAGAACGCCCGGCTGATTCGCTCGACGTCGTGATGATGCAGTTTCTCTCGTGTGCGCCGTGTGCTGAAATGCTTTGACAGCATGCATGAAGGGCTCTTGCGCACCCATATTCGGCTTGCGCTACACTGACTCGCTCCACGCGGAACTGAAATGCCTTTGTGAATGCGCTTCGGCCCGCGTCTTGACGCCCGCATGCACTCCGTGCAGGCATCCCGAACACTGCGTTGACGCGAGATACTTCTGCGTCCAGCGTCAGCAGTGCCTTCGGGCGACTTCCGTCATGGTCTTTCTTCGACGAAATGACCGCCTCGAGGTACCTTGCAAGGTGCTCCACGTCTTCGTCCCTGCTCCACCTCTCGTTGGACGTTCCTGCACAAGGTGAGGCCGTCAAACTCGTTTCAAGTGAGCATTGAGACGAGGGCCGCAATCTGGTTCGCAGGGACAACCGCTTGTGAGCACATCGCACCATCAGGCCGAGCACGTCCGCCTATGCCGAAGATCGACGCTCCCGCGCGGGCACCCTCTCTGATCATCGATGACACAGAGGCAAATAAACCACCCACTCTGTTCGGCGCGACTACTCCGGGCTGCGCGTTCATCTGCTCCGCCACCTGCAAGCGACTCAAAACCAGGTCACTGTTTGCTCGATGGCGTGCAGTCAATAGTCGAGGATGACGGTTGTTCGAGCACTGCAGGCACGGACCTGCTGCTCCGCAAGCGCCCGAAATATCAGGATCGTCTCAACAGGTAGTTCCGTTTCAAGTTGCGCAAGTTCGATCTCAGGGCCGGAAGTCAGCTCGACAGCCGCGCCCCCCCGTTGAGCGAGTATGTGTTCCGTCCAAATACCAATGTATCTCTCCCGGCGCCTCTTAAGGGCAGACAGCTGCGCCGCGGAGATGAAGCCCTGCCGTGCTCGCACGTCGGCGAGCACGGAGCGGCCGGCATACAACCAGGCTTTTGTCCACGACCCTTGTGTTTGCCCCGCACGTGCAGCTTTGGACGGGCGCCATCCTTGAGGTCGAAATCGGCCGTATTTGACACGATATGGTATCAACTCGCACTTGCGTGCAAATCTCTGCATGTCGACAAGCTGCAAGAGCCAAGAAACATCCAGCATCATTCACGACCAATGCAAATCGAACTCAAGACCTCAGCCGGACAAGGGCAGCAGCGGGAGCAGCAACAACAGGCTCAGAAAGTGAATATCAGAGCGCTCCGTGCCTGCGTGGTGTGCAGCGTGAGCGCCACCTCCGAAACGTCGATAGAGGAATGGACTTGCATGGCCTCGTCTGGACCTGTAGGAACTTCCGCGTCCAGACCTTCACGGATGTTCTCCACTTGTACGCCGATCCTCGTCATCGGGACTCGCAGTATGCGGTGGGTGGGCCGCGAAGTTGTTGTAGCAACGCTTGTCCTAGAAATAGCGCGTCCGGGGCTGTCTTGATCCAGTCTGCTGCCGACACGCTCGGGCCCTGGCCACTGCAGGTCTCTTCGGTCAGAACGGCACCATGGTTCGCCACGACATGACCCGCAAATGGACACCGCAAACGATCGCCGCGGGCTCTCGGCCAGTCGAGTCGAGCATTGCGAAGTGTACGTACGTGTTGAACTGGTGTGAGCGGCGAGTTCGAGTCATCCTCACGCTGCGAGGCTGCCGTCTGCGCGTGCCACCAAAAGGCGACATCCGCAATGCGCAAGCTGCGGGCAATCTTTCCTGTGGAGAACGTCGAGTCCCCAGACCGCTCGGTCTCGATGCTCCCGATGTCCACGCCAATGCTCGTCTACGGTCGGCAGCGGAGCAGCGTGCGCATGAAATGGCACAGCCCGGATGCGCGGCTTGATGCGAGCACGTGTGAGTCGGCAGCGGCGCCCGCAGCTCCGGGCAGCGCATACCCGCGTGTTCTTGGCGACTGTTGAACTCTTGTCCACCAACGTTACCCTCGTTCCGCGTATGCTGAGGTGAAGCCTTCTTATCAGAGCACTGACAATGATGAGGACGAACGACGCCATGCCTCGCCCGGCCTGCACTTCGCGAGCGTGGGGTTCGGTGGTTGGAAACTCGTGGAAACAGCACGAAAGGCGTTTCACCACGATTGCTGCTGGAATTGCGCATCGCTGTTACGCAGCACTGCTTGCACTTGCCTTGCCGACAAGTCCGCCTCTCGTTGCCGGCCTGGATGACGAGGCTTGCGAGGAACATTCCGCGAAAGAGGTCTCGCTCTCTGCCCTGCAGAATCCCTTGCAGCGTCACGCAGACTCTCAGCACTGGTTCAGTCAAGCGCGAGCAGGCGCGATAATATTATCAGAAGCGACCGGAGGGGCCCAGTCGACATACCTGTGACGGACTTCAGTGCAACCGGCTGCAACAGCTTCTTCGACCGCTGCTTGCAGCGCACCACTCGACGCGAGCTGTGCAGCTTTCGCCGCTTTCGCGCGGGTTGCAGCTGGACCTTCATCCCATTCCCAGTCCTCTCGCGTCTCAAGGGTGACGGCAATGTCGCAGATTTCTATGCTGAGAGGCCTGCAGAGGCCAGCGCAGATGCATGCGTTATCATTTACGCGTCTTCAACGCAGCCCCCCGCATCAGGCCTGTGTAACTCATCGTGAGAAGATCCGCATCGCCCCCGCCACCTACCTAGTCGTGACACTTCTCCAGGGAATCTGGACGGCAACCGAACCAATGGTTGCCGCGCTGACCTTGAGAGGCAGCCCAAGACTGTCCAGGAAAGCCGCTTTAACGGCCACATCTCGCAAGTCTAAAGCCCCGAGCAGACTCAATTTGAGCTGTTTGGGGTGCACATCGAGGAACCGCCCTAGGACAGCAGCGAGCACCTGGCACAAGACGCCCTCGAACATGCTGCCGTTCCGGGCGAGCGCGTTGCCAGATGATCACGCAGATACCATGTCGCTGAACGCATGCGATCGGGCGGAATCGACCTCGTGCCCGACCTCGCGGGATCAGGACATGATCCGAAGCCAGGCTCGCTTCTTTCTGAGCCGAATACGCACCCCTACGGCACCTTGTCGCGTTTTACCCACAGCTCGCACATGGTCCGCAGCGCACATGCGCCAGCCCATCGACGGGCGAGCGCTACGCGGCAGGGGCGTCGCCAAAAACGCCGTCCACTCGGCCTGAGCACTGGTATTACAAGCAGGAGCCTCACCCGGTGCCCGGCCGGATCTGGCGTCCGCCTTCCGAAGCCAAGCTCTGCCTGCCCATTCACGCCCATCCTGCAGCCCCCTAGTGATGTCGTGTGCACACGGCGCGTGCGAAAGGCCGCAGGAGCACGTGAGCGAACGGCGTTGTTGTCCTCCTTCTGGCGATGCGTCCCAGAGGTAGCATTCGAGACACGTCTGCAGCTTCCGCTTCACACGCATCTGTCGACGCCAGCCTCGGCCGCAGAATCAGCCTACCCTGACGTCGCAAGTGCAATGAGGTTGAAGTTGATGGAGTTCGCCCGCTCCATGAACGTGCGAACGACGCGGGCGGAATCTTGGAGCAGCGTACTTGCCGAAGTCGGCCCATGGTCGACGGGGGCGATCTTCCTGCCGTCCAATTCGTACAGTCTGTCGTTCACCTGAAAGTGGCAGTATGGGGTTGGCATCGTGTTGTCGGTCCGCACGAGGACAGTTCGTAGACACATCACCACTAGTCGTAAATGCGGACCTGGACGAAGGCAACGAAGTGAAGGAGCACTTCTTCGCCCTCCGCCGGCGGGCGAGTCTGTCCGGAAGATGCAGCTGCAGCATGTGCGTCCTCGATGTCCGGTGCTCCCTGCGTCGGCGCAGCATCAGGTCCACAAAGTGCGAGGTGCTGTTCGTCGAGCTCGCCAGTTCGCGAGGGCACGCGAGGGCAAGGGTGTGTGGAGCAGCGCTTCTGCATGTCGCAGCACTGCTTGCTGGGGTGTGCACCTGAGGAGGGTCCTCGAGGAAACGCGCGCGCTCCTTTGGGTCCATGTGCGCCACACTGGCGAAGAATCGCGCGAAGAACGATCCCTCTTGGATAGGAAGGCGTTCGAGATTGTTTCCAATCGCATGCAAGACGCCAACCGTCCCGCAAGCGTTAGAGATGGTTTGCTTCGTGAACCAAACTTTCTGCGAGCACGCAACTCGCGGATCACGTTCATCATGTCCGGCCCGGCGTCGCACGGGAGCGTCGAGGAAAAAGCTTTGCGTGTGTTCATATGTCACGTGCCTCGTCGATGGCTTGCGCCTGCCCTTTCATCTCCTCCTCTTGCAGCTTCTGCGCCTTCTCGGACTCCTCGGTCAGAGGAAAGAGCATCAGAACTGCACGACAGGCGTGGCCCGGCCCGACTCGAGGATCGCAACAGTTTTCTGGCTTCAGAGCTGACGAGAGGCACAATTCAAGCTGCTGTGCGTACCTGCTGCCACAGGCTGGGGAACCATCGCGAGGAGCTCAGGATCAAGGCCGTATACATCGTGAAATCGCCACTGCGAGGTGTCCAGCCCAAGCTGCTGGGCAAACTCAGACATGACCTCCGGGTTCGATTCAAGCGGCAGCCACTTCTTCGTCATCCTGGCTTGATCGACGCGGTCTCAGCGAATGCCGTGATTTGTGAACTCCGGCGACGCGTTCTCTCGCCACGCTGTTGGTGGTGCTGCTGAACTGGCAAGTCTGGGAAGCTCGGCCCTGTCGAGGACGGCGCACACCGAGGGCGGATCAGGCGCTCCTCGCGATGGGAATGTGCGCGCTTCTTCGCGCGCTGCTGGGCCGTGTGGTGCAATGCTGCCCAGAGCCGAGCTCAACCCTTCCCAGGAGGACTCCGAGCACTTGGTCAATGACTTGCCGTGGGCCGCCACGCAGCGCGCAGCTCGGCCAACAACGGCGGGGACGGAGACGCTGTGTCGCCAATCGGAGAACAGCGTACGGCGTACATCCGCGCGTGCCTGGTCGCACAGATAGCGACTCGCTTTGGAGGACGCGTGCTGCCTGCCTGCTTGCGCCTGCGCGGCAGCATCCCCCCGCATCGCGCCCGCCGCTTCTGTGCCCCAAGTGAGGGACTCGAGGCTGTCCCACGTTGCCGGATATCGCACAGCGGATGGGGTCAATCACGGAAGCATGGGTCGAGAAAGGACTTGCTGAAACTCTGGTGCGACGAAGCCAAGCGAGCCCCTCGGGTTTCGGGCGCTTGAATCGACAGCTGTCGCTCGTCCTGTCTCTTCCGACCCGCCTTGCTTGCGTCGGGGAGCGACGAGCCTCGCAGTGCAAAGTCCCTGCGAGGAATCCATGCGGCATGGCAGCACCTGCTGCACAGGCATCTGACTCCAACAACTCGCAACGCCAGAGCCGCCAGTCTGCGTGCAACCAAATCTCGCGTTCTGACACTCGCGCTCTCGAAGAAGACGCCTGCGGAAACATGTTGCGCGCCGAACGGGCAAGCAGCAGATGGACATGCGTCGCGCGCGCCGTCGCTTCAATCTGTGTTGCACGTGCGGTTGTGGGTTGCAGGTCATTTGCGTGTTGATCTGTCTCTTCCTCTGGTACATTTTGCGGGTGAGCGCTGACTTTGTAGGGTCGCAGCGTGACCTGGCCAAGCTTCACAAAGCGAACATCGAGTGACGGTGCCGTCAACCGAGCGACAATTCGCGGTTCGACTCAACGGATACTATCCGACATGGCGACGTCAGAAACGTCCGGTGTGGGCGGCGGCAGCCCTCCGGCAAAGTCGGCCCTGGGGGTGCGCGAGTTGAGCAAGCACTGGGACACAAGCAACCGCTCGCCGAAGTCCGTGCCTGGGCGGGCACTGTATTACACGGGCAGACTGGATTACGAGAGACACGAGGCAGTGCTACCGCCAGCGCCACCAGTTGTGGTGGAGGCTCGGGAGCTCGTGAAGGAGGTAAGTTTCCAACCACCTGGTTGGCGCTCCTGTCATGCACCGGCTTGAGGTTTTCCGGCACGTTGCGCGACGCGACTGGTCCCGACGGGCTCCAGGCTGCACGGAGCGTGACACGTGTATCATACCTCCAGCAGTGCCACCATATGCACACGGTGGAACCTCCAGGTCCAGCACCTGGCGTAAATGCCCACAAGGCTTGCGAGCTTCACAGCCCGAACACATTGATGCAGCGGCAAAATCCGCGTGCAGGCGGCGACACACACGAACTCGAGCTATCACTTGTTCGTCGTGTACAGTGCTGACATGCTCGTGACGAGCCTGCATGGTCTGCCCGAGCCAAGGAGTGTCATGTTCGCGAGCCGGTGCTCACGCGAATCCTCAGCGTTCACCTGCCTTCGCAGAAGTACGGCCCAGACCACCTTGGAGCGAAGAAGACCTCATGGGCCGACAGCGTTGCGATTGATGGAAACAAGTTCACGAAGAAGTGGTCAGAATGGCTGCTATGGAACACGGGTGCGCGGCACCACCGAGCGTGCGCTTCGTCTTGGACCGAAGCCTGGCCGCGCGAGCTTTCAAGGTCGTCACTCCGAACGACTGCCTCTTTTCACTGCAACTTTTCCGCATGGTCGCGTTTTGCAGGGGAGGGGTTCGCCCGCGTGAATCCCAAGGACCATCGGAAAGAGTACCTGGCGAACGAACGATTCGATTCTGAGGAGTTGGGGCATCAGCTGTCGCGATCCATCCGCTTCACGAAGCGCGAGCCGGGTGGTGCCGAAGGCTGGGACATTTCAAACTACGTGAGCCCGACACAAATCAGGAAGCGGGACGAAGCGCTTCGCAGGGCTGCGCTGACCAACTCACATCGCAAGGTGCGGCATCGCCGCGAAAGAGCAAATCGCGTGCCTGTTGCTTGCTGGTTATTTCCAAGATGAGCCGCGCTGGACGTCTTGCGAGTCCAGAGCCTCCTGTCTTACAAGATCTGACTGAATGCGGCGTTAGGAAGCGAGCCGTAGGTTTCGACGGCGGCAAAGCTTTCGTACGCAACTCAGAGCCCAGCGTGTTCTCCTCAAATGCAGGCAGCGAGACTGCTCGACAGCTACCTGCCACCCATCGAGCAGCAGAATGCGGTTTCAGACCTCATTCGATCTCGCAAAGCGAGTCAGGCGGCGGAGATCGCCTCTTTCAGGGACAGTTTCGGGAGCGACGGCGATCGCTTGCTCGCCGTCTCTCACAAACGAGCGGAGATGAAGATGGAGGGCAACTTGATGGGGAGCAACAAGCGCAAACCAAGCAGGCAAGTCGCGGCTGCATTCGCAATATGGAACATGGATTTTCGTTCTCTCGCAGCCCTGCCTCGTCGTCGGCCCAAGAGTCAGTCAGTCACTTGACTGATCAAGTGAATGATGCCCTGCGAGTGCTCGCGCAGGTTCGATCTCGAAGCGCTGGCCGCTCTCGACACGTTCGTTCCGGACAAACGCCACATCAAAGGAACCAGAGTGTCTGCGGAGCCGAAGCACGCTCGTAGAGATCAAAAACACAAGCAGAATCCCCGGGGTACGTGGCCCCATGGGTGACATGCTCGTGCGCAAGCGGGCAGTGGTGCCGCCCAGACAGGGAAGAGGTTCCCTCCAACCATCGCGCGCTCCGGTGCTGCCGCAGGTTCGGCGAATGCGGACTCAAGCGTCTTATCGGCAGCACCTCCTCGGCGTCCGGGCGCCCGCACGGTCTCGGGCACTGTTCCGGCCGAAGGACTCCCCGCTGTCATGGAGGCCGACTGACGCGGGAGCTCGACCGCGCTGGTTGCTCTCGGGCGCCACATGGCATGGTCAAGCATGGCCTCACGAGCGACGACATCGTACTGGAATCGTGCTCGTCACATCGCGTTGCCGGTCATTCAGCGACGGAACCAGGGAAGATCACATGTGTCGAATGATGGGTATCAGTCACGAGCCTCTGTCGCCCAAGACAGTGCAACCATTTTGAGTTCACTCATGTGACACATTTGCCTCACGAATAAAAAGTTTTAGACACTTCAGACCTTGTGATACATGCGTTGTTTCATGGCCTGTTACGCCCGACGTCTTCAACCAAACGTCATCGATCTGTCCGTCGCCCGATCCTTCCTGTGTTGTTGAAAACATACCACCTCAATGACAAGGTCATTTAAAGGCTCGTAGACACTTGTCAGGGGCAGAGATACGGTGTCGTTCATGATGTAATGAACTTTCAGTCTGACAAATGTGTCAAAACCGGAGGTCACAATAACCAAGGAAAGGGGTGGCCGAGAGCAACGACGTGGTGGAGTACCCGCACGCAAGATGAGCAGGCGGCGGCGACAGATGTCGGGGTCCCAGCACCTGCGCACGCAGCTTAATCTAATCTTTGTGCGCTTCAGCCTTCAAAGTCTCCTTCGTCGAAGCCGTCCGTGTTCTGTTGTTTGCTGCAACAGGACCTATTGCCTCATCCTGCTTGAAGTGAGCTGAAGGGCTTCATTCTTCGCGCCGTCAGCCATCAGGCCGTGGGACATGCAAAGATCATTCGACTTGGTGGCGAAGCATGTCAACCCTCCACCGTGACGGTGGCGACAGGTGCTTGCGACGTGGGTCGGCGGAGGCAATGGACAGTCGGCAGGCTGACAAAAACGTGTCAAGCCGGAGGTCACATAGAAGTGTAACATTCTTGGCGTCGCCGGTCGTGAGGCTCTGAGCTTGGATGTGACGCACACGCGGCCGCGTGGCCGCTCTGTTGGGCCACATGCCCCCATACGACGACACACGAAAAAACAACATGTCGCATCGTAACGCACAGGCGACGTGACCGACTGCAACGTGTAGTCTCACTGGCACGAATGGTCTTGGTTTGGTGCCACACGTTGTCGGGTAGCAAGAGCCGCCGAAAAGACCTGGTGACCCTGCTGCGATGCGCGAACGCAACGAGTCATAGTGCGTGCCTGGATTTCTTTTTTCGATGGGCCGCCTGGAGCGCTGCAGACAGCCTGGCATGATGGCCTTCGCGTGAGTGCTGCGCGACATGCGACATTTTCCGCACAGACTTGTCAGCTGTCCCGCTGCTCGCAAGTTTGAGGTCCAAAAAAGGTTTTTGCTTCGGGGAAACAGACGAAGTTATCGTAGATGCAGTTGCCTTGCTTGCTGAAGCGCGTTCGAAGCAGGCCAGAAAAAATCCATCGCTGCCGTCCTGCAAAACATCTAGAAACGTCACGGTCTGCATAGGAGTCCACGCCCGCGTGAGGAGGCAGATGTCCACGCGTGAGGAGGCAGATGTCAGCCATCAGATTTGTGCACCCGCCTGCTGCTCGTCCACCCGCACAAGCAGGTGCGAGCCTTCCAGCACTCCCGGCAGGCCACGACGATGCCAACTCGGGAAGGGGTCAACCAAGCAGAAACCCAGTTTTTCAGCCCGCGCGATCACGGCTGCAACGACTTCTTCGTTCTCTTCGACGTGAGTACTGCAGGAAGCACGGGTGCGAGGTCGAGTCGGGACCCGAGAAGGCCAGCATGCTTCTGCGAGAGCAGCCTGTGATCACTGAGTACAGTATGCTACTGCATACTGTGAAGTATATACAGCACTCGCAGCAGCGCACCTGCAAGTGCTGTATACAAGCCGTCGCACAGAAGGTATTTGCAGCGCGTGGTTGAGGGCAGCCTTCTGGAATCCCGCAAGCTTTCGTAGACGCTGGCTCTCGTCGACCTGCACCCCGTGACGTTGCACAGTGCCGGGCAAAAAGTGTCACGGGGGGAAGGGAGATGTGGTGAGGTCGAATGTCAGATGCGGGCTCGGCGACACACACACACCTTGACTGACTTGATTTCGAATAGTCTTTTGTGCATCTCAATCGAGTCTGCAGTGAGATAATCGAGCCGCGAAGCAGAAGTCCCGGATCCGCTGCAAGACGGATCGAGGATGACTCCCTGAACATCCTGTAGGCGAGAATCTCCAACGACGTCGACTGCCAGAAAGTCTTGCACATAAGCGATCACGTTTCTCGCACCCGCACGCTCTGTGTTTTGCTTCAGGGTTTCGACGCGAGCTGCGTTCTTGTCGAAGGCGACAACTGTGGACCGCCCACGCAGGATTGACGCGACGTGAGTCGTTTTGTTCCCCGGAGCAGCGCAACAGTCCAGGACCTTCCAGTTGTCGCGCACACCTAGTGCATGTGCTGGGAGGCAGCTCGACCTGTGAGGGACCAAAAGCGCTCAAAGCAGCGATTCACGGAGACAGCCCTGCAAAAGCGTCGAGTGCACGTGACTCATTCTAGCATCTCACCAGCTTTGAAGCACGAGGGTCCCGTTTTTGACCAGCGGGTGGTCATGCATGCGCGTTGCCTTCGGCAGAAGCAGCACATCTGGCAACATGTTGTCAATCTGCACATCCGTGAGCGGGAGGGCCAGTGAGGCGTGCTCCGCTGGCGGCGCCACAAGCCAGCTGACCGCTTCTTGAACGGATTTTTTTATGAGATTCACTCTCACGGACCGGAATCGTCCGTGATTTTGACATCCTGCGACAAACGTGCGTGAGCGTCTACGACTGAGGTGCAGACACGAACACCACGCTCTGCTGCGAGCGTGCAGCAAAGAGTCCTCCAACAGCCTTTGCGCGACCATGTCGTTCGTGATTGGCCCAGAACATGCGCGAGAGGGACATCCCACCTTGCGGTGCCGACTCCTGTGAGTCCTGCGCCGCGATCACGCGATTGACAGCCGTTTGCAACGCATCTTTGATCCTGATCATCGCAAGCTCTGCCCGTCCTCTTGGTTGGATGCCTTTTCCTGCCAGCATCTCGTACCCTAGGACATAAATCACCCCAGGACGGAGGTTCAGCCGCCTGACGGCGACCTTCTCTTTCAACAGTGCCTGCACAGCGTCAGGCGCCAGAAAAAGGCATGTTGAGCCACAAGTCAGTACAGCGGGTTTGCCACAACGCACGACGCAGACACCGGTGGGATCATTTGCGTGCCTGTAGGAGCACTGGGAGGAATTTGACTGCCTCAACAGTGACGGCGTACGTTGCTGCTTTCGCTCGAACGTGCGGCGCGAGAGTCAGCCCCTTGATCGTACATCCTCCTGCGTCAAGACACTTGCGTGGTGATGACGCTTCATTGTCGACGTCAGAGAACAGCTTGTTGTCGTCACGAGCAAAATAATTCATTAAAGTAACAAAGCCGTGTTAGTCATCTAACGATCACTTAGGGCTTCTCGCGCTTGAGTCCTTGCGCGCTCACAGGATACGCGCTATCAGAATCGCGCGTGTGGCTGATGGGTGCACGCGTGCGAAAGACGTCGGACAGTGCACTCATGTTGGGTAGTCCCGAGCGGCCACGCTGAAACGGTCCTGGACGCGCACCTTTGCCGGTGACGCCGGCTCGAAGGAGCTTTTCGACGGCGGCGGCCGCTTGCTGATGGATGTGGTTGACCGGCATCAGATCCGCCTTTTGGGAGACCCGTTTTGCTGGCGTGGATCGCACAGATAATCTGTCATCCAGAGCTTCCTCATGTCCCCCCCGCATGATGTCTGCTAACAGGCGAGTGTCCGGGTACGCTTCCGTTCGGCTGTCCGGGCGCGCGACGTCCGCTTTGGCCCGGAAGGTTGATATCGGCGCTCACGTCTCGGAGAAGGCGATAAAGGCGCAGCATTCACGGACACAGCTCACGATCCGTCCCGCTCTTTCCCATATGAGATAGGCTGCGGTTGCGGGGCTGCTCGCCAACGGCCAGAGCAGTTGAGCGGACACCGGTGATGCAACGCCAGCCTCTGCAGCCTCCGTTCGGGCCCAGCTGAACATCGAACTTCTAGGCGCTGGTCGGAACGCAACTCGAGATAATTAGTGACTGAATGGCACGCGCGGGATCCCAACTGAAGCGATTTCACGCGAGCTGCCCGGGAAAGTGTCCACTGCTGGATCTGCACCCGGCCCGTCCACGCTGGGCATCGAACGGAAAGTGTCAATGAATCTTGCAGATTGTGCTCCCACCCCGCGCTGAAACTTGCAGCTGAGCTCCTCGCCGGCGACAGACCCCAGACCCCGGGTCACCCGGTCCGACCGGGTCTGTGTGCTGGGATCTCTCATAGTCGAGGGCCCTTCAGAACAACTCAGGGATGAACAGCATTCGGCAGAACATGAGTGCCGGGTGCCGTGCGGAATGCGCATGATAGGGTGGCCGGGAGCAACGACGGCCCCCGCGTTGGAGTAACCACACCATGGTTGTTGTTTCTTCGCGAGGATGTCGTTCGTACCGCAGGGCGCTTCGCCCACGAGGCCGAGCCTTCGCACGCGCTCAGCGTCACGCCCGGATGACGAACCGTTCACACGAGCACATGGTTGATCACTACAGGTGTGCGTTTCTTCAGTGCAACGCTCGGGTCCGGAGTTCAGGGCCGGGCACGATCGCGCGCGCGCAGCGTTCGTGGAACGACATTCGTGGGCGATCGAACGCAGCAAGATCGTGCGTCAAACCAGTGGACGCAGATGTCGGGATCAAACCACACGGATCCTCGCCGTTCTACCAGAAAGTCCATCGAGGGTCGCATGAGGCTCCTCCTTTCAGCACTTTGTGCGGTGGTTGAAGGCGGCGGACACTTGATCGTCAGCCTCGAGGCGCGGCACCCCAGGCGTCTCCAGACGACATCTCGTGCGGCATTTCACAGTGCTCTAGTGCATGCTGCTGCATCGCCACACTTGCGCGGCGGCGAACTCTGGGAGGACGCGCTCGAAGAAATCTGTTGTGGTCTTCGCGGCAGGAGACACCACTTCGTTTTTTTTGTCACTCCTGAGGAGCAGTGCTATCTGCCCAGCACACAAAACGCGTACCAAGCCTCACTGAGCCTTGTCGCCTTTCTGTTCAGGCTCAGATTTCTTGCCCACGACAACCGCGGCAATTTGGCCTGCCAGCGGTTTCGCCGCCCATGACGACTCGGCGACCATCTGAGCTGTCAAGCTCTGATTTGCTCGCTTGGCACCCTCGAGGTCTTCTTGCAACTTTGCGAGGGAAGATTGCAGGCGCTTCACTTCGCTCTCGAGCTTCGCCTGCGGCGCATGGCACGAGCGCGAGGTTGAGGGGCTGCTTTCAGGCACGGTGTCGCAGGCGCTGAGCACGTGATCGTGGCTCCACCGCGGGGGGGGCGTCGAATCACCTCGCGAGCTTCCGCCTTACGGGAGCGCTCTTCGGCTTCCATGAGACGGGCATGCAGCTCAGCCCGAAGGGAGGCCGCCGACGCAGCAGCCTCAGCCCTTGCCTCCTCCACCGCGCGGTTCTTGCGCTGCTCCGCCACGGCGAGCTCCGCGCGCATCACCACGTTCTCGTGCGCGCTCTTCAGAGAGTCGTCCAGCACGCTGTCGTATTCCCTCTTGATCGCCGACAGCAGCGGCTTGTACGTTGTGAAAGCTTGAATGAACGCCTCGAACACCTGCGCGGACGGCCGCATCGAGGACAGCAGAGTCGCGTGAGATCCGGTGCGTTGGAACTCGACGGGCGGCGAGAGACACGGCCTGCGATGCAGCCGCTCACCTGTCGATGCGCATCAAGCCGCAGATTTGCTGCGCCTACGTGTGTCCGCTGCGAACCATGCGCCGGCCCCTGGACGAGCCTCTCGGCAGCACGCAGCTTGTCCCCCAGCATCTGCTCCAGCTTCTGCAGCAGGCGCGGCTGCTTCGTTCCAGCACGCGGGAAAATTTCCAAGTACCCGGGCTGCCCCATCTCCCTTGCGAAGTTGACCTGGTCATCACGCGGACGCAGTGCCTCGAGGGAGCCAGGTCGACGGAACAAATCCGGCAGCGCGGCTTGCAACTCAACGGCACGGCCGGTAAAGGCCCGCGCAGGGGTTAGGTCCGTCGTGAGAGGGTCTTTCGCCACTGTACCGACCGCCCCGGTCGCCCCAATCCCCGGCCTGCGCTCGCAGAGATGGTATGATCCAGCGTGGGGAAATGCGGCCCGAAACACTCAGCGCCGTCGCGTGGAGGGCGTGCTAGTAGTGCACCCATGCAGCGCTCCCTCGGCGCTGCGTTCGAGTGCGCGAAACACGCGTTTCCATGCACCAAGGCCTCCTCACCCTGCGAGTGACACCTCGGCAGCGAGGTCCTCGCCCATGTATGCCCCGGAGCCAACTCCGGCCGCGGCCATGGCGTTGCCTATTCCTGTCGAGGCCCCACGGAGCGCCTCAATACGAGAACGACGTGCCCTGTTAGCTCTATGCGCTCCGGACGACTATGCAGTGAGGCGGCGGCGTCGCTCCCAGGGCCTTGAAGCCGGCAGAGCCGCTGCAAGCCGGGCTGGCCAGACCAGCTCAGGCGCGTTCAACCGGGGCCTGCTGCGAGCGCCCGCGACGTTGCGCCGCGGCGCTGGAGGTGCCGCGCATCTTCGCCGCGAATACTCGTGGACGCCTTCGCGTTAGGACTCCGGGATCTAGCGGAGGTGGTTTCGCCCGCCTCGGCGCGGCTGGACACCATGCACCCCTTCACGAGGCAGCAGCTCACGGGCGGAACAAAGTATGGGAGCAAGTGTATGATTGGGAACTGGAACGAGGACTGGGAGAGGCAGGACGGCGTCATTCGTGATGTGCTGACGAAGCACGCAACCGGCACATTGCGCCTGGACAGCCACAACACCAAGCTGGCTCGCAGCCTGTGCGCGGTGGACATCAAGCCCAGGGGCGACGACGGCTACGTGCGGCTCGGAGAACAAGTGCAGATGGTGCACATGGCCTCGCGGTCCGTCCTCGCGAGTGACGTGGACCTAGACATGGGTGAGTGCACCGTCACAGCTACGGACAAGTTCGAGAGCAAGGCGCCATGCCCGCGCAGCACGTTCGTGCTGCAGGCATACAACCCGAGAAAACCGAACGCATACGATAGCAGAGCACCAGAAGACCAGGTACTCCGTTATGGCAGCAAGGTGCGCGCGGCGCGAGGCAGTCGAGCATGGCATGTCTGCAATCGCGGTGCCCCACTGGGTCGCGGCGTCTCGGGCTGCCCCATGCCATCGGTCCTTGCGACAGCTTCCGCGGTGGGGACTGGACTCGCGCGGCGACGCCTCACACGGGCAGGCGCGGGCCGGCTCGCGCGGGTAGGCTGCGGGTATGTGCGACCCCTGGGCTCCTGTGCGCCCGAGCATTTCCTGCCCTGACGCCTCGCGCAGGTTCGCATATATCTCAACAACATGGTGAAGGGGGACGACTTCGACCCTTCCGGTGGACGGGAGCCGCTCATGCTCTGCAGTGCCCCACAGGCAGGGGGCAGGATCGCCCGCGGGAGCAAACACCAGCTCGTTACAGTCACAGGCATCGAGCGCTATGACTCTGTCTGGCAGGTGCTCCCCTCAGCACGCCCCCGTCCGCGCGCGCGCCAACCACGGCAGCGACCGCGACCACGGGCTCACAGAGGCCCTGGACGCCCTCCTCCACCGACTCCGCAGGTCGTTCACCCTGTCGCCCTGAAGAGACTTGCGTCGGAAGGGCTCCCGGTGCTCGCTGGAGCGCCGATTGCGCTGATCCATTCCGCGACGAACATGCCACTACACGTGGAGCAAGCACACATGATGCTCACAGGTGTGCGAGTCGTCGGCGTCGCGTTTCGCAGCGCATCATGCACGTGCACTCGAGAGATCGTCCGCGCGGCTGACGGTCGCCCCCCCACCTGCCGCTTCCCCTTGTGCAACTGTTGTGCGGGTCAAGTGGGGGGCTGCCACAAACCTCCAGACATGGATTCTGTTGACTCCGCCGCTCGTGTGCAGACTTTGGGCATGAGTTCGAAGTCACGGCGTTTATCGCGCGGAGCAAGGGGGTGGTCGAGTCCTTGGGAGAGGACTGGCAAGGCCTCGACCTGCATGAAGGAAATCACTTCGTGCTGGTGAACCGCGACATGTCCGAGCCAGACGGGCCTGACGCATCCGAGCGAGAAGCGGCCCCAGCGCGCGCAGTCCCGGACCACGAGGGCCAGGAGGCCACACCGGCGCCGCCACCGGTCGAGGATGGTGCCCCTGAGGTGCCACCACCACCAGCTGTGCATCCCGCGATTCAGAGAATGGACGAGCTGGACTAGCACTGGAGGCGCAGCCGAGAAAGGGATTGTGCGGTCGCCGGGCAGGGCATGCGACAGTCGTCCCCGCTCTAGCGCATGGTCTGGCAATGGAAGCCCTGACAGCCCGCTGCGACTCGTGTCCACGTCCGAAAGCCTGTGTGATGTCGATCTCACAGCCGCGCAGATGTGTTGCCTCGCCTCGGCGCTATAGTAGGTCGTTCAGCATCATGTTTAAGAAATACCTGCAAGCGAGACGGCGTGAACGGCTGGGACTGCGGTGGCGCGCGGTCGCGCGCTCGGCGAGGCTGCAATATGCAAGCGTTGCGCTGTCGAACGCACCTCCCGGTCGGCAGCACGTCGAGTCGGTTGTGTTGCGGGACGTAACGTCCGTTCCGGAATTTGTACTGCGGCGATGCGGGACCACCGCGCGGGGTTGAGCGCTCTCGTCTGCAGCCTGGTGCGAGAGTGTGCCGGGACGATGTGGGCAACGGGCTCTTCTCCGCACCTGCTTGACCACCCGCTCCACCACATACTCGGAGACCTGCCCCCCAACTTCGACCTCAACCTGCACGTGTGCGGTGCGCGCCTTCAGCGGTAGGGGCCACACAGAGACAGCAGAAACATTCGAGCACATGTGCCGCGGGCCCTTCGCCGGACGCGCGAGGTCGGGAAACCCAGCACACCTGCTCGCCACAGGCAACAATCGGCGTTTCAAAGTGATGTATCCCGAGACTTCTGCATCGCACGTGGAGTTGAAAGCGTCATGAACGCCTCGGCAGCGACGACCTTCCGCGGAAGCTCAGGAAGCAGCGCGTGTCGCGCGAGACACACCCAACACTAGGTCACGAGCTCTCTGCCCATCAGTTCACGGGGAAGCAGCGCTTCGCGCACGCTGTTCTCCTTCGTTTGCAGACAGTCCGGCGGCGTGTCAGGTTCGCCGCGTTTGGGGAACGGGGAAGGCCGCTCTCTCGGCACCACCAACGAGGTGCATGCCCTCCTCCGGCGTGCTGGCGCGACATTGCGGAGCGGAGCATGGCACGCCGCTCTCAAGCGCGCTCCGGGGTGGCAGCGAGCTTCACCGATCCCCGGACGCAGCTTCAAGGCGAGCGCTTCGCGCACCTCGGAGGTGGGGAGAGATCACGCAGCTCGTACTCGCCAGGGCGCCCTGCCTTGCGCCGTGCGCGACACTCGACGCGTGGCGTGCGGCATCTCGTGCGAGTCACGAGTCTCCGGGCCGTCCTCTGCCCGCCCCTGGCCAGCGGCCGCCCGCTCGCCACACTCCAGCACGCCTTGCCCGTGCTGAGCGGGATCATCTCATGCTGCGGGCGCTGCCAACGACGTCTCGCGCCGACCTGTTTCGACGCTGCTGCTGTTGTCGCAGGTAGCCGTCGACGGCAAACGCAGTAGCGGTGGCGGCGCCCAGCATTCGCCCCGGGAGCTCGGAGCGCCCCCAGACTGGCAGTGAGTCTCGACCAGTTGCACCTCCATCCGGTCCCCGAATGTGACGACACAACGCACCGTTTCCCCGGCTGGACACTTCTTGGCGGCTTCCTGTGACCGTGTTTCGGCGAGGAATCCGGTGGCCGGTGGGTGGGGACGCCCTCGCACCTCGAGGATGCAACAGCCAGCGCCTTCACGGTAGCGTCGTACATGGCGCCCGGCGGCTGTCGCTCGCGGGAGCGCGCCACGAGCTTGTCGAGCGTATGGGCACCTCGGAACAGCGTTCGGCTTCGGTGCCGAACGTGGTGCTACGTGGCCACCGCTCCGAAGTACAGTGTGTGTGCTTCCTGAACGACAGCCACGTCGCCAGTGGAGACGCAGGCGGGCAGGTGTGGTAAGACTCCCTGCACCAGACACTGCACTGAACGCCTCGCTCTCGGCGGGTTCGAAAGGCGTGCGTGCGAGCAACGAAGGGTTTTCGTTTCTTGCAGGTTTTGGGACCTGGGCACGCGTCGCTGCGTGCATACAGCTCAGTGTCACTCGTCGCATGCCGGTGTTCTGTCCCTGCACTTCTTGCACCGGGCGAACGTGCTCGTCACGCAGGGCCGCGACGGCAGCTGTCGAGCCTGGTCTGTGCGAGGGTTGAGCGACGGAACGACGGAAATCACCCAGCTAGTGGAAATTCCGAGCTCGGAGTACACTTTCTGCCGATGCTGTGCGATCGAGGTGTGCCGAAAAGTTGCCGGCCCGTGATGATGGACATCATGAGAGTCTCGTCCACACTGATGCTGCGACGACGGGTCCCTCAACGGCCGTGCAGGTGGACGCAGGCTACCCAGTGGCGCCCGACGGCTCATGCCCGGCATTCTTGCTCGGTTCGCCAGGGACTGGTGACGATGCGATCGCAGTTTCCGCAGCACTCTACTCGGAGGTTGCTGATAAACCTTTGACTTGGCGGGCGCTCTGCCGCGCGACGCGCCCAGATGACCAGGTCGGCATGCTGCTATGCATGAGCATGGTATCGACGACTGGCGCCGCGCAGGCGAGCAGAAGTGCGTTCGCGGCAAAGGCCTTCGGTGGGTTTGAGAGTGGGGAGGTGGCGATTTGGGGCGTGCCTTGGGCTGCCGGGGCGGGCAGTGTCCAGTGCCTTCACAAGCTTAAAGTCCATACGGAGCCGGTGATGTGCATGTGCTGGGAGCTGGGCGGGAGGCGTGGGCTGTGTGCTGGTGCCGATGGAAAAGCGAGCTTCCTCCTCGCTCGGTCAGCGGGGCGTAGCGGTGTGGCGGACGATGGCGGAGCGGAGCTGGTTCTGAAGGGTTCGTGCCGCATCCCGAAGAGAGGCTGGACGGACGTGGCTATTGGCAACGGATCTCGCCTTGCAGCTGCCGCAGGAGCAGACGGCCGCGTTTGGCTGGTAGACTTCAAGACCAGATCGGTGGTGACCGCACTGGAGCAGGCCGCAGATCTGGACGGCGCCGTCACCTCGGTACGATTCTCACCGGACCTGACGCTGCTTGCCTCCGTCGCACGCGATCGCTCCGTCATCATCTGGGACGTACGTAGGCTGCGCGGGCACGCATCGGAGCACCCCCAAGAGGCCGTTCATTGAACACCAGTCGCTCCCTTGATGTAATGTAATGAATACAGGGTCAGTGCGGCTGCTGGTTCGCCTGCCGACTTCTCAGCATCGATGAGCTCAACTTCGTGCCGTCGGCCTGTTGCCCGACGATTCCGACAGCGACAACTGAAAGCGCAGGATACCCGAATCCCCTGCGCTGCTCGTTGATGGCGACACCTCCAGGCACGGTTTCCAAAGAGACGACAAGTGCCTGCAGCGAAGGTTCGATTTTTCGCAGTGGATTGAGAGGGCTCTCGTGCGCTTCGTCCATCGGTGCGCCCCGTGCGGGTTCGTTGCGCCTCCGAACGAACCTGCATGTCCGCCACCGTCGCAGCTGCAGTCGGCTCCTTCGGATCCACCAAAGCGCCCGTTTGAACATGAATATCTGGGCGCACGGAACGGAGGAAGTCCAGCACCCACCGCTCACGCTCCTCGTATGACTGCGCTCCACAAACGGGGGGCGGTTCAGACGCAAGCGCCGTCGAGCCCCCTGACTGGCAGGATGAAGCATGAGCAGCGTGTGGCATGCGACTGGAGATCACCTGCAATAGTTCCCTGTGGGCCTTTGAGGCGAGCAGCTTGTCCGCAGTGATTCCGACGTACAGCAATTCGCGCGCCAAGAGCGCCCCTGCAGCAAGCAGCAGCCTGCGTGGTAGCGAGGACGGGTGCATGTACCATTGCCAGGGTGCAGGGCCTCTCTCTGCTGGCTCGAATTGGACAGGCGACCGCAAACCCATGCGAAGGAGCACCTGTGCCCCGCGTGGAGACGGTCGAAGGTGCCGCCAAGCGCGACCTTGGAGAAGGAGACGGGACCGTTGCAAGGCGCAGCTGGTCCATCAACCGTCCAATTTCTTCCGATCGGCGCCGTGACGCGCGGCTGCGTCCAAGCAAGCGGGGTGCGATCATCAGGCGTCGCGATCAGGTCGTGGGCGTGCCGTTGACGGAGAGGACGTCCTTGGGGGCATACCGCAGTGTGTGGTTCGAGCAACGATTCTCCAGGATTCACTGTATTCAGTGAGCAAATGTCTTGCACGACGAGGTTGTGGTCGGCCGACTCGACAAGGGCGCGCGGAAGCTGGCCAAAAGTCAGGCCTTGGTCATTGACAGGCGTCGCCTTGATCATCTCCAGTAGACATCGCCAAGCACTTCCATCGCTGCGTGAAGTGCGCGCACGGCGCACCAGATCGTCACGATGAAGCGCGTACGGGGGCGCACATCAGGGCGCTCTCGACCGTGCAATGTGCAACACAGTCAAAGCGCCGGGGATCGCACTTGACGGCATGGCCTGCCTGATTGCATGCTTGCAATGCAACAGCCTCCGGGGGCGCGACAAATAGGGCCGACATGGTGCGTTTGCCCGCGCCTGGTGCCTGGATGTACTCAATGTTGAAATGTGTGCCCGCTACAGCAGGTCGAACGTCCGCACATGGCCGGGTGCTGATCGACACCGCCTCATAGATGCGCTCCAGTGCTCCCAACGTGTCGAGAGAGATGCCACGGTGAGCATTGCCAGCGAGTCCTCGGACGATTTCACCCCGTTCCTCTTTGGCCCAGTCCCTGGCCTGACTTGCGTCGTAGAGCAAGACGATGAGTGTTCCTCGCACGACGTCGACAAGCCTTGCGATCGTCTTTTCGAGCGGTTGCAGGTCGAGATCGGCCGACGTGCACACCGCGTAGACCGCAAGGTCATGCTCCATTCCCACGCCCGACCCCGCCCGCTTGTGAGGAAGGTCACCGCTCGAAGTGTCGGCGAGGCTGAGATGATCAGCCTTGAACGACGTGAACAGCAGTCGAGACTTGTCGTGTTCGCCGCAGTGCATGCACGGAACCCGAGCGGCTGAGCCGGCAGACCTCCAGGCCGTCAGCGGTCTCCGCGGTAGAACGTTCCGCCCACGCAGGTGGGCGCATTCACCTACGGGCTTTGGCCTTGCCGAATTGAACGTCCGCGGCGCCGGCATGCGCGCATGAGCGACAGCGCTGTCTTCCTCACCCACAGCACAGGAGGCGCGAGGGTGCGCAATGGTCGTTTCCTTCCCGGAATGCGACGAGTCGGGGACAGCGATGCGTCATAGTCCACTAAGCGGGGCGCGGAGGCCAGAGACCTAGTCAGGCCTCCCCTGAGCTCAGCTGTGGAGTGGCTAGGCATACGAACAGTCCCTGCTGTCAGGACACACCGAAGCGAGCGACGCGTCGTCCTTGCATTCGCGGAGGACTCATTGCGCCGATCGGTCTCTAGTGCTGCGGTCGCGCGCTTGGCCGCGCCCGCGGGACCGTCTCTCGGCCGATCCCCCTGCCATGGTTTTTGGCGGGCCGCGGTCGTCACATCGCCCCATCGGCGTCACTTGACAGCCTCGACCTGATTCAGCGAGGCTAGCACGGCGTCGAGCGCTGCTTCCACTTCCTTGGCAGCCTGACGCGCTGTCTCTGGCGAGTCCTTTGCGCGCATGATGCCATCGAGGTCGAGCAGGGCCCTTTTCAGCCGCGCTTCCTCGTCCGCGGACACACCGTCAAGTTCGTTCGACACATTACGCAGGTCCTTGTTGAGATTGCTGATGGCCCCCAGCCGGAGCTGCTCCCTTGCTGATCGAAAGTCACCAGCCGCCGCTAGCAGCTCCACTCTCTGCAGAATGTACGCGTTTCCGCAGGCGGGTGAGCACGCGCGCGTTCTACGCTGTCCGCTATCGCAGCGCTGGATCGAGACGGGAACGAGAAATACATCCTCTCCTGGTCGCTTGCGCTTGCTTTGAAAGAATGCAGAGCCACCATCGAGCGATGCCGTGCACGTTCGTGCGGCCGGGAATGGCCTCACGCGTCGAGGCGTGCGACGGTGCTCGGTTGGCACGCGCGTTCGCAAGTCGCAGCGATAGTGCAATTCACCTTCAGTTGTTCGCGCGCACTGCGCAGTCGTACGACCCTGGACTCCTCGGCTGCGACGGAACGGCACTTGGCATCGGGTGTGAGAGCACGCTGCGCACTTTCTTGCGACGTTGGAAGATCGACGCATGCAACCTGTTTGTGCTTGGGCACCCGGTCTCTTTCTAGTTCGACAAGGAGCCCACTCACCCTTGCCCGACGACGCGTATGACTTCAGAGCGTTCACGACCGAGTCATTCCCTGCGATACTACTCCTGCAGAGCCCCAAGCCAGCCAGGAGAGTGCTGCCTAGCAACACAGCTCGACGCGCTTGCGTTTGGTCTGTTGCGCAAAGACGCACGTTGCGCTTACTCGGAGGTGCACGCGCTAGGGACGGAAATCGTGTCGACAAGGGAGATGCGCGCGTGAGGTGCATCGCGCAAGGCGCCTGGAGCAGCTTCTTTGGAGCGGTGACCTCCGCGCTGGACGCGTGCATGGTGCGTCGTCAACCGGCCGCGCTGAGCAATCCCGCGAATACCTCACGCTTTTTCTACGGTGGCTCCCGAATCCCCCCAATGTGCCTCCGAGACGACGTCCGACAGGGGCACTGAGTGCCCCGGGCAAGTCAGCTGTGCGCCACGGCAGCGCCAAACCGCATCGTGCAGGCTGCGACCTCTGCCCCAAGACCCCGGGTCGTGCATCCGGCCGTCACCTTTGCGCTGACTGCGTGTCACGACATTGTTGCATCACAAGTCGCTGCACACATGCACTTCCCTCTCATGGCTCGGCTAGATGCTCTTTGACAAGTACTCGGCGATGTCCTGCGGGGTGTAGTCGTTTGCCTCGAGGTACCCGACGATCCTACGCAGGCTCGCGTCGACGTCGAGGCCCATGAGTGAAGGTCGCGCCACCAGGACCTGCAGACAGGTTTCCACGAGCCTGTTCGAGTCAAGAGCCCAGTCGGCTGCGGGGCGGGGCAGGGGGTGCGCGTGCCACCGGCGATTTCGCACCCTGCCGGGGTCTTCGATGTCGATTCCTGCCAGGAAGTCGACAAGCGGTTTGAGACGCTCCTCGACGCTGTAACACAGGACCGGCGGGTGCTCCAGAATCACCGAGCAGACCTCCTCCTCGTCGAGTCCAAGGGTGCGGAGGTACTCGACCACGGGACGGATGTCCTGCAACAAACGCAGAAACGACGGCACTCGACCATCCTGGTTCACGAGGAACTGCGGGGCTGTCACGCATGGCGCGTCAGCCGAGACTGTGACGCACCTGGTCGACGTCCAACAACCGCGACGACTTATTCTGGTTGCGCTTCCGGTCCCGGAACGTCACGAACATTGAGTTTGGATTCATGGCCACGTCGCAGATGCGAGCAACCTCACTCGCGTTGTTGATTCCCAGGGACCGCAGGTACGCTGCGGCTTCCTGCAGAACATCCAGCGAAGCGACTGTCCCTCGTGGGCAAGGCGCAGGTGCCCACGCCTCGATGGCGCGTTGTGTGCCGAGGACTTACCCGGTACTTGCTCATCCTGTAGGCGTTCTGATCCATATCTGCCTCTGCACAAAGTTAGACCCCATGTATGTGCGGTCATTCCGGCATATGTGGCCCGTACATCGCTCGCATCAACGCCTCACATCGTCCGCCCAGGCGGTTGCACCCCGCCGCCCTTTGCACGGGCCCTATGGTCCGATCTCGGGGTCAACCAAGCTTTGATAGCATATCCCTGGGGCATATCTGGACATAAGAGAGCCAAGTTGACCAGCGGTGCTCTCATCAACGAACCACTGTGCGGTTTCGGGACACCACCTTTCTGTTCACTGCTCCCACTCGCCTTGCACGGCCTTAGCAACGGACAACGGCTCCGTCCCAGCAGCGAACGGCGATCCTCATATGGGCGATGCGGCCGACTGATCTGTGCAGCTGGCAAAGCTAGCGCCGTCGCTGGGCAGCGACGGCTTGTGGAGCATGGGCGAAGGACGCAGCCGCAAGGCCACGCATGTGAGAATTGGCCCATTCGTCTCCGCGTTGCGCTTCAGTCCACAGTGCGACCATATGCTGCGGGTTGGCGCAAGGCCGTCCCCGTCATGACGCCGTCGCGGCCTTCGGGGCGTGTCAGGATGGCCCCGCCGGGGAGTTGCCCCTCGCCCGCGAACTGGCGATGGAGGGCGACAATCGGCGCCGCTGCTGCACAGTCAGCGCTTCGCAAGCGGCTGCCATTTGCGTGCGCAAGCGAGCAACAATGCTGGACATCAACGCCTTCCGCCAAGGTGGGTCTTGATCGGCGGGCGCAGCCCCCCGGTACTGGACAAGCGGGCATGATCGTCTCGCCGATACAACGTACACTTGATCATGTTGCCGCGGCATTGATCGAGCCTTCGTCGCAGCTTTGTCAACCCCGGGTGTGCGATGCGGCCAGCCAGAGCTGCAGGCCCTCACGCGCGGCCTCTGTTGCAGCAACACCGTTCAGAGTGCCCGCGTGCGTGCAACGCATGTCAGGATGTAGGCCAAACACCCAAGTGGGGCGCGTTCCTGCGCCTGCGCCGCCACCGCAGGACGGTTTGGCCAGAGCTGCTCCAGCTTCGATCAGCTCTGCTCAGAGCGGGTGACTGCGCAAGAGATTGTTGCCGCGACGATCTCATGTTTGTTCTGGCTGCAGAGAGGGGCTCGGACCCGGAAGTGGTTAGGGAGAGCCAGAAGAGGAGATATGCAGATGTCAGTCTGGTGGACAAAGTGATCGAACTCGATCAGGTGCGTCGTCCCTCTCGTTCGCGTTATAGTGCGCTCCGTCCACGAGGGCTGGGTGCGATGTGCCAGGATGCGGCCGGCCATGCTGACCCGCCGAGCACGACGTGATGGATGGCTCTGTCACCCGGTGACTTGTATCTCGTGACACGACGACATTTGCGCGCGCGCGTGCGACCATGTGACGGTCCGTAGACGAGAGTGTCCTGCAGACTTGGCGCGCTGCTCAGGGCAAGATGGAAGGCGCGAAGATGGAGTTCAACAAGCTGAACAAGGTGTGAAGGGACGCCCGCGGACAGCACGCCCCAGTCGAGCCCTCAGCGGGGCGCGGAGGCCGTGAACGTGCGTGGCGTGGCGTCGATGACACCGCTGGTGCGCGTGCGTGACCGTGTTGTTCAGGAGATTGCTGCCTTGCGCAAGGCCAAGGAGGACGCGTCCGAGCTGATGGAGAAGAGCAAGGCCATGAAGGAGACGATCAAGCAACTCGAGGAGCAAGCGAAGACTGCCGAGGACGCCCGGGATGCTGCGATCCTGCCCATTGGCAACCTTGTGCACGACAGCGTGCCCGTCAGTGACGACGAAGCGAACAACGTCGTCGTGCGCACGTGGGGCACACCCAGGAAGGCTTCGGACGGTCAAAAGCTGTTCAATCACGTGGACTTGGTGCAGATGCTCGGAATCGTCAACCTCGAGAAAGGAACAGAGGTATTTGCGAGAGGTCCTGATCGTGAGCGCAGCGCAGCGTGCAACAGTGAGAGGCATGTGTCGAAGCAAGATCTCCCTGCCCTGGGTGTGCAGGTCGCCGGGAATCGTGGATACTACTTGTTGGGCGAGGGGGTGCTGCTGAACCAGGCGCTGATCAACTGCGCGATGCAGTTCCTGTGGAAGCGGGGGTACAAGCCGGTGCAAACACCATTCTTCATGCAGGTCTGTCGCACGCATGGTGCAGATCGCGCAGACGCGTCCCTTCCCGCACTTCCTCGTGCGTGGGGTCCCTTCTCCTGCCCCGCAGACACTTGCCTCGCACTTTGCCCCAACGGGCCACTCCCCCATAGGTGCTTCGCGTTTGCAGAAGGATGTCATGGCGCAATGCGCGCAGCTCAGTCAGTTTGACGAAGAGCTCTACCATGTCACGGGCGAGGGCTCGGACAAGTACCTGATCGCCACATCGGAGCAAACCCTGTGCGCCCTGCACCGCGGGCTTTGGATGGGTGCGTCCCGCCAGCCGCCAGCCTGGACGACGCGTGGCGCGTCTTCTTGCGCTCCGAGACGCATCCGATCACGGGGCGGACGGCCCCCACGCATATGCCTTGCACTTGCGTCCCAGTGGCCACCGCAGCACCCCAGCACAAGCACCTTCTGATTTCCCCGGCTGCAGAACCTGCGGATCTTCCGCAGCGCATGGTGGGATACAGCACGTGCTTCCGCAAGGAGGCGGGATCTCACGGGAGGGACACGCTGGGCATCTTTCGTGTGCACCAGTTCGAGAAGGTCGAGCAATTCGTCGTGTGCAGCAGCGAGAACAACCAGAGCTGGGAGATCATGGAGGAGATGATCAGCAACGCCGAAGAATTCTACCAAGCGCTCAACATCCCCTACCAGGTACGACCCGCAAGCTGCCGCCGCCGCATCCGCTGTGGTACTGACGCTGCGTAGCGCGTCACCGACAAGTGTGGAGGACTAGCGACCGGTGTGCTGTTCGGCGCAGGTGGTCAACATCGTCTCGGGAGAGCTCAACAACGCCGCGGCGAAGAAGTACGACCTGGAAGCGTGGTTCCCAGCATCCGAGACTTTCCGGGAGCTCGTCTCGTGCTCGAACTGCACCGACTACCAGGTGCGGGGCTAGGTTCGCCGAGCGTGGTGCGAAATCGGGTGCCACTTGCATTGTGGGTAGCTGCTCCACTCAAGTTGACCCTCAACCCGTGGCGCCACCCGCAGTCCCGTCGTCTCGACATCAGGCTGAGGACGCCCAAGCAGCCCGGTGTCGAGCAGAAGAAGGAATTCGTGCACCTGTTGAACTCTACGCTGAGCGCCACGGAGCGCGCCTTGTGCTGCCTTCTCGAAAACAACCAGACGCCGGACGGTGTCAAGGTGCGCGCCTACTGCGCATGGAAACGCGTGCATCAGGCATGGGCGCTGCACGCGACAGCAGCTGCATGGAGCACCATCACACTCGCACCCCCTCTGCAATTCCTGCCTGCAGGTGCCGGAAATGCTTCAGCCCTTCATGATGGGCATCGATTTCATCCCGTTCCGATACACGCTCGACAAGAAGGGGATCCCGAAGCCCATCAAGAAGCCTGCCGAGACAGATGCGTCCATGGGGTCGCGCTGACGCTGAAGGTTGGTCGAAGCACGGTGCATGCATGCGTGCAGCCGTTGATGTAGGAGACCGCGTGCCCATCTTGGGGTTCGCACGCCGGACGTGCGTGCGGTTCCGGTCAGTCCTGGATGTACTCCTCCCCCGTCGCGAGCGCCGCCTCCGCGCGTGTGAATTCTCTTCCAAGATAGCACGCGTGGTCCAGCATTGAGCAGCGTGACACTCTCTGACGCTGTCCCCCCTCATTCTGCTCGAAGATGGCGATTTGTAGCTCCTTTGCCGTCCGCCCCCTGCGACGCCAGTGGATCATTGCCAGGGTTGGAGGTGCGCTGCAAGGTGGCGCAAACACTCCTAGCACGACGCCGCTTGTTCAGGACGACAGCACACCCGCATTTCGTTCCTCGCCAGGTGCATCGACTACTGCAAGGTCAGCACCTGTAAGTCTTCGAGGGCGGCCGCTTGTAACCTGGCGTGCAGGGAATCGGTTTCCCGGTGTCCGGGTCGCAGGCTACGCCCTTTTTGTTGATGACGTTCGTGTAGTGGTCCGCTACGATCTCCCCCTCGCCTGACCGGTCCACATAGATCACGAAATACCCGGCTGGATCCAGGTCGATGTGCCTCTTGGAGAACTGCAGCATCAGTGCCAAGAGGTGCGCGCGCTGCCTGGAAGGGGGGCAACGGCTGCGGGCACGGGTGGCGACCGGGGACTGCGTCCCAGACAGGGCTGCAGCACAACCATGTTGGATCGGCCGTCAAAACAACGCTGTCATCAACACGGGCTCGCAAACCTCGTCATCAAGGGCTTTATTCTTCCATCCACTGAAGGCGCTTTCAGGCACTGCGCAGGGCCGGATGTGCGCGTCCACGCGGCGCACAGTGGTGGGCAACCGACACCGTCGACGTCGCGTCTCCCGGAGCACCCGGCCCCTCGACCATGCGGTTGCTCTCGCTGAACGTGACACATGCATGGGTCGCACTCAAGCTAGCGGTGCTCGGTCCGAACGTGCAATGCCCGAGGCTGCAGTGCTCGTCCAGGTGAAATCGCACGCGTCGCGATGGTAGCGTCGTAACTGGCAGGGAAATGACCCGTGCTGTCTACGCAGCACGTTCCTGTCGTCCGGACACGGGGGCGGGGCGCGTGACACGGGGTCTGACACGCGAATGGCCGCAGGACCCCAACGAGAGAGGAGGCTGACTCCTGGTGGCTGAGCACGGCGCGCGGAGCGCGCAGCCGAGTCCTTGCGCCGCCGGCATGGCTGCGCAGCGCAGTAGCAACCTGCTTGCCTCGCGATGAGGGCTTCACCACGTCCACTCGGGGCTCCATGCTCATGCACCCTAAAGCTTGGCGGACGCCGCGGGCCTGCGTGGGTGCGTGCCTCGCGGCGCGCACGCCACGAGCGCCCACGATCAGAGCAACCGTTCTCGGATGGTTGCCGACGGGCTGGCGCGTTGCGGGACCTGCGAGCGCGCGCGCGTTCTGATGGCCAAGCAATTCTTCTGGATGGGGAGGGCCGGGAGGTCGTCTACTCCAACATGCCGTGGGACAGGGCTCTCATACGTGCCCTGAATGGGTGAGATGCGACGGGAAACGCTTGATGTGTGCGCGCGACGCGCCTCTGCGCTCTGAGTGCCCCCACCACGCACCGCGCCGCACGCGGGGCGACCAGCGTTCGTGCGTGATCCGACTGCACAATCTGGCCTGGATGGCGAGCGCCGGCCGCTCGCTCAATTAACGCGTCGGACGAGGTCGTGCGACGGCAGCACTGTTGCCCTACCATGAACCTGGCCGTGCTCCGCCTGGCCCCGTCGCAGGGGGATGTCGGCGGTCCAGGGGGACATCCGGCCTCAGGCATCGATGTGGGACTACGACGGGTTCGTTGAGCTTGCGAAGTTGCTGAAACAGTCGCACAGCGACGTTGGCCAGCAAGAGGCTGCTCTGCAGGTGCGCGTGCCTCGCTTGTCGCTGCATGATACTGCCTTCGCCCCTCACTTTCTGAGGTCTGACCGCTGAGAGCGACCCTGTCGCAGCCCTAGTTACTGCTGCGGTCCCCAGCCCGCCTCTGGGACGCGGCACTCAAGTGCACACTCCAGACCCGGGCTTGCGCGGCAGGCGTGCTGCCCGTCGCTGGTGCACGACATGATCGGGGCGACACGGCGCTCCATCGCAGACGCCCCGTGCAGAGTTTCATTCCTGCCTCACTCATGTCCGCGCCCGACTCGCGTTGCAGGTGCTCCTGTACCTGACGCCCAAGCAAATCATGTGGGTGTTCGGGGCCCTGTACCGCGCCAGTCCGGCGCAGGCGTGCGAGTTCTTCGCGTGGGGGTCTGCGATCGCCTCCGGTGCGCCCCACGTGCATGGAGACCACTGTTCAGCGCAATGCCTCGGATCCATTGAAATCGCTCGTCCGCACTGCTAACAGCACCGTGACGTGGATCGCGTCTGCAGCATTCCTCGTCGGTCCGAGCGTGGTGGAGCAGGGGCCGGTCCACCTGGGCGCGGAGGAGGCGCGCACCGACCTATACTCCACGGTCAAGATCCGCAAGTGCAGGTGCGCGCGCCCCCCGCCCATGTCGCCGCCGCCGCAGGCCGAGGGTGTCGCGCGACGCTCCATGCGCTCCTCTCCGCGTGAGATGCAGGTTCCTCACCGAGAGCGGGGACTGCGTGGGCATGTGCACCAACATGTGCAAGATTCCTGCGCAGCGCTTCTTCGCTGAACACGTCGGAGTGCCCGTGTCAATGGAGCCCAACTTCGAGGACGGGTCGTGCAAGATGGTCTTTGGCAAAACGCCTCCTGCCGCGGAGGTGCGGACCCGCTACATCCATCGCTCCAGCCCACCTGCCGTCACTTGCACCCGCGCCCCTCCGCGGGCACTTCACATCGCGGGACGCTGATGCACGGGTCCATGAGCTGCGTTGTCGCAGGACGACGAGGCGCTGCAAGAGCCCTGCAAGAAGAGCAACTGCTCAGTGTACCAGGATTTTGTGTTGACAGGAAAATCGGGCCTGTGTGCTCCGTCCGGGCACCACGAGGTCGGGACACGCGCTGACTAGCATGATATTCGCCCGAGGAAGCAGCAGCCACTGCGACTTGCACCGGCATCGGACAACTCACACAGGCAGCGGCTTCCCTCGCAATGGGCACACCCGCGCTCAAACAGGCACTTCCGAGCGAAGTTTGTACATCTGCCACGCTCTCGGCACGGGCTGCCCAGCCGGAACCCACTGATGTGAGGAGCAGCTCGAACCTGCCCGCCCCCTCTAGTCCTGGGCAGGGAACCCGTGCAACAGTCAAGAGCCCTCGGCGTTCGGGGCGGCGGCCTCATCGAACCACTCTGCGTCCGCGCCGGCGAGGCATGTTTCGAAGCCCTCGCGAATGATGTCCGCTTCAAGTTCCCGGCCAATGAACACCATCCGCGAGCGCCGCGGCTCGTCCTTGCCCCAGAGCTTCCACGGAGATCCGTCGAAATACATGTGCACGCCTTGGTAGACGAACTTCTCCTCGACCCCCTGCAATCCATCGCGGTGACCTGGACGTGAAATACTGGCGCTGGTGCAAGTCGGCCGCACTGTGTGCTGTGCAAGCGTGCTCCTTGCCTTGATCGCCAGGATACCCTTCGTCCTGTAAATGTCCTCGCCCCGGTACTGTAGAAGCAGCCCGAGCCACTGGTTGACCTTGTCCAGGTCCATCTCGCCGTCGACGACGATAGACACGGATGAAACGAGCTGATCGTGCGCGTGGTCGTGCCCGTGATCGTGCCCGTGGTCGTGCGCGTGATCGTGCCCGTGATCGTGCGCGTGGTCCTCTCCACAACCCGAGCACGTCCCCTCAGGGCCTGCAAGTCCAGGGAGGAGGGGAGACAGAGTGACGCGGCAGGCCCGAGGCACATCCAGCCACCGGGGTCCAACAGCGCCCGCGCGTCGCTAGGACCTCACCGTCGTGGTCGTGCACGTGGGCGGTCCCCGACTGCTCGGCGCCGGTGTCGAACAGGCCTTCCACGCGATCCAGGTCGAATCCTCCGATCCCGAGTACAAAGTCGAGGTCCACCGCGGCCTGTGAGCTCCTCCGGATCTCCGCGACCGTGTTGATGCCGCGGATGCGCTCCTCCGCGGTCTTGATCTCCTCGGGCGTCACGAGGTCCGTCTTGTTCAGGACGAGCCTATCTGAAATACAATAGTGCACAGAAAAACAGGAACATGCATTCACCAGGGCGTGCGTTGACCAGTGAACGGGCTGCCAGGACGCAAGGAATCAACAGTGGCGCATCCGCACGCCAGACAGCAAAGTGAAGTGAAGTGCAGATGTCCAGCACACCTGCAAAGGCTATCTGCTGGACCGCCTCGTTGATCTCGCCCTCCGCTGGCGCACGATCCAGCTGGATGCCGATGTGCTTGGCATCAACGAGGGAGACCACGCCGTCAAGTCTGCAAGCGAATGCAGGGCGGCAATACTTGACTGGGGAACAGACCAGGGCTCGCAGGAGCGGTGCGGCTGGGGAGATGAACGCCCACCTGAGCTGCGCTGCGAGCTGTGGGTCCAGCAGAAAGGTCCCGATGACCGGCCCTGGGTCCGCAAGCCCCGTCGTCTCTATGATGATGTGGTCGAACTTGCTGCGTCGTTTGAGCAGGTCGTCCAAAGTCCGCACGAGATCTCCTCGGACCGTGCAGCACGCACAGCCGTTGCTCAGCATGACGATCTCCTCGACGCTCTCTTCCTGCGCAGGAGCGTAGTCACTCGCACGTGCTCGGGAAGCTGCCATCGCTTTGTTGCGCAGCGGCGCGCGCGGGTACCGGCGAAGCTGGCGTGCGGGCCACAGGACGCTGCGTTCGTCGCCCTCCGCTGAGGTGGATGCGGCAGGCCGACGAACGCAGGGCCAAGCGTCCCCCTGCACGTCGTCGTGTGTACCTGCATCGCCACCAACTCGCTGTCAATGTCCTCCTCTCCAAACTCGTTCTCTATCACGGCAATCCTGAGGCCGTGGTCCCCGCGCAGAACATGGTTCAGCAGCGTCGTCTTCCCGGACCCCAAGAACCCCGTCAAAACAGTTACGGGCACCCGGTCGTCAGCCAACTGTGCGTCGCCATTCGAGCTGCGGACCCGGGCCGCCGTGACCCGAGTGTTATCTCTCACGTACACGCGGCCGAGACGAGCGCGAAGGGGATCCTCGATGCCGCGCAGTGGCCAAACTCCCTGCATGTGCTGCCGCGCGTGCGATCGCGTCATCGCGCTGGCCGACCGGCGCACATTGCTCAGCCGTCGATTCCGATGCCTCTGACTCGAGATGGGAGGGGTGCAAGGTGCGCTCAAGCTTGCCCGACGAAGGCACATCTTCAGGCTGCCAGTGCCGGAGGGCGTCACACGCGGAGCTGCTTACCAAAGGTGGTGCGCACCGTCGCGCCCAGTGCACAGGAAAGTGGTGAGCGCGTCGTGCGGAAGATGACGAGTGCGCGTGCGGCACTGGCGTCATGTGCGCCTCAGCACCGCAGCGTCCCCGATGTCCGACTCACGTCGGGGATGCGCGCCCGAACGTGAGCGCGTTGCCACGACGAGGTCGCGCAGTACCGAAGGGCGATCCTACTGCGTGCGGCGACCCCGCGAAGCGACGCTGCGGGCCAAAGACTAGACCCAGGGCGCGGAAGCAAGAGCCGTGTAGCAAGATATGTGTTAGCTGCGCAATCACGGGCGGCGCCGGCCCTGGGACAGGCTGAGATCGCTCCTATTACATAATGGATGCTGCCTCGCTACAGCTCGATCGATGGTTGAAGGAGCTTGGGGTCTCAGCGAGGCATGTCCAAGCGAAGCTGGAGACGTCCACGGCCGAGCTGCTGCCGATCAAGGTGAGGCGTCCAAGGCTGTCTCGAGGCGTGCTTGTACACGCTCGACGTCGACCGGACCATCCGAGCGGCGCCCGCCGCGCGTGCGGCGCCGAGCGCTGGGCGAGGAGGAACTCTGCCTTGCCAGGTGTCGGGCAGCGGGGTGCTCCCCCGCCGTGACGATGGGGTTCGCGCCCACCACTGCCACCAGGCGGCCCCGGAAGCGATGATTGATGCCGGCGAAGCATGTCCGCGCCTCGAAGAGCCGCTTGCGCGCGGAACTCGATCGAATTTCTGTCTCCCACGCATGCTCTAGGCCGCCCCGTTCTCTCAAACAGCGCCGGAAGCGTTCGAATGCCACCTCATTGGCCGTCATATCCGACAACTGGCCGCCCCTTTTGCGCCGGTTCTTCGAGTCGCAGGACTCTGTGGGGCGCGTGTACTGGACTGCAGCGGGCATGCTCTTGCCCTCGCGGCAGCTTCTCGAGGGGCTTGCACGGGCACTCCGCGGCTTCATTCCGGGGCTCGAAGAGCGCCATGCAGACCTGGCGGATTCTTGCAGGGTGCGTCATCGTTCAACCTGGCTCTCTGCAAGCATTGTTGTGTGCGCGCAAACGCAGGCCGCGTCCGGCGCTCGCAGCTCACGGTGACGCCCCGACCGTCTGGATATGCAGCTCATGTCGCAGCGCGTCGTGCAGCTGCGTGACTCGGGGAGCTTGGGCGTGGGCGAGCACGCGAAGTTGATACCTCTGCTGGTGACAAGGTGCCGCGACCACTGTGGCAGGCTCGGCGCGCTCGCCATACGAGAGTGCGCGCAGCCGATGATGGAAGCGATGAGGGACGCGCACGCGGTGTGGGCGGCGGAGGAGGATCCCTCGCTGGAGATGCTCGCGCGCTCCATCATTGAAATGTTCGAGACCGCAGTGCCCATGAACCACAAGGTGCGCCGCCGACACGGGCGCCCGATCGACGCACACGACAGCAGGGTGGCGCCGAGGGGTCGAAAGTCTGACCGCCCCTTGTCCCTGTGCGCTGCAGGTGCGCAAGGAGTTGGGTTTCGCGGTCACTGTGCTGGAGGGCGTCCCGGTCGTTGATCGGACCTTCCCGTGGGGTGAATACGATCATCCTGATCGCTCCACGCTCGAGGAGAGACAGGAGGGTTTCGCGGAGGTGCAGCGCTTGCTGGAGAGCGTGGTCAACAGGACCTGCCACCCCGACAAGCGAGACGCTGCGATGCCACCGCCCCAGCGCGAGCAGGCGGAGATGGTGCGTCAGCTCGTCGACGGCATGAGCAGCACGCAGGACATCATCTGGGACGTGCACAGGGCTGCGCAGGCCATGGCTGCGGCGCTGGCATTGCTCGAGGAGCACCAGTCCGAGGCTCACAAGGCGGTCAAGGCGCTCCTGAAGCAACTGGAGACGCTCGATCCCCTCGGGCACAGGAGGGACTCGGCGGCTTCGCTGGAGCCGTCGGAGGGCAGTGATGAAGAGGACCCTGTGGTGCGGAAGACCCCCCCGCCTCAGTGGGAAGCTCGCTGTGCTGCCAGGGGAGTGCACGCAACTTCCAGCCCGTGCTGCCCCATGCAGGTGGACCGACCGCCGGTGGTGTACGAGGAGAGGGCCCCGCACGACGTAGCTTCAGCGTGTGCAAAGGCGGCCTTGGCTGTGGGGCTGTCCGCGTTCATCATCGGGATCGCGCTGCTGGGATGGCAGCTGGGTGCCGGTAGAAAATTCCCCAAGGGCCCGGATTTCTCAGGCGTGCTCGGGCTGAGCAAGTCCCTGTTCGTGTTGGGAGCGACGTGCATCGTATTAGCAGGTCGGGGCACCATGCCGGCCTCGTTTGCAACTACGCACCCTCGCCGCAGCGGCGCTGATCGAGTGCGGCTCACGTGCGCTCCTGCAGGCGCCTGTACCTACTTCGCGTTCCAGTACGGCCGTGCTGACCCGGATCTCAGGCCTGACGTGAACAAGGAGGGTCGCGAGCGCGCAGCGAAGAGGACGGAGCCCGACGGTGGGCTTGATATCGAGAAGGCAGGCAGTATCGTGAAATCGCGAGGGTTGCGTCCGGAGACCCCGCCACCAGTGTTTTCAGACAACAATGCCCGGCCTGGTGGCTCGGACAGCACTGTGGATGTACATAAGGCTGGGCCCAGAGCTGGCCTGCTCAGGGACGAGGAATGGAGGAAGCGCCCCGGGTCGCGCGAGGCCTGGCCAGCCAACACCGCGAGGCATCCCGCTGCGAAGAACCAGGCCGCGTCGGGGCTTCGGGCTGCGGCAGGACGGCAAGTGAACGGACCGGGCGGCGTGCCAGCTCAAGGCGGCGTGCCGGGCCAGGGGCGCTCGCTGACGGTCACTCAAGGAGCTGGAAAGGGGGGTGTCATGATAGAATACGAGGATCCCTTCCGGGACCTGTGATTGGCGCCGCACGGGGTACATTCGCGCGAGTAATCATGGCACGTGGCCGCCTTGATCAGGACGATAGCACACCCGCATTTCGTTTCTTGCGCGGGTGGTTCGCTCGTTCGTTGATGGGGGGTTGCGTTCAACAGCCCAGGGAACTTTGCAATGCTGCCGATCTACTCGCGCGCCGCATCCAGGACGCGCTTCGCGGACTCTTGTCACCATGGCACATCATCGCGGTGAGGGTGCTTGTAGGTCAGCGAAGTACAAACTTTGTTATCCCTCGGCCACCCAGTCACGGTCATTTCCTACGGCCCTCAGCAAGCTCGTCTGCATGGCTGAGAGCTGTTCATTCCGCCCTCGCGTGCGCCATCCAGTCCTCCGGGACGTCGCCGGCTGGATCAATCATCTTCCAGACTGTGCGGCCGTGCTTGCCGACGCAAATGGCTGGCACTGGGTGCAGATGCAGCGGCTTGTCGACGAAGGCGGACTTGACGACGTCCGATATGTCCGCCCTGCAGTGCAGTGTGCGTGGCGGCGGGTGATGACAGGGAGATGCGTCTGTTGCATCCAGGTCCTGCACGACTCGCGAGCAGGGCTCCACGGGGCTCACCATCGGAAGTCCGTGTGCTCGCTTTTGTCCAGCACCGGATCGAACGAGTCCACGGCCTCCTGCAGGTCACCACGGACGAGATACCCAACTTGGGGTATGCAGGCATGTCGACGTCGCACACTGCGCGGGGGCGCGCGCGGTGCGGGTTTGAGCGTCGAGGGCGATGGCCACCGTTCGCGCACCGGCTTGACGGCACAGACGAACAGCGTGAAGTGCTTCTGCAAGCGTTTGCCCCTTCGCGTGAGTACGCTGCCGAGGACGTCGTGCTCCGGCACTGTCGACATCTCCTCACGCGCCTCACGTGCAGCAGCGGCCTCTGCGGTCTCTCCCGGATCAATGTTCCCCCCTGCGCTCATGGGAAACGCGTGTACACACTGCTGTGGGGCAGAGGGTTGTCCTTCTGTCGAATTTCTCCTGTGCCGGGCTCATTCAACCCACCTGGAACGCCCCAAGTGTTCGGGTTCCCGCTGGTGGGTGCTCTGAGAAGCAGCAGCACCTTGTTCCTCTCCTTGCAGATCAGAAGCAGGCCGGCGCCTTCCTTTTCAGGCGTCCTGCGAGTCGATTGTGATGCGTTTGTTGGTGCACATGTATGTGATGAGTCAGAGAATGCGGCGAGAAACTTGCTCGGCGCTCACCCGGTGTTGTGCTCGGGCGTGCTCTGCTCAGCACCCATATCGCCCGTGTTCCTCGCGTTGCAGGCTGCTGCAAAGGGGCTTCGGCAGTGCTGATTCGAATCGCTCTTCACTTACTTGCAGGTGGGGCCCGATTCGTGGCGTTGGAACTCTAGACGCAGCGTGAACGAGTGTAAATAGATACAGGCGTTTTTGATCTCGAAATGCTCCTCGAGGAGTGCGGCAAATTTCACCCCGAGGGCTGAGGCGCCTCACAAGGTACGCGTCGCGGCTCTCGGAAGTGGTCCGACAGTGGAGCGTCCCTCGGTGTTGCAGCAATTCGGCACACAAGGTGCCAGGCTCCCCCGGGGCCTGCCGACCATGCTTCGTCGACGTCAACGCGCCCATCAGGACGACACACAGGCGGGCAGGATGCGGCGGACTCGCCGTCTGCGCCGCGAGCGACGTCACCGTCGGCCCTCACGTGCGCGGCGCTCTGTCTCACACTTTCAGTCGAGCAAGTAGCCGGACAAGAACAGGACGACGAAGAAAGCGAGGGTCCCGAAGATCAGGCGGTTCTTCTCGTCCCCGGTCATGCTGTTCGTTCCGAGGCCGTACCCCTGCGAGTGGGACCACGGGGGAGGCGCATTCGAAGCAGGTCGTGAAACACACCCGTGCGCAGCCCCCGCGTCGCGCGAGGCGCATGCAGGGTGCGTACCTGGTTGACGGCGAACCCGGCCAGCTCGCGCTTGTCCACCTGCGTGCACCGACGTCGAGCGACGTTGGAAAACGGGCCCGCAACACATGTGCGGGTGTCGCAGCGAACCGTCGGGCTGCGGGCGCGGGCGGCCGCACCTGGAACGTTTGCTTCGTAGAGTTGCAGACAGGGCACACCCAGTCTTGCGGAAGGTCGTCGAACTTGGTGCCCTTCGCGACCGGGAACTCCGGGTCGCCTTGCGCCGGGTCGTACACGTACCCGCACTGCGTGCAGTCGGCCTTGCCGCTCGACACCACCATGAACTTCTCCTGCGCCCGCAGCCTGCGATGCAACGGCCGTGCCTCCTGATTGCGGTGAGTTCTCGGCCGTGGTGGACGTCGGGCCTTGTCCGAGGTGCAGGCTTCCGCCAGCGCCGGTCGGCGGTGCTGTGCGCGCGCACGCCCCACCTGTCAGCCTCCTCCTTCTTGCGCTTCTTCTCGAGCTCCTCCAGAGACATCAGCTCCTCATCCTGCTGCAGGTCCTTCACGAGGTCGCCCTCCTCAGCCCGCACCACCCGGCCCCGCTGCGGCGCCCGGTGCGCCCGCCGCACCCTCACGCCAGACGGCACATTGCCGAGGACCTTGATCTGCAAGCAGCAGCGCTGTCCATCGCGGTCATCTCACGCTATGCGCGGCATTCCTTCATCGGATGCCTCAGAGGCTCCGGTAGCACAAGGTCGACGGTGCACCAAGGTGCTCGCCAGCCCGACCGTGCGTCGCGAGTCGCGGACAGCCTCCATCGCGGCGTCGCGCCGGCAGAAGCTCGGCTGGATGCGCTCCACTGCCAGTGTTGCGCCTGGGCTGGACGAGCGGTGGTCCAGGTCGAGCGCGCTTGCGGCCCGATAGGGCGCTCCTGGCCGCAAACCGCACGCCCCTGGGCATTCAACATATTTCATCATCCACGTTCGAAGCACTGCGGGGCGTCGCGCAGGACCTCGCGCGCACGGCGGGCAGGCGGGGGTAGCCTAGCTTCCAAGCTCCTCACCTGGGCGCCGGCCTGGAGGATCATTTGCGTCGACCTGTGGCAGATGAGGTGTCAGGTGAAGTGCCCTGCCCGCCCGGAAGCGAATGTCACGCAAGTCACAACAACCACGCCCGCAGCGCCGCCCTTGGAAGCCGCTTTCGAGGCGCCGCCTGACCTCGGTTGCACTGGCAGACTTTTGCGCCGAGCTCGTACGCAGACTCCGCTCTCGGAGCTGAAGGGGCTGGCCCTTCCGCTGCCGGCTGCGCAGAGGCGACTGGAAGCAAGCACACGTCACAGTGGCGCGATCCCCGCGACAATCTCACGGTGCACGGAGCAGGGATGGTCGCCACACGCTGGGCGGCGCGCGTCGGGCGAGCCGGCGTCGCACGTGCGCCCGGCGCCTACCCTCCTAGCCTACATCTGGCCAATCTAAGCGCCCTCACCCGGCCCCTCCTACAACGCCGACACATCAAAGCCGGGCATGGGGAACTTCGAGGCAAAGGCCTCGACCTCCTTCCTGATCGCCGCGATCTCCGGGTCCGCCACGATGCCCTTCTCGAAGTCCTTGAGCATCTTCCCGTGGCTCTCCTGCACCTTGAGGCACACCTTCACGACGCGGTCCAGCAGAGCAGCAATCACCTCCCAGTCCGCCTCCCTGAGGCCCCGCGACGTCATCGCCGGCGTCCCGATCCGCACGCCGCCGGGCGTCATCGCCGACGCGTCGCCGTACACGGCGTTCTTGTTCAGCGTGATGTGGCACAGATCGCACGCCCGCTCCATCTGCGAGAGCCGGGCGGGAGGCGCGTGAGACGCAGGCCGGGCCGCGTGGCGCTGCGGCGGTGCGGCGCGGGTCGGGGACGCGGGCGCGCACCTTGGAGCCCGTGACGCCCGTTGGCCGGAGGTCCCACAGCACGAGGTGGTTCTCCGTGCCGTCCGTGACGAGGTTGTAGCCCATCTTCATGAGGGCGTTGCCCAGCGCGACCGAGTTGGCCTTGACCTGCTTGATGTAGGCCTTGAAGTCGTCCGAGGTGGCGTGCTTGAGCGCCACGGCCAGCGCGCCGATCTGGTGGTTGTGCGGCCCGCCCTGGAGCGAGGGGAACACCGCGAAGTCGATCTTGTCGCCGTAGTCGTACTTGGTGCCCTCCGGCTCGCCCTTCCGCAGGCGGTCCGCGGGCTTGACGCCCTTGCGGTAGAAGATCATGCCCGCGCGCGGGCCGCGGAGCGACTTGTGCGTGGTGGTGGTCACCACGTCGCAGTACTCAAACGGCGAGTTGGCCTCGCGGGCCGCGACCAGGCCGGAGATGTGCGCCATGTCGCACATCAGCAGGGCGCCCACCTGCGCACGACGCGCCGCACGCGCAACGTGAGTGCCAGAGTCCTGCAGGCACACCTGCGCAGCGGGCCCCCCGCGGCGGTGGGCGCGGGCGGGGCGGGAGCGGCTCCGTCCGCGCGGCGCGCACCTTGTCGGCGATCTCCCGGAAGCGCTTGTAGTCCCAGTCCCGCGGGTACGCGCTGCCGCCGCAGATGATCATCTTGGGGCGGAAGTCCATGGCCTTCTCGAGGAGCTTGTCGAAGTCGAGGAGGCCGGTGTCCATGTTGAGCTTGTACGGGAGGCTCTCGAAGAAGATGGAGGTGGCGGAGATCTTCCGCCCGAGCGCGTTGTAGTACCCGTGCGTGAGGTGCCCGCCCGAGGGCAGGTCCAGGCCCATGATGCGGTCGTGCGGCTGCAGGAGCGCGGTGTACACGGCGAAGTTGGCGGGGGAGCCCGAGTACGGCTGCACGTTGACGCCCCACTGCTCGGGGTCGAGCCCGTACGCGGTGAGGGCGCGGGACTTGCACAGCAGCTCGATCTTGTCAATGTTCTCGTTGCCGCCGTAGTACCGCGCGCCGGGCTGGCCCTCGCTGTACTTGTTCGTCAGACACGACCCCAGCGCCTCCATCACCGGCATCGACGTGAAGTTCTCGGACGCGATCAGCTCGATGCCCGTCCTGCGAGCGGAACAGCAACAGGCCGCACTCAGGACGGCCCTGCCTCGCGAAAGCACCGCCGTTTCCCCACGGTTACCGCTCGGCCGGCTCGAGCGCTGTTTGCAGCGCGGGCCGCGTGCGCGCGTCCCCACCAGCGCGCCGCAGTGCACAGGGCAACGCGCCGGCACGCAGCCACAGCGGTGCGCAAGGCCGCGGGCCGTGGCGCCCCCACGAGCGCGCAAGCGTGACGAGCCTTCCGCGCCGCGCACCATTGCCTCTTCTTCTCATCCTGGATGATGCCGTAGACCTCGGGGTCCGCGTCCTTGAGCGCCTTGAGGGCCTCGGGGAACACACCGTCCATCCTGCCTCCCGCTCGCGCGCAAACACACGCCCTGCACTCCTGCGCCGAAGTGGAGCCCGTGCCGCGGAGTCAGCGAGAAGGCGGGGAGCGGGCAGTGCGCACACGCCTTCTGCCCGCACTGCGACGGGCGCCGGGCCGCCACACACGGCTGCCCTTGTGCATCTCGTCAGTAGCAACGGGCAAACGTGGAAAATACACGACCGGTGCCGCGCGCTGAAACTCGCCACGGCGACACAAGCTGCTGCTCTGCATCGGGAGCGCTCTCTAAGACTCAGAGGAAGACGGGAATCAATCGAGGTTACCGCCCGTGCGTGCAGCCTCGCCCTGCGACCAACGTCGCACTGGAGGCAGCGAGACGCGATAGCTGTATCGAAATTCGTATCTGAGTCTTTGGAGCCGTGTCAACACGCGCGAAACGGCGCCGAAAGCCGCTTCCAAATCTCACCTCGACTACAAACGCTCTCGGTGTTGTAGGTTGCAAATTTGTCGCGAACCCGTCACTTCTGTGCGCTTCACACACGGCGCCCCCAGCAGGAAGCCGACAGCCGGCGCCCACCGCTGAGGCCGACGCAGCTTCCAAGTCAGGCATCAGACAGACGGGCCGTGCCGGCCCGGGGCCGCCACGTCGCGGCTCTATCGTCTCAGGTGCGCGTCACTGCAAGCAGTTGCATGCGTCGCACGATACGCAAGCGCTTGACGACTTCGCCGGACAGCTCTCGCGGTGCCTGTGGCCAAGCTGAGGTCGGGCGGCGCGCGTTTTTCGAGGGCAACGCAAGCTTTCCGCGGCGGCAACAGTTGACGATGTCTCAGCTGATTCTGTAGTCCATACAACGCAGTCCACCGAGGCGCTGCCAAGGACGGCGTGCTGTACTCCTTGCGCTGAGTTGCACCAACCCTCCAGGATGGCGAGTCTTGTGCTCGGGCAGCAGCTCGAGCAGGTCTACAGTTTGCTTGAGGCATCGCAGTGGAAGACCGCCCTGAAGATCCTGGATCAGATCGTCGCGAAGAAGAGCTTCAAGGGGAACGCCGAGGTAACGACCGCTCCGCCTGGGCACGCATGCAGCTGCGTCGTCCCAATGCCGGTGGCATGGCGTTGACCGGCTGGGGCCCGGCTCAACCGCTCGAGCAAGCCAGCGATCGCTCCCTCTGTGCTGCGCTTGTGCCCAACGGGTCGCAGTGCGCATGCCTGGCCACGAAGCGGCCAGTGCGTAGTGGAACTCCCTTCTTCATTGTCGTGACATGCAGCTTCTGATGCGCACGGCTGTTCAACGGCCATTGTCACGCACGCAAGGGAAGAAGTTGCGCTCATGCAACCGAACCCCGTGACTGTGCGTGGCTGCAGGTACGTGTGCTCAGGGCAATCGCCCTGCAACGTCTTGGGCGGGGCAGTGAAGCTCTGGAGATCTGCGCGGACATCAGGAAGGACAAGGCCATCCTCTCGGACTCCAACGTGCTGACGCTTGCATCTAACGTGTATCGGTGGGAGCGCCGGCCCGCCGAGCTGGGCTCGATGTATGAAGACGCGTGCGCGGCAAATCCCGGAAACATGCACCTCCTTCAGGAAGCCTTCCGGGTGAGGCCTCGCCCATGTGTGTGTCAGCCCACCGCCCCCCGCTGAACGTGTGGGGAAGGAGCACAGCGCCCAAGAGCAAGCATCGCGATGCGCTGCAGGCCAACATGTCGGCGTTCAACTTCGTGAAGCAGCAACAGATCGCCATGAAACTCAACAGGGGTGCGCCATCCGACAAGCACTTCTGGTGGGTCGTCATGAGCGTCCTCCTGCAAGCACGCAACGCTGGAATGGCCGCACGTCGCGACCAGGCGGCACCAGCTGGGCCGGGCGCGCAGCAGCTGCTGAAGCTGGCGGACGGCATGATCTCCAAGCACCTCGGCAGGGCGGCATCGCTCAGCGCCGACCAGCTGCTGGTCGCCGTGCACGTCCTGCGAGCGATGGACAGACCCGGCGACGCGCTCGATCACCTGAGGTGTGGCCACAGGTTTCACCGCCCGTTGCGCCTCGACCACCTCGCAGGCAGGCGTCAAGGATTGAAAACATGTGCATCATGTTGGCGGCCCGTGCAGGTCCGAGGTGGGACGAAACGCGCTGCCTCTGGATCATGAGAGGATCGGCCTCGAGGCCGTGCTTCTGGAGGACTGCGGGGACTACCCGTCGGCAGCCGCGTCATACCTGACGCTGCTGGATGTGGTGGGTGGACCCCTCGCCGAGGCCGCGCATCAGCACGACAGGGCGGGGCGCGAACACGTGCTGAACGTGACCCTTCCCCGCGTCCGCAGGACAAGGACGACTTCCACGCGTGGCTGAAATATCTGGATTGCATGCTGCCTGGGGGCGAGCCGTGGCGCGACGTTGTGCAAGGCGGGCTCGACTCTCTTGTGTCGCTCTCTCAGGCGGATAGGCGGCGCAGCGCGTGCGACGTGTCGTTGGAGGATGCGGTCGCCGCGGTAGAGTCGGCGATCGCCAGGTTTGAAGGAGGGGCAGAGGAAAACAACAGCGGGTGCGTGCCCCTGGATCCCAAGTGGACCGCGCGCCCCCGCACTGCGCTGGTGGAAAGTGGCTTTTTTACAACGCTCGACCGCCTTGAGGCGCAGGTGTCGGAGCGTCCTATTAGCTCGCACCGAGCTTGCGTACCGACTGCACCTGATGTCGGAGCCTGGGCAGCGCGACGGCGAGCAGCTTGCAAATGCCATGTACGCATACTTCAAAGGATGCTCGACGGTCAGTTCATGTGCGTCGGACCTCGGCAGGTACTGTGCTGAGATATCCTCATTCCCGCAGGTGCGCAACCCAACGTCACGCTCCTGAGGCCTTGCTCCGCGGCCTGTGCGCTCCAGCGACGTCGCGCGTAACCGATGGTTCGAGCTCGCTCCGCAGGCAGCTCAACGCCTCGCTGACCGGCTCGAGGGCGACACGAAGGACCCTGATCTCTCAGGGGACATGCGCCAGGCCACCAACGACCTACGGGCGAGAGTGTGCGCGCTGCGCCTGCGGCACGAGCTAGGATGCGATGGAGAGGTGGGCGACTCGATCGATCTTCCCGCGGCATCCTTGTCATGCATCGCAGTCGCCGGTGCACTCACCCATGGGCCCATCGGACCTTTTGCTTGGCAGGATGGAGACAGCCTCGCGCGGCACGCACATAGGCTCATGGATTTGTACGCTGCGGCCTCGCCGCTCTCCAAGGACCTCGATCCCCGGGAACGCGGACCTGCTGAGGATGTTGCCCTTATTGCAGCTGGGTGTCTTGTGGACTGCTACCGCCCCACCGTCACGGACCACGCCAATACTGGGCGTCTCATTCAGGTACAGCTCTGGCGCGATGTCGCGGCGATGCGGCAGCGGCTTCGGAGCCTCGCTGCATGAGGACGTGTCCCCGACACAGTGCACATCGTGTGTCTGCAGGCGCTTCTGTGCCTGGAGGCTGCCATCAAGAAGCGGCCATACAGCGCGAATCTTCGGATTGCCGCCGGTTCCCTCATGGGAATCCTCGGATCCGCAGAGGAGGCCGCGAAGCACTTCAAGCGCCTGGACATCAAGTTCATCCAGAACGACTCCCTGGCGGGTGAGGCCGGACCCGAACCGGATGGGTCGTCACAAATACTGATCTGTTGCAGGGAACTGTCTGGCGGACAGTTCAAGGCTCATCTGAGTCGTCAGCATACTGAAACGCCCCTCAAACTGTTCAACTTTCTTGCAGGGCACATCTGCCTGCCGACGGCCTCCTCGCTATCGTCGCTTGCTGAAGTGCAGCACCTCTGTCGGCAGGAAGTTGCGCTTTTTGACGACCATGAAGGCTCGGCGGGTGATACGCTCACAATCGCCTACGAACATGGAACACTATCTAAAGTGAGTTGACACGCTGTGCCTGCAATCGTGACAGAGGGGCAGCGCTCCGTCCCCGCCTTGAAGTCGAGTCTCACTCTGGGCACTGTGGCACAGGTGATCGAGATGGTCGACTTCAAGGAGAGGCTGGAGTACTCCCATGCCCGCCTGGTAGCGCGCCAAGAAGGCAGCATCAGCGCCATATCCTCCATCTTCACCCAAAGGCCCGATCGGCAAAGCCTGCAAGCAGCACTCGAGCAGGCTGTCGGCAGCAGTGCGTCCCCCCAAGCGAACCTTCATATGGAATTCAACGAAGACCTCACCGTCCGCCCGTCCTGGTTACCCCCCGCGAGCTGTGCTCCTCCGCATGCACTGCTCTCATGGTTCTCTCGCGAGAGGAAGAGCACCGCGTGGTGGCAGGAGGCGGGGTCGTCCTGCGCACCACTCCCCGCATCCTCCTCGTGGCGGGCCGAGTGTGCGTCGACCGCGACGCTGCGTAATCTTGTGCCGCGGATTCTCCTTTGCGCCCTCGATACGGAGTATTCGACGACTTCGCGAGAGGTTCTGCAGCAGGCACTCGCCAGCCTGTCTCAAGAAACATGGGATGGACAATGCAGCGTCCTGACTGGTGTTGGGGTGGTGCAGGGATACAGCCATGCTGTGCTTACGGCGGCACTACAGGGTAGCGCCTCCGATTCGCCAGAAGCAGCCACAGCCCTGGCGAACTGCCTTTTCGCCGGATTAACCACGATCAAGCATGCGTGTGCCGTTCCGGTGGGTGCCGGGTCTGCACGGGACGTGGGGATCTGCGGCGCGCTCGCTTCGCAAGAGATGGTGTGGGCCGCCATCGCCCTCGAGGCGCTGGCCCGCAGGCTCGGGCTCGCTGCACCCGCTGGCAAGAAGGGCAAGGCGATGAAATCGCTGCCCGAGGGCCGTCGGGGAGGGTGCGACGCCGTTCAGGCAACTTGTCAGGTGCGCACGCGGCACATGTAGGAGAGCCACGTGATAAAAACCCGCTTACGTGGCGAAATGTTCATCGGTCACACACACAGTCACATGCATTGCAGGAGGTGTCGCGCGTCTGCAAGGAAGCTGTCGTGCTGATCGACCAGGTGTGCGCGGAGATGCGTTCGAAGCAGGCATGCAGCAGAATCGTCGGCACAGTCGAGTCCGAGCTGCCCGGGGCATCGTTGTGGGCCTGGGAGCTGGACAAGAAGCAAGTGGAAAACAGAGTGCGAGCTATCCTCGACGGACAGGCGAGCTGTCTCGACGTGGCGCGGAAGTACGTAGGAACGATTGGCACGAACCTTGGGCAGCTCAAGTGAGAGCAGCGGGTCTCACAGCACATTCCGACGCGGCCGTGGCATTCCCCCAAGTCCTCATCCCTATAACTCACTTGTAATACTGGCTGAGGTCCTCCCCGGCGAGCGCCTCGAGTTCTCGCACGAGGTCGTGCGCCCTTGCTTCCACGCGCACGTCGCTGTCCTCCATCAGCTCCGACAGGAACGGCAGGGACTCGGGCAGCAGGACGAGGTACTCCTCGCGCACCCGCTGCACGAGCTGCCCGAGGGCCGCGAGCGCGAGGAGCTTCGTGCGCGCCGAGGGCGAGCGCGTGGCCATGAGCACCTGCTGATGCAGGGGTTTCCACACAACGTCACTGCCCGCCGTCACCGCCAGCTGCGCCAAACACTCTGCAACAGCAACGCCGTACGCGTCGCCGGCGGCGAAAGGACCGCTGTCCTCGATCGCCGCGAACACGGGGTCGTCAAAGCATGCCTCCTGGAGCAAGTGCGCAGGAGGCTCTTGGTCGAGCTGCGCCACGACGGCTGGCGCCAGCGCACTGAAACGATCCTGGTCGAGGAATACTCCACTGTCGTACTGCAGGCATCGATGCAGGGCCGCCAAGACGCGGAACCGCAAGAGCCACAGGTCATCGTTGCAGTCGCGATCGGGTGCTGGCGTGGCAGCCTTGCGCTTCTTTTTCGACCGCTTCTCCTTGAGATGTGCGTTCCCCGCGAGCACGGAAACGATGGCGTCGCCGACGTAGCGGAAGTAGGGCACCAACACAGTGCGCATGCGCCCCCCCAGGGCAGACACGACAGCGAAGGCTGTCGCCATCCGTGCGGTATCCGCGCCCTCCGTTCCGCGCGAGGACATGCCCGTCCAGTCCACCAGCCGCAGGAAGAGGGGTTTGAACAAAGCCTCGCTCAGTTTCATGATCAGGGCGACCACTGCTGCAACTGCGGCCTGCTCGACTTTCTCGATCTGCGCCCTGTCGGCTATGCCCGCTGGACGACGCCTCCGCACATCGAGCGCCTTCAGCAGTGCGACGAACAGCGCGTCGTGGTGTTCCGCCGCAGTCTTCGGTTGCATGGCCTTGCTGGTCGCAGCAAACATGCCGAGCAGCTTCGCGGTCGAGTCCGCGCCTTCCGCGACGCACGCCTCCAGCCGCGAGATCAGCGCTGGCACGATGAGTCGCGGTGGCACTACGCTGACGTCGCACAGCGTGTTGCGCACCGCCTCTGCTGCCTCTGCACACACGCCGTCCTGGTCGTCTTGCAGGAGAGCTGGCGACAGCACGATCGCAAGGATTCGTCCCAGAAACGGGCTGCAGAACGCGCCCATGCCCTCGACGATCGCACCGCACGCGGAGATGCCCGAGGCCAGCTCGAGCTCCACTGTGTCCTTGTCCAGCCCAGGTGATGGCCCGTCCTCCTCGCTGTCGCCGCCGTCCTCCTCGGCGTCCGGCGGGCTGTCCGAGGGGCGCAGCGCGAACGTGCGCAGCGCGGCCTCGACGGTGTCCAGCAGCACGCTGGACAGCTGCGGCAGGTGGCCTAGCAGCTTGACCCCAAGGGCGGTGGCAAGCGAGGCGATCGTGACCATCGCGCTAGCACGCACCCCGCGCTGCTCCCTCGCGAGGCACGCCGAGATCGCGGGGACCGCCACGCAGAGCTCCGCGGCGAAGTCCTCCCCGCAGGCCTTCGCAAGGCTGTCCAGCGCAACCAGCGCGGACTGCGCCGCCAGCGCCCCGCTGGGGTCGTCCGCCGCTGCAAGTAGCGCCGCAGCGGGCTCCACCGCCCGGAGCGCCGCGAGCAGCACGTTGCGCTCCTTCTCGGCGCGCTCGTCCCCCGTCAGCAGCGTCACCAGCGGGTCCTCCGCGAGGTCGAGCGAGCTGATGCGCTGCGCCGTCAGACGGAAAGCCGTGCGCGCAACGCCTGGGTCCTCGTGCGCACACAGCTCCGACAGCGCCGCCAGGTGTGCCTCGGGGTCCATGCGCCCCTGCAGCGCGTCGAGCGCGGCGTACAGGCTGTCCGACGCGGCCTCGAGCGCCCGGCTGCGTGCGTTGCGACCCTCCCGCACTGCGGTCGCGAGCTGCGGCCCCACGCTGCGCAGGTCCGACAGGAGCGCCTCGAGGAGTGAGCGGTAGGCATCCTGCGCTTCAGACGTCGCCTCCGATGCCGGCAGCGAGAGGCGCGTGGCGCGCGGTCCGCCCATGAGATCGGCAACAAACGCGATGCAGGCCACGTGCAGGGGCTGGTGCAGCTCGTGGCCGACGTCCCGCGCCGCGAGCTCGAGTGCGTCGGCGAGTGCCGCGATGCGGTCCGCGGCCGGGGCCGCACGGCAGACATCGGTCAGCGCGTCGATGAGGCCCTCGTCGGGCTGTTGCGGGCTGCCGGCGTCGAGGGCCGCGGCGAGCACCTGCAACACGACCGCGGCAAGCACCTCCCTGCCTGGTGCCGCCTCGAGCAGCGCTGTGAGGAGGGGCACGCGTCTGGATGCGGGCGCCTGCGGGAGAGCGGAGGCGAAGCCCGCCACCAGGTCACGCATGGGCCGCTGGTCCGCCTGCCACGCGGGGACGATTGCGCGCAGGACTGTCGCTGCCGCCCCCTGCACGCGCACGCCCCCGTCCGCTGCGAACGAGCCGCTGACGGCCGCGAGGAGCTCGATCGCGCGAGACGACACCTGCTCGGGCGCGGCAGACGCGAGCGAGGCCAGCAGCGACAGAGCAGCTGCCCGGCACGCTGCGTTCGGGCCGCCCCCCGCGCAACTCACGATGAGGTCGACGTCCGTGGCCTGCGCCAGTGAACGCTCGCTGGCGACGAGCCGGTCGAGTGCAGAGAGCACTAGCTGGAGGCCGTACGCCGCGACCGCAACGCTCGCGCCCGCGCTCTCCCCGGCGTCGCTGCCGGCATCGCTGCCGGCGTTGAGGCGCTCCACGGCGGCGACCAGCTCCTTCGCAAGACCAATCAGCGGGTCCAGCAGCGCCCTAGGCTGCTCGATGCCATCGCGCCACTGGAGGAGCTCCAGCACCGCCTGTGCGCGCTGCCATGCGATGGCGTCATCCAGCACGGCAGCTGGGCGCACAGTGGCTGCAGGGGCGCTCGCGGCGCGCTTCTTCCTGGACGGGGGCGCCGCAGCTGCGGCTCCGTCGCCAAGCATGATGGAGGCGAGGAGCTCGCCCGTGAGCGGCGCGTTCTCCACGGCTTTGCGTGCCGCAGCAGCGGCCCCCTCGTTTGCATCGTGGTCCGCCATGAACAGCGCCCGCGAGACGGCCTCGCGGCGCAGGCCGGCGGGCAGGCACGCGAGCACACCTGGCCTCAGCGCGCTCGCCGCGGCGGCGCGCAGGTCGGCCGGGGCCGGTCCCGCCTCTGTCGACAGCAGGCGCAACAGACTCCCCGCGGCGTCCTGCACCTGACCGGCGTCAACGCCGACCAGGGCGTCCTCCACGAGCACGTCGCTCAGCAGCTGCACTCCAAGGCGACGCACCTCCCGGGCGCCGGCCGCCTCCCCGGCCTCGGCGAGCCGCCCCAGCAGGGGCAGCGCGGCCTGGAGCAGCTGCGGTTGGGCCACGTGGCGGCCCAGCACGGTCAGCGCGAGGCTCGTGGGTCCGCACTCCGAGGCGTCTAGCTGGCACTGCTGTACGCAGCGCGTGAGGTACTCCAGCAACGCCGCCGCAGTCCCCGCGGGCAGCAGGGCCTGTGCCACGCCCTGCGCCTGCTGTTTGCCACGGCCCCTGCCCCGCGCACCGGTCTTCGTCGAGGATCCGAGGAGCGCGTTGTCGAGCAGGACCTCGACGTACCCGCGGTCCGCCCCGAAGTGCGAGCGGTGCGACCCGACCGCTTCGAGCACGTGCTTCACCTGCGCTGCCGTCAAGTGCGAGGCCTTGGCAATGGCCGCGCAGCTCGTCTGGCAGCTCGCGCACGCGCCCGCCGCGGAGGCAGCCGCCTTCCGCACGCGCTTCGACGCAGCGCCGCACGCCGACACCAGCTGCAGCGCGAACAGCGCGCTCGGCGTGTCTTGGCCAGAGGGCGCTGCTAGGGACACGGTGAGCGCTCCGAGGGCCGCTGCCGCTGCCTCCGGAGGCGCATCCTCGGCGGTGAATATCTTCGAGAGGAACTCGCCGGGCACCCCGCCGGCGACGTCCACGGCCGCCTCGAATATCATCCGCGCCGCGCCCCCGTCGTGTGCCGTCACCGCAGCAAGGCCACTGAGCACGCGGGAGGCCAGGTGCGCGTCACCGGCGCCCGCTGCGGCCGCGAGCGCGGCCAGGAGACCGTCCCGGAGAGCCGTGCCCACGGCAACGCGCGGGCGCTTGCGCAGGACACGCCAGAAGGTTGGAGGGACTGCGTCGTCCCACAAGCACACCGTCGCCGGGAGGCCGTCCTGCCCGACCTCCAGAGCCTCCGATACATACTCCACATGCTGCAGAGCGAGGTCAGCCGCAGCCTTCGCGCAGGCGAGCGCGCCCGACTGCTGCCCGCACGCGACCGCCGCCATGCCCAGGGCGATCGCCGCCGCTGCCAAGGCGTGCACGCGCCGCGCCGCGCCGGCCAGCCCCGCCACGAGCGGCGCGAGTGTCTCCGGATCACGCGCGACCGCGGCCGCGACCCCGCGGAGGCGCCCCTCGCTGGCCCGCGCCGCGTCAGGCTCCTCTGCCTTGGCCTGCTTGCTGCCTGCGCGCCCCTTGCGCGCGCCCCCGCCGACGAGCGCAAACAGGGGGTGCTTCGTGCCCTGCGCGGCCTCGGTCGCCGCCGCTGCGACCTGGGCCAGGCTGGAGCCCGCGGGCACGACGAGGAGCCCCAGCAGTTCCGCGACGCCCGAGTCAGGGCCCGACTGGCACGCGAGGCGCTTCCCGAGCGCGGCTGTCAGGGCGACGGCGCACCGCACGTCGTCCGCGATCTGCTGCGCGGCCTCGTCGCCCTTGCGCGGTTTCCTCGCGAGCGCGTCGGCGCGGGAGGCGAGGGCCCCCTCAAGCGCGGCACACACCGCCTCCTGCGGGGCGTCGCGCAGGACGTCCGACGCCAGCGCGGCCTCGACCACGTCCGGCTCGTCGTCCGCGATGCGCCGAAGCAGCGCCTCCCGCGCGAACGCCAGCAGCTCCGCCCGCGCGTCCTCATCGCCCGCCGGTGCTGCCAGGGCCGCGTCCAGCTGCTCGAGCGCGGCGATGCGGACGCCGGCGGCGGGCGCGTCGACAGCGTGTAGGAGCGTCAACGCGGCTTCGGGGACAATCGCCCGCGGCGTGGCGTGCAGCACGTCGCCCAAGAAGGCCTTCAGGCGCTTGTTCTGCCCCTTTGACGACGTGAGGTGCTCCGTGACGCTCGCGTCCACCGCGGCGGGGTACCGGCGGTCCAGGGCCTGCACGATGAGCTTGAGGTCCTTGGCTGCGGCGCCTGCCTCCTGCCCGGACTCGACCGCCCGAAGCAGGGCGGACGCCAGCGTGGCTGCCACGTCGCTGCTCAGCGGCGCACAACGCACGAGGCCCAGCAGCGCCGCTGCGTGCACGCGAGGCTCCTCAGCCATCGCGTCCACGACGAGCGCGACGAGCCGCCCCACGTCCGCCCCGGCGTCCGCGAGCGCCGTCAGTTCCCCGGGGAGGTCGGGGATGTTGGCCAGGCTGCGGGTGCACGCCGGCGGGAGGGACGCCACGGCGGGCTGCGTCGCGACCAGCAGGGCCGCGAGCGCGACGGCCTGCCCGTACAGCGCCTCCTCGGGGCACAGGCACACGAGCTCCAGCAGATCTGCAGCACCACGCAGGCGAGTGCGCAGTCAGACAGGGGCGGGGGGCAGGTGCGCGTGTGGCCGCGCGTGCCCGACGCGCCTCGGGGAATACAAACTGATACGCTCAGGCCGTGCCGTTTCGAACGGCCGGCGTCACGGGAGAGTTCTCGTCACCGGCGCAGTCACCACGTGCGGACGCAGCGGCGGGACGAGCGCGCGGCGACACGCACCTGCCGCGACGCTCCCGTCGAGTTCGGTGCGCTTCAGCAGCACCCCGAGCACCATGAAGGTCGCTGCGCGGAACTCGGAGGTGGCCTCCCTGCCCATCCCTGCGGCGAGGTGTGGCAGCAGGAGCGAGGCCAGCCGGGCGTCGACGGCGGGGGCGAGCATGAGCGCCTCGCACAGCAGCACCGCGTAGAAGGACATGAAGGTCGGGCACGCCAGGCGGCGCCCCCCCAGCGCCTGGGCTTCGGCGCACACTGCGTTGAGGAACGCGCCGTCCGAGCAGCACCGCCGGGCGAGGGGCTCGCGCGGAGGGGGCGCCCCGCTCTCCTTGGACGGGCGCAGGAAGGCGAAAACGGTGCCCTCCAGCGAGCAGAGCTGCAGAGGCGGAGGGTTGACAGCACGTCATGGTCAACCTTCGTGTGTGGCTGCAGCTGTGGGGAGTGCGCGGGCCGTGGGCGGGACTCACTGACCTGGAGCACTTTGACGAATTCGTTCGTCTGGTGGTAGGGCAGCGCGCACGCAACCAGCGTGGGCACGTTGTGCTCGTGAATGGCGTACTGCCGCACGCAGAACTCCAGGACCTTGAAGCACGCCTGTGTGAGGAAGAAGCCCGACAGCAGGTGCAAGAAGTCCTCGATCGCGCGGTCGAGTTGCGCATTCTCCGCCGCTGTCATCTGTGTGCGGTGCGTGGAGAGACTCGCCCGCGAGAACAGCCTGGCCGCGCACGGCTCGAACCTGGCGTCCAGCCTGCACAGCTGCTCGAGACCTGCACAGCCGCGCACAGGAGCGGTGGTGTCATGGCAGCCGCGCGGCAGTTGCGCCGTTGGTACGTGTAGGGGGAAGTGCGGTTGCTCCGCCGCGAAAGGCGTCGCCAACGGGACGGAACGCTGTGGCCCAATACGGGGGTCGAATGTACACGCCGGCTCGGTGCACGGAGCATTGGAACCGAGCGTCGCGTGCGTGCATTCCTGGCGGCCGAGTGCCGCCGCCTGGCTACCGCAGGGGCTCACGGGGACCTCCAGCGCTGATTCTCTGCCGTCAGCGGCTCGCCGCGTTCGTACAAGCTGCTCGGATCCGGCCGCCGCAACCAGGGGCCAATGTCCCGCAGGACGTCGCGCGGGAGGCGCGAGACCTTGGGCTGTCACTCACCAGCGCCGCTGATCTCCAGGATGGTCGCGGCATCGATATCTGCGGCCTCCAGAGGATCAAACAGAAGCGAGGGACGCCCCTTCGGCCGTCTGTCGCCGGGCGCCCCCCTCGCGAGGGCGAGCTGCCCCAGCTGCTCCTGTAAAGCCGTCGCCATCGTGCCGTCACCGCATGTCACGGCAGCCTGTGTGCCGACCTGGTCGACGTGGCTGCCTGCCGAGCGCGCGTACTGGGGACGCGCCGCGCGCGCACAGCGCATTCTCCAGGGCGCGTGGCACGTGGGACGACGTCTCCACCTGCTGTCAAGGGGGCCCTGTGGTGGCATTCGCGCGGCGTCTCAAGGGCGTGTGGCGCCAGCGGCTAGCACATTGCTCGGTACGGTCCGTCTCGACAGCTCAGGTGTGCGTCTGAAGTGGTTCGAGGCCCGATTGTCGCTCACAAGGGAAGAGAGCTGTGTGTCTGCATCACCGCGGGAGAGACCCTCGTGCCCTCACCGGCGTGGTGTCGCTGCACCGTGGTGGGTCCACGATGAATCATGCATGTATTTCCCTGCGCCTGCTGCGCGAGGTCGTGCGTACACGTGCGCTGCGTGCAGTGCGTATATGTAACAACGTTTCCGGACCCTCCGGAACGGTGCTGCGTAGCGCACGCGCAGGGACTGATACGTGGAGGAGGAATCTACGTACATACCTGGTCCGGAGCCGCCGCAAGGCGCGCGTGTCGTCCCGGGAGCGATGAGCAAGGTGCGAATCATGCCACGCAACACCTGGGCACCTCTCTCGCCGGTTCCTGGCGGCCGCCGGGGACACAGCCGCGGCGTTGCCTCCGCGATTCGGCGCCCATCCGTTCCCATCAGTACCCGGAGCACCCTCGTCTCCCCTTTGCAGGACACGAGCTCAATTTTGGCGGACATCACCACCGCCCTGCAGCGGGCACTCCCGCCCCCAACCGTCACCGCCGTCGACGACCCGCCCCAGCCAGAGCGATCCTCGTTCTCCTTCCCCACGCAGCGCGCCCGGGAGTCCTCCGTGGACTCCGGCGCCGGCAGACGCGCGGTCGCCCTCCAGCGCGATGACGGGCTCATGTCCGCCATCGAGGGCCTCCTGACCTCCAGCCAGCACATGGTCCGCGCGCGTTCCCGCACCAGCCCGCTCAAGGCCCGCCCGCCCGCGAGCGCGCCGCAGCGCGCCCCCGACACCGCCGCGCGCGACGCGGGCCGCGCCATGCAGCCCCAGGCGCTCTTCCGCACCCGGCGCGCGGCGGCGACGGCTTCCCCGTGCCCCTCCCGCGGCCCCCGCCCAGGCAGGCGCCGGGCACGCCCCCGCGCGCCGCGCCGACCTCCCCGCGCCCGCCGGCGAGCGCGATATACACCCCCGGGTTCCGCGCGGGGGACCGGTCGGACGCCAACGCGTCGCACTCGTCCGTGAGCGTCCTGCCGTACCGCCAGATCTACACGCCCGGGTACAAGGTCCGCGAGGCCGCGCGCGGCAGCCCGGGCCCCGTCCCGCGCCCGCGCCCCGTGGTGCACTCCCCAGCGCGCCTCCCGCTGCTGGAACAGGTCCTGGACCCCGGGTACGTGGCCGTGGGGGACGCGGCGCGCAGCACCATGCGGGGCAACGCAGTGCTGCCGGGCAGCCCGGGGCGGGACGGCCAGTTCGCGTCCCGCTGGACAGGTGCGTGGCAGGGCGCATGTGGCGGCGCAGCTCTCGTCGCTCGCTCGCGCTGGGCCGTCTGAGAAGACTCGCTTGCGTGTGTGCTGTGCAGCGGCGGTGCGTGTGTTCGACACGTTCAACCGGATGGACATTGAGGCGGAGGAGGGTCTGCGGAAGCGCATGGCGGTGACGGTCGCGCAGGTGTTCAACCCGGTGCTGAGCAAGCTCGAGGAGGGCGTCAAGCGGCTGCAGGAGCGGCACGCGCAGCTGGTGCAGTCGCCGCGGCCGCTGGCGCTCGACAACACGTCGCGGCTGTCGAGCCCGGCGCAGGCGGGGCCAGGCCCGAGCGCGGCGGAGCGGAGCGGCGTGAGCGACGTGTCGCGCAGCAGCCGGGCGGTGCGCAGCTTGGGGCCGTCCTTCTCCCAGAACGCGAGCCCCGTGGTCGCCGCGCAGACGACGGCGGGTGCGCGGAGTGGCACGTTGCATGATAGTGTGCTGTCGGGGGGCACGCGCGTGGTGCCCAGCGGGGGCGTGACGGGGAATCTGCAGGCGTCGATACCGGTCGTGGTCATGACGCAGGACCAGGCCAGCCAGCTCAGCATCACGGCGTGAGCTGCGGTGTCGCACGCGTGTGATCACCACACGTCCCTGCGATGCCTCGCGGGCGCTGCGACAAGCGGGCCCACTGGTATCAAGTGCGACCGACGGCGCGCTCCGTGGTCTCGCCTGGCACCGTCAAGGGATCATGACGTCGAGCATTGCACAAATCGTCTGTTTGTCCATTTCAGTAGGCGCCGCCGTGAGCAGGGCATGTTCACGCGTGGCTCCTAGCGCGAGCTTCGTCCACCGGCTGTCGCCCTATCGCCAAACCACAGCACTTTTGCGGGACACAGGCGCTCGGTGTTTCACACGCGCGCTCCGGGTCGTCCGCGTCAGAGGTCTTCCATTTCGAGTCGCGCGAACGCGAAGGGCACGAACGAGTACCCGTCGCCCGAGTAGAACTTGTTCATGTACTCGACCCAGTGGAGACGCAGGGCGTGCAGGAAGGCCGAGAGCGTCTCCATGACCATGAGCACGCCGATGGTGAAGATCATGAACACGAAGAACGCGACCATGAGGAGCGCGGGGCTGCGCGCCTGCAGCCCGAGCATCAGCACGCGGTCGTAGAACACCGCCGACAGCTGCGCGTGCGCGAGCGACAGCGCCCACAGCCGCAGGTACGACGCCGTGTTTGAGATTGCGCCGAGCGCGAACTCGATCGTGTGGATGATCTGGTGCACGAACACCTCCCCGAAGTCGAACTCCTCCCCGTGGCCATGCCCGTGCGCGCTGTCCGCGCCGCGCCCGGCGTCCAGGCCGCCCGCGTCCCCCTCGATGTCCCCGTTGTTGGAGTCGACGTCTATCGTTGCGTACCCGCCGCCGCCCGCGCCCCGCGCGTTGTGCCGCGCGCGCAGGATGAGGGGCTTGGGGAGGAGCATGACGGGCAGGCTGACGAGCAGGACGACGAGGAGGAAGTTCTGGAGCGCGCCCTGGCCGGGGAAGAGGAGGTTCTCCGGGCAGGACCCGCTGCAGTCGACGTTGCCCGGTTCGAGGAACCAGTAGATGAGGATGTGGTAGATGTTGGCGGTGGAGCCCGAGACCCACTTGTAGATGATGAGGAAGCACAGGTAGCCAAACATGCCGTGCAGGAAGAGCATCTGCGGGATGAACTCGTACAGGATGGAGAGCGTGTCGCCGAAGTACCGGTGGTTGTAGAACGAGCACACGATGCCCAGCGTCATCTGCGTCACGCCCATCACGATCGACATCTTCATCTTCATGCTGTTCAAAAAGGGCAGCTCCGAGCGCGTCCCGTGCCACACCGGGTCCACGCCGAACGGGTACGGCAGCACGCCCTCGGGCCGCTCCAGCCCCGCGTCGTAGGCCTCCTCGCACACCGTGAAGCCCTTGTCGTTGACCTTCTCCTCGCCCGGGCACGCGTACCGGGAGTTCCCGAAGATGTTCATGGGCATGGAGAAGAACTCGTTGTAGAGCAGGCCCGTGTAGATGGAGAAGATGGCCATGAGGAGCAGCACGTAGCGCCCGCCAAACATCATCTCCATGATGTCGTCGAGCTTCTTGCCGGTCCACGCGCGCTCGCGGGAGATGAGCCAGAGCACGAAGAGCAGCATGAGGATGCCGTGCCCGACGTCGCCGAACATGACCGCGAAGAGGAAGGGGAAGGTGACGATGGTGAAGGGCGCGGGGTTGACCTCGCGGTACCGCGCGATGCCGTACGCGTCGACGATCGTCTGGAACGCGCTCGTGATCTTGCTCGTGCGGAAGAAGGTCGGCGGCTGGTCCTTGGCGGCCAGCGTCTGCACGATCGTGCCCACGGCGCTGTGGGCGCGCTCCCCGGCCTGCCGCACGGCCGCCTGCACCTCCGCGCGCGCGTCCCGCGGGCACCACGCCTCCCCGACGAGCGCCTTCTGCGACACGTCCACCGACAGCTTGTTCAGCGTGTGGTACGTGGCCTTCTCGCGCTTGCAGTACGACACCCACGCGTCGAGCGACTCGGCCACCTGCTGCAGCGTCGCGTCCCGCAGCCGCGCCGCCGACGCGATCGCCGTCGACAGCTCGTTCAGCCGCGTCGACACCTGCGCGAGCATCCCCCGCCGCGCGTCGAAGTCCTCCGGGAACGGGTACCGGTTGGCCCCGAACGCGTCGCAGATCTTCATCATCTTCGTGCGCGCCCGGTCCCCCGCGAAGAACACCACGAACACCGCCTTCTCCACCATCTCGCGCGTCGACGGGTCCCGCAGCGGCGCGTCCAGCTCCCGGTACTGGAAGAACATGTTGCCGCGCGTGGCCCGGAACAGCACGCGCTCGAAGATGCCCAGCTTCTCCGTCGCCACCATCCCCACCGCGAACCCCAGACGCGAGCCGCCCGCCGCGAACGCCTGCTCCAGCTCCGGCGCGCCGCCGCCCAGCAGCGGGTTGGTGATGTCCTGGAGGCCCCCGCCTGCAGCGCGCGGCGCGACACGGCGCGGGTCGGTGCGGGCGCACGGGCAGGGGGCAGCGCTGCGTGGCGAGCAGGGCAGGCGGCGCAGTGCGGGGCGGTCGCCGGCGCTCACTTGCGGTGGGCGGCGGGTGTGGCGAAGTGGCGGCGGACGCACGTGCCAGGGAGCGGACGTCCTCGAAGAAAGCACCCGCGCGGTTGAGCACGATCTCCAGCTCCACCAGCTCGTCGTACGTGCGCTCCAGACGCTCGTTGTTCGCGTTCATGTCCAGCAGCTCGCGCTCGAGGTCCGCCAGCCGCACCTGCGCGCGCGAACGGGCCGGGTGCGTGCCGGTGAGGGCGCTGTGGACGGGGGAGGCAGGGGGTGCGGGGTTGCGGGCGGGGCCTGCGCACCTCGAGCTCATCCATGCCCCGCGCACTCGAGAGGTCGATGTCGAGTCGCGAGCCCGTGAATAGCCCAGCCTTCTCGACCTGCGAGCGCGCGAGGTTCGTCGTGCAAACCATGGGGGCCGAACCAGCGCGAACGCGTGGGCAGTGACCCCGCGCCCCGCTGTTGGGCGCCGAGACGGAGCACGGGGAGAAAGACCGTCACGTGCGAGCGCACTTCGTGGTAAATCGTCCTTGCAGCCCACCGGGCAAGCGGCAGGGTGCTGTGCAGGATAGATGGCGCTGCGGGGTCGACGAGAAGGGCACAGACCGGCAGTCCGTCGTGCGTGGCTGATGGGGCTGGTTGTCGGGCGTACCTGGTCGGTGAAGAAACGGAGCTTCCGCGCCATCTCGTCGCAGCGCTTGACTTGCGAAGCGTACCTCCGCTGGAACGCCGACTTGTCGCTGTTCAGGTCCCGAAACTGGAGCATGCCCACTTCCCCGAGTGCGGATATCGTCGCGTGCGCCGATTCGGAGGGAATGATCAGCTGCAAAGGCGTGCACGGTGCGTGAAGGTCGGTTGTCGTCCCCCGCGCACGCGCGCGTCAACGGCTCAATCGTGCCGGTCGCGCTCCGCCAGATTTCAATAGATCGTGCGCCGTTCGCGGCCGAGTATCTGGGCTTCGGTCCGCCCAGGCCGCACAAGCCAAGCTTGTTTCCTTCCCCGGCCATCTGCGCACCTGCAACAGCTGCATCTCCTCCGAGCGCCACATGTCCATCATCTTGACCATCTTGACGAGCGGTGGCGCGCGGCCCTATGCGTCGCGGTGCACAGCAGGACGGGCACGGACGACAGCCCAGCAATGAGACGTGCACAGCCGCGAGTCTCGCGCTATCGGGGCCGCCGGACGCCACGCCCACTCGCCCTACTCCTGCGAGCTCTGGCACACCACGCTGCCACCGCCGCCCCACCAGGCCGCCCGGAACATCCGGGGGACTGGCGCAGTAGGACACGACTGACGCGAGCCACGTCCGGCACATGATACACGCGCGTTCACAGAGAGGCGTCCGCGCGCCCCCGCAGGCACGCGCCCGCGTCACTCCGCGTCCCCGCCTTCCTCCCCCTCCCCCTCGCCTGCGCGCTTCAGCTCCTCCACCTTCTTCCGGTCCTGCATCCCCCGGAACGTCGCCTGGATCTTCGTGGCCGCGGCCTCGAGCTCCGCGGCGTCGTCCGCGCCCTCCCCGCCGGCCGCCGCCTGCGCCTCGGCCCTGGTCGCCTCGCCCTCCTCGGGCTGCGCGCTGTCGGCCTGCGCCAGCTCCGCGGCCGCGAACTCCTCCTCGGCGTCCACCTCCTCCTTCCCCAGCGGCATCTCCTCGCGGCCCACCACGAGCTGCGCCTTGTTCGGGTTGTGGTGCTCGAGCCAGTCCGCGAGCCACACCACGGCCTCGAGCTTGTTGGCGGTCGGGCGCGTGTGGCCGAGCTCCACGAGGCCCTTGGTGAGCACGGGGACGAGCTCCGCCTCGATGTACTCCTTCGCCCACGTCTGGTCGCGCGGCGGCTCGATGTAGAGCTTCGGGAAGAAGAACTTGACCTCGCGGTACGCGCTGAGCTTCGAGTCGGAGCCGTGCGCGGCGTTGCGGCGGCCGTCCGTGCCGTACAGCGCGCGGATGGAGCGCGGGAACTCGATGCGGGCCTTGTCCGAGTTGGTCGGGCCCATGCATTCCCGCCAGTCGCTGATGGCGTTCATCTTGCTCAGGCACAGCGCGTAGATGGGGCCCGAGGTCATGAACTCCACCAGCCCGGCGAAGAACGGCTTGTCCCTGTGCTCCTTGTAGAACTCCTCCGCGCGCGTCTGGCTCAACTGCACGGCGGGCGCGCGCGGGAGGCAGCGGCATGTGATGCCTGCCCAGCGACCGGGCGGGCCCCGGGACGCACGCACGCGGTCCCGGGCGAACGGCTCGGGCGCGCGGCCGCCGACGTCAACTGGGCGACGCCCTCGCGGACTCTCGCGGCTCCAGAGCACGCGGGGGCGGAGCAGTCGAGCCGCAACATCACCCGGAGCCCCATGAGGCACGCACGCGGCCCGCACCGCCGAGGAAAAGCAAAAGCAACTCCGCGACAACGTGCCAGATGGAACAGTCGGGACGGGAGTGTGCGTGGCGGGGGCCAGCACGGCGTTCCGCCGGCGTGGAAGCAGAGGCAGAGGCGCAACAGCTGCACGCGCGAATTGCCGTCCCCCGCGGGGTCAGAGGGGCGCGCTCGCACGAAATACCGGAGGTTCATAAACAGACACGGGCGTGCGGAGCCGGAGACGCGCTCGCGGGGCTTCTCGCGGCGGCGCGGCGAGTGGCTCTCTAAATGGGACGTGCCTGCAGGCGCTTCTGCTCGATGATAGTGAATCCCTTGTGCCGAATGATGGACATGATCTCCTGCGCATTGCCCTGGGCAACTGCGTCCGGCTTGATGAGCGCCAGAGTGCGCTCCACTTGCGGCAGCGAGAGCTTCTCGACTACATCAACGAAGGTGGTGTCCTTCAGCTCGGCGTCCCCGGGCAGCAACGGCGCCTGGTCCGTGGGCCGCTCGTGGTAAGCGCCCATCAGGGCTACGTTCGCGCACGACGCGCGCTCCTCGGAAGGCGCTCGCTGCCGACGACGTCGCTCAACAGGCAGAACTGGCACGTCTGGGCGGACGCTGATCTAACGGTGCGGGTTCCTGACGAAGCATGCACGCCTGCGGGTCGCGCCAAACACTTGCCGCTGCGAGGCAATCCTCGGGGCATCGGGCCCCGCCGGGAAGGCGCCTCAGGAGGTCCCGCGGAGGCCCCTGCACTGCCCCCCCCCCGACGCTGCAGCGTGCAGCGCTCTGCCCGACAAAGGAGCGCGAACATGTGACCGTCAGGCCACTCGTGCAGCCGCCCGCGAGCTCGGGAACGCGAAATATCTGCGCAGGCTGCGCTCTGAGCGATCTGCACTGACTGGACGCCATGTGTGCGTCGTGCGTCATTATTTCCGGGGAATTCGTGAGCGAGATGACAGATTAGGAAGAGGGCGAACTTCCTTCGACGCATCATGCGCGTCGTGCGCGTCATGCTTCTCTGCGCAGCCCTCGTAGTTGCACTTGTGGTCAATTGCTCGTCGCAAGAGCTTGAACGGGTTGCGCAACAGCTCGTCGATGAAGGACGACACAGTCAAGCGGTTGATCGAGTGCTTCGTCACCACGGTGAGGCACCCACGGCGCGCCACGCAGTGCTTCGAGGGACTCCCTCGGCAGCGTGAACCGCCTGCACCGCGCCGCCGTGAGGCTGGACGCGCACGTGCCGCGTTGTGTGTGTGCCGTGAGAGCTTCTGCGATCGTCGTCGCCGTCGCAGACATCGTTTTCCACCACGAGCGGAGCGAGGCGGGCGACGATCATGTTCTCAGAGTGTCCATGCCGATCAACGCCACCATAGATGCCGCGTCGCTGCGCGTGGTGGGCCTCCTGCTCGAGGACTCCGAGCAGCTGACACCGAGCCTCGACGTCTCCGCGGCCCTCATCGCGCTGGCCGCCGCTGCTGGCGACGCGGTGGCGTCCGCGGAGATGGGCTTTCGGGCCGCATACGGCCTCCCCCCCGTCGAGATTGCGCTCGACCACCCGTCACTGCAGCGGCCGGCGCCCCGCAGCCAGCGGCGCGCCTCCGACGCCGCCAGCGACCCGGAGGGGGGTCCGGGCCAAGTGCCCACCGCTGACCGCCCCACGCCCCCGACGCCCCCCGGTGTCGGGCAGCAGGAGGCAGTGCGCAAGGTGGTCGCCACGCTGCGGGACGGGGGCAGCGCGGTGACGTTCGGCGCCCCGAGGGTGCCCGAGGCGGTGGCGACGTATTTCATGGCGGCGTCGCGGAACGACACGCGCGCGCTGGTGGCGCTCGGATTCCGTCACCTGCACGGTCACAGCGTGCCGAAGAGCTGCGAGACGGCCGTCCTGTACTACATGCGCGCCGCGGCGCAGGTCATGCCGGGCGCCCTGCACGAAGGCTCGAAGCCGCTGACCGCGCACGAGCGCGTGTCTCGCGCCTCCAAGGCCGCGAAGTGGCCGATGTGGCTGCAGCAGACGACGCACTCGGACATCCTGGACTACTTCCACGTCCAGGCGCAGCGCGGCGACACGCCGGCCAAGGTCGTGCTGGGCCGCCTGCTGGCCTTCGGGACGCAGCGGCACCTCCGCGATACCACCGCGGCGCGCAAGTTCCTCGTCGACGCAGCGGAGGCTGGGGAGGCGCAGGCGATGGGCCACTTGGGGAACCTCCAGGCAGCAGGTGAGGCATGGCGCCAGTGCTCGCGCGCGGTTCCCGCCCCCCGCACCGAGGACCGCAGCAACGACGCCGCCGCCGTACCGCGTGTTTGCGTTGCAGAGGCGGTTGCGAGCGGCCAGGAGGAGGCGTTCGAGCACGCGGCGAAGTGGCTCCAGCGCGCCGCAGAACAGGGAAGCGCCGACGGGCTCTTCGGGTCCGGCACGCTGCACCTGCTCGGGCTCGGTGGCGTACAGCGCGACCCTGCGCAGGCCAGAGCCCTGCTCACGCGGGCAGCGAAGTCGGGTGCGCTCACGGGACGATCCATGGTGCTTGTCGGGTCTGGCCTCGCACGTAGCCGGACTCGATGCGAATCAGCCGGCACCCACGTCTCTGCAGGGCACGTGGAGGCGCACTTCTTCCTCGGGCTCATGCAGCGGGACGGCCTGGGCGGGCCGAAGGACTCCAAGGAGGCGGCGCGCAACCTGATGCGGGCGGTGGCGGGGGGGTCTCTCTTGGCGTCGCACGAGCTCGCCGCGCTGGAGATGCAGGACCGGGACGCGTTCAAGGTGCGCTGCGCGGCTCGCACGCGGCGTCGCTCCCCCGGGACCGCCAACGTGCCCTCTTCCATCACGCTCCTCGCCGCGCGCCCTCGCACTCCGCGCAGGACGCGTGCCCGCGAGTAGCGTCGCTTCTGCGCGGCGCCCTCGCGCAGTCCGTCGGCGCGGCTGCCGTCCGCGCCGCGACGCGCGCTTTCAAGCAGGGCCAGGCGGAGGCTGCATTGCTGCACTCGCTGCGCGCCGTGGAGCTCGGCGTCGAGGGCGGGGCGGTCGACGCCGCGTGGCTGCTCGAGCAGCGCCTGCACGACATCCGCGGCGCCAAGCACGCCTCCCTCGCGCTGCGGCGACGGGCCGCTGCCGAGGGTGACCTGAGGTGCGCACAACCCTCCTCGCGCGTCCCGCGATCTCGCCTCCTGTGCGCGCGAACGCGCTCTCCAGAGCAGGCATGTGCGTGCAAGGCGTGAGAGGCGGTCGGCGTGCGCGTGGTCGTGGTTGCAGCTCGCTGTTGATCCTGGCAGACGCGTACTACTCGGGCGACGGGATCGACATGGACCGCCTGACCGCCGCGCGGCTGTACGAGCGCGCGGCGCCGAAGAGCGCGCAGGCTCGCTTCAACCTCGGCATGATGTACCACTTCGGCCTGGGCCTCCCTGTGGACCACCACCTCTCCGAGCGGCACTACGACGACGCGGTGGCGCTGCAGGTGCGCGTGCAGTGCCCGCATGATGATGAAGCCGCTCGTGGGGCGGAATACGCGGCTCACCTTCCTGCCGCGCTTGTGCTGCTTACAGCCCAAGAGCTACCTGCCCGTCGACATGGCGCTGTGGGCGCTGCGCACGGAGGCTTCGGTGGTCGAGTGGCTCAAGGGGCCGCAGGGTCGCGTCGTGGCGCGGGCTGCGCGGGAGTCGGGTCTGTCAGACGCGCTGTGCAGCGTGGTGGATGACATGGGACTGGGAGACTGGCGGCGGGCGTTTGCGGCCAAGGTGGCTGCGGCGCAGGAGGACGCGGGCACGGATGGCGGGGCGGAGGGCGAGGCGGTGGCCGAGGAGGGGGCGGGGGGCACGGCAGGGCGCGAGGGGGCGCGGGGAGCAGGTGCCCTGGTGTGGGAGGCGCGCGCCCTCATGGGGCTGGCCTCGCTGCTGATGCTGATTGTGTGGGTGCGGAGGCGGCGACGGCGGCGACGGAGACCCGCGGCGTAGTCGCGAAACGATGTGATACAGCGTGAGCGGCGCGCAGCCACGCCGCTTGGCTCGGGGAGCGGCCAGCCTCCAGGTGTGCGGGCACGCTCGCCCACGGCGGCGGGGGTGCTTGTAGGTCAGCGAAGTACAAAAGGCGGTAGATTGCCCAGGACCTGGCCGCAGCACGTGCGTGGACTGTGAGGGCGGAGTGGTAGTTCTTCGCTGACCTGTGGGCTGCCGGGGGGGTGTCTCAGCAGGCGATGGGGTGGCGTATTGAGCGTTGGGCAGCACAAGGCGTCGGCCAGTGACACACCGGAGCCACAGCGCACCATCATGCGCCGCGCGACGATCGCAAAGGCCTCACACCTCGACTTGTTGTTGCGAGATCTCCCCAGCCCGTCGACGTCTTCGCGCAGCTCAAAGGGTGCTGCCAGACATGACCGGGGGTGCGAGTGCCTGGGCTCGCGACACAGGGCTCAGCCCTCCACTTTCTTGCCGTCCCGCACCCTGACCGTAAATCCGCCGTCACACCTCAAGGTGACGGTCTTCCCCTTGGGCAGCCCCTTCGTCCAGCCTAGGTCGCCGAACGCGAGACCGGTCTTTTCGTCCCGGGAGGACCCAACACTGATCTCTCCGATCGCCTCCAGCCCCTCGGGAAGCTCTGACGGCCTATCAAGCTTCAGCGTCTTCAACCCTCTCGCCGACTGCCGGTCCATGAAGCCCGACCGAACGTTGCACCCAGCCACGTTCAGCGCCTCTAGCGCCGGCATGCCCCGCACGCACGTCGTCGCTGTGTACGATGCTCCCAGGACGCGCAGCTTGCGTTTGGAGCTCTTCGGGATCTTGTTTGCATCAAACGCCCCGCAAAACGAGACGTCGAGCACCTCGAGCGCACGCATCCCGGCCGGCATCTCGCACAGGTCGGTGTAGCGAGCATTGAGCTCCCGCAGCGTCTCCCGCACGCTCGCCTTCGCGCTCAGCCAGCTCGCGTCGAACTCGCAACTCCACACCTTCAGCTTCTTGAGCTGCGTCATGCCGCCAGGAAGGCCGCGCACGCTCGTGTGCGACACATCGAGCTCCTGCAGTGCTGCCGCCGCTGCGTCGTCGATCCAGTGCTGGTCCAGGCTCTTGCATCCGCTCACAATCAGCGTTTCGAGGTGCGTTGCAGAAGCCGGGACGCGACGGACGGTCGTGCCCTCCACGTTGAGGTAGCGCAGCTCCCGCGCCGAGTCCGCCGGCAGCCAGTCGTCGGCCAGATCGACACGAGACCCGTACCTGTCAGCCAGCGTTAGCCTTTGCAGCGACACCATCCCGGCAGGCATCCGACGCACGCTCGACCGCGTGATGTCCACCTCGACCAGCGACGCGCGCGAGCCCTCGTCCAGGAAGTCCTCGCACAGCCCCTCGCAGCCACCCAGCCGCAGCACGTTCAGCGCCCTCACGTGCGGCGGGACGCGTTTGATGGAGCACTGCTCGACGACAAGCTTCTGCAGCCTCTCGCCGGAGTCCTCGGGTAGCCACGCCTCCTCCAGACATTGGCCGTGCTTCAGGGTCAGCTCCTCCAGCGCGCTCAGGCCTGGGGGAAGTCTCTTGATGTCCGATTCGGATATAATTGATTGGCACAGGTCGAGCACCTTCAAGTTGCGGGCGGAGCTCGGCGGCAGCCAGTCTGGTGCGCACTTCGAGAGTTCGACTGTCTCCAGTGCTGGGAGACCTTCCGGCACGCGGTCGATGCTATCGATGCCACCCTTAAGCACCCTCAGCGCTGGGCGGCTCGACACCGGCAGCCACGCCTCTGCATCGAGGAGCTTGCAATACGTGACGTCCACCTCCTCCAGCGACTCCATCCCCTCCGGCATGCGCCGCAGCCCGCTCTGCACCGCGTTCAGCGTTTTCACGCTCCCGCGCGCCCCACGTGGCAGCCACGCGTCGCTCGACAGCCAGTCCCACTCGAGGTGCGACACGTCCACGTGCTCGAGCGCCGTCATGGCGTCGGTCAGCGGCGGCGACGGCAGGTCGTCCCGCACCTCGCCGTGAGACAGCCACTTTGTATTCTTGCCCACGTAGCGCTTGACCTTGTTCGTCTTGCTCAGAGCCACCACGGACGCCTCGTCCCGCGGCTCCGCCCCCGCCCGGTACACCAGCACCCACCCCTCTTCGCTCACCCGCCCGATCCGTGCGTTCGCCGCCACGCACCCCTGCTGGTGCAGGCGCTCCATGATCTGGTCGGCCACCTGTGCCGTGCTGGGCGTGAGCTCCACGCCGCCCGGGCAGCACCGCAGCACCGCAGCTATGCACGCCGACGACGTCGCCGCCAGCGCCACGCGGTCCCGCGGCTCCAGCAAGCCGACGACGTGCGCCAGAGGACCGCTGGGCAGGTCGGTGAGCTGGAGGGCTCCACGGGGCCCGTCACTGCACGTCATGTGCGACAACGGGGACGTTTGAGCTCAGTCGCTGCTTGCTGTCGCATCGGCACACGCCACGCGTCGCTCCCGAGCCCCCGCGCAGGCAACCACCACTGAGCCGGGGCATCTCACCTCGGGGTGGCAGGCTCCTGCGCCCTCCCGTCCATCATCCTCGCGCGCCGCCTCGTGATCATCTGCATGGACACGAAGATCAGGTCACGCCATCACAATACCGCGTGCGGACGCAACGGCTCCTGCGCGCCACATTGCCTGCAGCACGAGCCCGCCGTGCGCACTGGCAGCGCCGCCACACCTCACCTCGACCACAGCGCCGCGTCTCAGCTGTACTTGCTCGCACCCTCCGCCTGCCTCGGCAGCCTCACGCTCCCCCACACGCAAGCACAGACCCACAGATGCCACCCCGCACACAAGCAGCGACCTTGTGCGTGCGCGCGCCGTAGGACGCCCCACTGCGCACCGGCGCGTGTGTGTCTGTGCTGTGCCGATGCCATCACGCGGCAATGCACCCTCGCAGCCGGTCGCGCCGCGTGGCATCGACGGCGGGGGTGTCTCCTGACTGACACCCCCTCGTCAAACCCCCCCTCGTCAGCCCCCAGGCCTGGCGAGCACCGTCACCGACCCCTCCGTAGACGATGCCGCGCTCCCCTCTGCGCGGCTCGCCTGGCCCACCACCTCGCCGCGGTCGGGGCCCGCCCATTATGGGCGCATAATACGACACTGCGGGGGTGTCTCGGCAGACGATGAGGGGGTAGTATTGAGCACGCGTCAGGACATCGGCCCGTGACACATCGGGGACTGTATCACACCATCACAATGAGGTGAGGTGTTACATTCTTCGCGTCGCAATGTGATGGTGTTGTGCGAGCCCCCCAACCAGTTGACACGCAGCGCAGACGGTGCTGCCATGACATCGTGGGGGAACGAGTGCCTGGGCTCGCGACACAGGGCTCAGCCCTCCACTTTCTTGCCGTCCCGCACCCTGATCGTCCCTTCGGCGCAGAAACTCGCGGTGACGGTCTTCCCCTTAGCAGCCCCTTCGTCCAGCATAGATCGTCCAACGTCAGACCGATCTCTTCATCCTCGCGCTCACCGACGTCGATATCTTCGATCGCTTCCAGTCCCTCGGGAAGCCGCGTCACGGTCGTCCAGCTGATATTGAGCGTCTTCAACCCTCTCGCCGACTGCCGGTCGATGAAGCCCTACCGAACGTTGCACCACGACACGTCCAGCTCCTCCAGCGCCGGCATGCCCCGCACGCACGTCGTCGCTGTGTGCGATGCTCCCAGGACGCGCAGCTTGCGTCTGGACGCGACGGACGCTCGTGTGCCTGACGTCAAGGCAGCGGAGCTCCCGCGCCGAGTCCGCCGGCAGCCAGTCGTCGGCCAGGTCTGTCGGTGTTTCGTACCAGCCAGCCAGCGTCAGCTTTTGCAACGACATCCCGGCAGGCATCCGACGCACGATGGACCCCACGATCTCCACCTCGACCAGCGACGTACGTCAGCCCTCGTCCAGGAAGTCCTCCCTCAGCTGCTTGCAGCCACGCAGCCGCAGCACTTCCAGCGCCCTCACGTGTGGCGGGACGCGTCTGATGGAGCGTGACGACGAGCTTCTGCAGCCTCTCGCCGGAGTCCTCGGGCAGCCACGCCTCCTCCAGATATCGGCACCACTCCAGACTGAGCTCCTCAAGCGCCCCCAACCCGAGGGGGAGAATCTTGATGTAAAAAAAGCTCAACACAAGCACCTTCAACTTACGGGCGGAGCTCGGCGGCAGCCAGTTTGGTGCGCACTTCGAGACCCGGATCGTCTCCAGCCCCGGGAGACCTTCCGGCGCGCGGTCGATGCTATGGGTACACTGAAGCACCCTCAGCGCTGGGCGGCTCGACACCGGCAGCCACGTGTTGTTCTGGAGCTGGTCGCACCCCGAGACGTCCACCTCCTCCAGCGACCCCATCCCCTCCGGCACGCGCCGCAGCCTGCTCCAATACGCGCGCAGCGTCTTCACGCTCCCGCGCGCTCCCCCACGTGTCACTCGACAGCCAGTCCCACCTGAGGTTCGACACGTCCACGTGCTCGAGCGCCGTCACGGCGTCGGTCAGCGGCGGCGGCGGCAGGCCCTCACGCCCTCCCCGCGCAGCCCCCCATAGATGATCCGCATCAGCGCTGATGCGCAGGCAGGCTGCGCATGCGCGGGGGGGTGTCCGACCATCGCCGAGTCGGCCCGACGCCGGCAGTGCAGGGCCGATGAGGCCGGTGCTTGGTGCGTTAGCGGCGACAATCCCCACGGCGCATCATCTTCTGTCGCTCAGGCGCTTCGTTCGCGCACACAATGGTGGCAGAGAGCAAGCCCACGTGGAGGGTGCGTCCGTGAGGAATCGAGCGCATGCCTGGCACTGGTCGATACGAAATCATCCGCGTGGTGGTCCTGGTGGCGTGACGTGCACAAAACGTCCTCGTGTGCGCCGTCGCTTGCTCGCAGGGGACCTACCAACGCCAGCCCACGGAAGGCCATGCGCTGCGTGGCGCTCCGTCCGCGGAGCGTGACTTGCGCCGCGCAACGAGCAGTGAGCAGGGGCTCGTGCGCTTCTCGGGCAACCTGAAGGACCTGCAGGGAGTCTGCAAGAAGAAGGCAACCAAGGTTGTCGACCTGGGGGGAACGACTGTCTACATGGATGGAAAGACGGGGAAGACGAAGCAGCTGTCGATCAAGCGCAAGGGGAAGAAAACGGCACCGCTGACGCTGCGCAACGGGTGCGAGACCGGCGCAGCGCGTGCGCAACTGTTGAGATGCCGGAGCAGCGGGCCCGGGCTACGTGCACGGCAGCATCCGCGCTTCTTGGCCCCTTCCGCCTCCTTGCTTCGTTCCAACGCGACGCGGAGCGCGCGACCACTTTCCGATGCGTGGGCTGGTGCGCGGAAGGGCTGCAAGAGCCAGGTGGCAAGGTGCTCGCGCCTCGTAGCGCGGCGCGGTCCTTGCGCCTCACGACGCGACCTGCGCCGACTTTGAGCACTGCAGGACGATCGTTATTCACCGCGACATGAACCCCCGCGTGAACAAGAAGGGCAAGGTCCTCGACGCCACGGGTGCCGCGATCGTTCACAAGGCCGGCGGCCTCAACCTGGAGAACATCACCATCTCCAACCCCTGGGGCCGCGGCGTGTTCAGCGAGGGCAAGACCGCGAAGCTCAACATGACGGACGTGACCATCGAGAGTGCGCACCCACCCACCCACTTGACCAGCGTCCCCAGCAGCACGGGACCCGCCTGCTCGCGAGGAGGCCGACGCCGTCAGGCTGGCGGGCTGGCAGTCCCGGCGCCGCCGAGGCCTTTGACACCGTCGGCCCGACAGCCCCGCGTCTCGTGCGCTGACGCAGACTGCGGGCACAACGGGGTGGACATGCGCGGCGGCACGCAAGCGGTGGTGCGCGGGTGCAACATTCTCAACAACGGCGGCAGCGGGTGCGTGATCGACGGCGCGGCGTGCAGCGCGCACATCTCACAGAGCATGATCGCCGGCAACAAGAACTGGGGCGTCGGCGCGTGGAACTGCGCCACCGTGTACATCTCCAAGGACCAAGGCAACGCCTTCGCGCTCCCGGAAACCATCGCGTTCTCGGACCCGCTCGTGCTCCCCGACCCGCCGAAGAAGCCCAAGAAAGAGAAGAGTTCTGCTAAGAAGAACTCGGCGGCCGAGGCGCCCGAGCCGCCCGCCCCCGCGGCCCCGGCGCCCAGATATGGCGTGCTGCCCAGGATGGGCGTCCTGCCCGGCGGCGACGGCGACTCCACCGCGCCGGGGACGCCCGCGACCGCGCAGTACGTCCCCGCGCCGCACCCGCACGCCCGCCCTCGCGCCCACGCGCCGCACCCGCGCGCCCGCTTTCGCGCCCTCGCGCCCACGCGCCCCCGCCGCCGCGTGTCTGCTGCAGTGACGCCAGTGCGCATCTGGCGCGCCTCTCGCTGGGGGAGGCGGGCGCAGGCAAGGACGCGATGATGGCGACGCTGCCGAACGTGCCGGCGCCGCGAGCGAGGCCGGAGGATGAGGCGGTGGCGATCAAGGAGAACGGCGAGATAGGCGTGTGGGCGGGGTACGGCGCGGTGGTGCACCTGGGGGGGTCCACGCAGCTGGGGTCGCACGTGGGGATCGACGCGCAGGAGAAGGCGGGCGGGCGCGTGATACGCCATGAGCGCGGGTGACGCGGGGTCCCTTTGCGTGATGTGAGTGCTCAGCAGAATCTGTGTCCAACAGATTATTGTAGGTCAGCCAAATACAAACAACCTGCGGGGCCGCTTTCCGGCTCGAGCGGTCGCGGCTGTGTCGGCTTGCTCGAGGGAGGAGGGATCGGCGCGTGGGGTCGCGCGGCTGGGATCGTGCCGTTCGGGGTGCGTGCGGCTGCGAGCTGTCTGTCGAAATGGTAGGACGCATGATGAGAGGCCTCGGACCTGGCCTGAAGGGGCCGCCGAGGCGCAGCGCAGGAGCGGTATTTCGACACATTTGGCACGAACCTGCCCGTGGTCGTCAGCAAGAGGCTGTGAGACCATTGGCTGGGACGCTTCGCGAGCTTAGGAGCTCAGTGAGCGCTCGGCTGTGTCCTGGCGGCGAGGGGCCGCGCCCGGGTACAGCGGGAATCTGTTTCTTGACGCAAAGCGATCGAGGCCAGGATGAAGGACGATGGGATGACGTTGCAGGCGCTGGTGGAGGAGAACCAGCGGCTGAAGAAGAGGCTCCAAGATAGCCAAGCGGAGCTCGCGGGGAAGGGGTTCACCTCAACGGCAGTGATCTCGACGCTGACCGACCTGGCGAGGGAGACGTCAACAATGGAGGAGATGCTTCAAGAGTACGAGGTGCGGCGTGCGGCCCCCCCCTTCCTGCTACAGCTAGAGGTCGGCTCCTGGCGCCTGTGCGACAGGAACACGCCCGCATTCGAACAGTTTCTTGAAGTCAGCCTCTTTCCGAGGCGCGTTCTTCGTCGTCAGCGTTTCCGGCCCTTCCGCGTCGCCGCCGGCCCGCGCTTCTGCGTTTCCCACTACGGTGCCGCTTGCGCGCTGGCCGCGCGGCATCGCGTCGAGCAATCACGGCGCAGTGATCTCTCATGCCAGCATCCTGCACGCGCGAATCCTTTCAAGGATGTGTGCCCACAGAGAAGCAGACGCCGCTTCAAACCTTTTGCTATGACTGGCATGACCCGGCTCTGCGCACACAGCGCGTGACGTTGGCGGCCTCGCACTGAAATGCGGTCATGGCTGCCTCAGCGAAACGTGGGGTGGTCTGGGAGGCGTGTTCCGTCACCCTCGCTGGCTGCGTGCTCCTCCTCACGAGACGCACTGCTCCTCGCATCGGATGCAGCACAAGATCGAGAAGATGAACCACGAGATCGCCGAGAACGACATGTACATGAGCGAGACGCAGCAGAGGCACGAGCAGGAGATGGCGGCCCTGAAAGACAAACTGCAGAAGGCACAGGCCGAGTGAGTGCGAACACACCGCTCCCCGGGGCGCGGAGCCCCGAGCGCGGGCGCGGCCACCTGCCCTCGAGGGCGCGTCCGTCTGCGCGCTGCCGGTGCAAGGGGCCGCCGCATTGCGGCCTGGCATCGCACGGAAACTGACCGTTTCTCCCTGCGCTGTTGTTTGGAGCAGGGTGACCGTCCTGCAGGAGCGGTGGGCGAACATCGACAAGCCGGCGGAGCTGACGCCGTCGAAGATCATGAAGCCGCGGCTGGTTGTGGAGCTCGAGGCCCAGGTGTCGCGCCTCAAGGCCGAGCTGCGCGGGAAGCACCAGGAGGCAGAGGAGCTGTCGCGGCAGCTGGCGGAGCAGCAGGGGTCGGAGCAGGAGGCCGTCAAGAAGCTGCAGGCCGAGCGCAGGAAGCTGGCGCGGGAGGTCGAGGAGCGCAAGCAGGAGGTGTCGCGCCTGCTGGCGGACCTGCGCAAGGCGCGCCTCGAGCGGCAGGAGGCGGAGACGCGGGCCGAGGAGGCGGAGGCGCGGCGGAAGCAGCAGGTGAGATGACGCGCGGCGCGCGGCCGCGGCCGGCTTGCAACGACAGCAACACAACACACATGAGCTGCAAAACGATTGCAATGCGCGCTGTGGGCCCACGATGCGAGCCGGTCGGGCCGTGCACGATGCAGAACCAAACGCTGCGGGCGGAGAACAGTCGGCTCGGGAAGGCTCTGCTGGCGTCGGAGGAGGCGGCAGCAACCGCGCGCGAGGAGGCCAAGTCGCGGGCCCCGCCGTCGCGCGACGGCGACTCGCCGGTGCTGCGCGCGCGCAGCACGACGCCGCGTCTCGCGCGTCGCACGCAGCGGTTCCGCCGCAGCGAGGCCCTGGGAGGGCGGTTGATCAAGGACAGCGGGGACTTCCAGGGGGTCCCCGGCTGGGCGTTCTTCTCCGCGACGGTCGGCGCGTTCCTCGTCGGCGTCCGGCTCATGTGAGCGACTCCGCTTCACACGCTCAGCCCCTCGCACTGCCGGAAGAAGCCGCCGCACACCGCCAGCAGGACGGCCACGCGGGGCAGCTCGCGCTCGCCCGCCTCGCGCGACAGCGCCCCCGGCATCTCCGCCTGCTCCTCCCCGCGCACCCCGCCCACCGCGTCCCCTATGCGCCGCAACCGCCACACGCTCCACCGCGCCAGTGCACGAATGCTCGCCACCGCTGCCGCGTCCAGCGGATCCTCCACGCGACACAGGAGCGCGTACAGCCACGACGCGTGCAGCTCCCCGAGCTTGCCCCGCTCCTCCGCCTCGTCCACGAACGCCTCGAGCACCGCCCCCGATGCCACGCGGTCCATGCCCCCGACAACGACCGACAGGGTCGGCTTGCTGCCGGCGCCGGAGCCCGTCGCGTCCTCCTCGACGTCGGGCAACACGCGCGCCACGAAGTTCGCGGCGTCCTTCGGGTGCACTCGGCGGGAGCCCGCGGGCAGCGGCGGCGGGCGGCAGCGTGCCGTCGCGGCTCGCACATCCGCGAACTCCGCCACCGCGCTGGCCACCCAGCCGGCGTCGAGGAGCGCACTCGCCTCCTCCAGCGCGATGCCGGCACCCACGCGCAGAGCGTCCCGGTACTTCCGCGGCAAATTCTTCGGCACTTGCTGCGACGCAGGTGCGGGCGCGGGAGCCGCGCTCTCGCTGCGCCCGGCGTCCTCCTCGCCGCCCGCGTCGCTCGCTGCCTCGTGCGCCCCCGCACCTGCGTCGCCGTCGCCGTCCGCGACCGCTGCAGGGGTGTCGTCACGAGCAGCCTCTTGCGACGGTTCCGGCGGGGCACGCTGCGTGCCCGGGGCGGGCGCCGACGACACCGAGACCTTCGGCATTCCCTTGGCCTGCGCCCTGACCATCGCGAGGTACAGGTCGGCGTCGTCGGGCACGCCCTCGGTGAAGTCTCCGCTGATGCCGTCGATGTCCTGCACCGGGAGGCAGCGACCAACCAGCTCCCCGCTGTCCGAGGACTCCGCCTGCAGCAGACGTACGACATTGAGCGGTTCGCGCGGCACGCAGGGATGTCGGCCGTGCCGGTGCGAGGGTGCATTGCTTGTGAGCGCCTGCACGGCGGGTTACTCGTCTCCGTTCCCGTGACGTTGCATCGTGATGCCATGCTCAAGAACTGATGACGGCGCCGCGTCGACGCGAACTGCTCCGCCCACCGCACACGGCCCGCCACGGAGCGGCTCCTGCGCGTTGAGGTAGACAACCGCCCCCGCGAACACGCACGGGGAAGCTGTCGAGGTCGCGCACCTCCCACGAACATGAATCATCTTCGTATTCTCCCCCTGCGTCGCCGCCCCCGTCCGTCTGCGGCTCGTTGCAGCGCGCCTGGCCAGGTTCCTGCCAGCAAGGTTCCTGCTGCTCCTGCGCAGCGTCCGTCATCGTCCCCGGCACTGTGTGGCTGCACCCCACCTTCTCTTTCAAGACACACCAGCGTTGACGCCTCTCCGTGTGCTGCAACCTCGTCCCTGCACCGTCAAGGTTGCTTGCCACAGATGAAGCCGCGCGGCGGCCCGTGCAGGTTCGCCTGGCCGCGCATCTGCTGCCAGCCTGCGCCCTCCGGGCCCCACGAAGGCCCTGGCGGCACACCGCGAATCGCAGTACAACAGCGATGAGGGGTATAAGAGACTGTGCTTGCCAGTATAACCTGGCGGTGCGCAGTGCTCCGCCGCTGCGTCTCCGGCCGACGGTCAGCCAAGCGACGAGAGCGAATGTTCGGCACCGACTCGCGCTGGCCGGAGTCACATTGCTGATTTCCGCGAGTCTCACACCCCAAAGACGACCGTGTTGCTACCAACGGCGGGCGCGCCGGCGCCGCGTCAGCCACCGCCGCCGCCGAAGAGCATGTCCATGACGTTCTGCATGATCCCGCCCATGCCCGCGTTGGCGTGCTTGCCCACGCCCAGCGTCACCCCGATGGCCTTTTCCGCAGCATCCTTCACCGCCATGTCGCGCGCCAGCGCCGGCGCGTACTGCTGCACCAGGAACTCCCCCAGCGGCCCGTTGTCCAGCTGCGCGGTGCAACGGAGCGGGCCTACGCCTTGGGGCCCGGCGGACGTGGCTGCCGCCGCGTACACACATCCAGTCGAGTGCAGGGTTTTCCACAACTTGCGTCGTGTGCGGCGGGGGGCACGGCCGCACCTCGATCGCCTCCATGAGCATCGTCAGGAAGTGCATGAGCGGCGTGGAGGGGATGTTGCCGAGCTCCTGCTCCGCTGCGGCCAGGAGCGACTTGACGCCAGCCACGCCCTCCTTGGTGTCGTCGCGGTCGCTGCACGCCAGGTACACCAGCGCCGCCCGACACAGGAACAAGTCCCGCTCCTCCGCCTTCCCGCTGCGCGAACACTCCGCGACGATGCGCCCGAGCGCCCTGCAGAGTGGATGCACCGCACGGCGCCTCCCCGCTCAGCGCCTCGGCAACGGCCGAGAACGCGACCGGCCCGCGCCGACAGCCTGCGCGGGGGCCGCACCTGCCCTCGCGCGCCGAGCACAGCGCGTCCGTCACGACCGCGAGCCCGCTCAGCGACATGGCCTCCCACGCATACATCCCCAGCCGTTTCCGGAGCCGCCGCGCCTGCTCAGGGTGCCCCATCTTCTGCGCCCAGCGAGCCGCGCGGCCGGCGAGCACCGAGTACTCCTGCAGCGGCGTCGGGAGCTCCCGGAGCGGCACGTCGACGTCGCTGAGGTCCATCTGCACAGGGAACGCCGCCAGGATCGCGTCCGCGCGCGACACGTGCGCGTCGTCGCACGGACACTGGTCCTCCAAATACGAGTCCAGCATCCACTGCCCCAACTCGAGGCCTGCGACTCATCCCAGGGGCGCGGGAGAGAGCCGCGCGTGAGAGTGGGCGCCCGGCTTCCGACAGGGCTGATAGACGCATGCGTCGCGCCCGGGCCTCTCGCTTCCGGGCCGCGAGAATGGCCATCACCGAGAGGACGTCCTCCGGCTCGCCTCGGGCGTGTGCCGCCACCCGCAGCAGCCACGACGGCCGCAGCGGTGATGTGTGAACTTCCGCATGCCCCGTCGCGGTGGGGGGGGGATTCGTGCGCCGCGCGGGCCCCTGCGCACCTGCTTTGATGTTCCCTCGCTCGAGCTGCATGGTGCCGCCCTCGCGGCACACGTCGTACGCCGCTTCCATCAAACCCTTCTTCTTCAGGCGGTGAAACGCCGACTTCACCGTCTCGTGAGCCTCGTAGTCCGCGCCCTCTTCCACCAAACCCTTGGCCCTATCGATGACCTGCGGCATGAAACGGTCACCTCGTGGCGTCGCTGTTTCGTGACGACGTCGCGGCAGGGAGACAGCGCGGAGCAGGAGGTGCGCACAGGCGGCTCCTGAGCAGTTTGGTTTCGGCGGTGTGGCCACGGCAGGAGAGGGGATCGCGCGCAGAGAACACCGGCGATCCTTGTCACGGCCTCGCAGCGACGCAGCGGGCGTGCAGTGAGTCGAGTGCACGACGGTGTGTGATGCAGGGGAGGGGCACCTTCTGCGCTTGCGGCTCCATAGCTCCTGCGCGGCCCTGTTGGACTCCGAACAGGCCGCGGAGGGCAGCAGCTCCAGCCACGCGCTCAACACCAAGCGCTGGCCCCCTTCCAAACCAAGCTGTGCCTAAAGCGCGCTCCTTTGCGGGGCACCAGCGTTCTCTGCCGTAACGTAGAGCGACCACGAGGAACTCGCCGCGGGGAGCGCGGCTGTGGTGACTTGTGGTCGCCGCCCCACACCCTACGCGGTGGCGTGTGTCATGGGGCGTGAAGGTCCTCATGACGCCGTCAGGCGGGTCGTGGCCGCCGTCCGGCGATGATTGCTGCGCGCGGGTGCAACACGCAGGCAACGACTGCGCGCATCACTCGCAGGTGCTGTTCGTGCAGGCTCGCCAGCTGCGGGCGGGACTGAAAACAGGCGCTGAGCGGTTCACTTGACTGCGCGTCTGCTTCCGGGCTGGGGGAAGCAGACCGCGTCGCAATGGGCGCTTGCGCGACGAAGGAGGATGCGGCCGTGGGTAACTCGATCGTTCCGGGGGACGCGGCCAGCCGCGCTCCTCCTGGAGAGCGCCAGGGAGATGCGCAGGCCGTGGCGCGGGAGAAAAACGCCCGAAGCAACGGTCCATTTTCCAACATGAGCTCGAAGAAGGTCAAGAGCGTGAACGGCGCCACGCTTTCGGAGCAGCCCACGATGGCCCAGCCGAATGCCAGCGGAGCGGCAGCCCCCACCGGCCGTGCTGCAACCGACAAGGCGTCCGAGGGGCCGCAGGAGGGCGATGCAGGCGCCGCGAGGGCGGGCGCCGCCGCTGCGCAGGTACGCACGGCCTGCGCGCCGCGTGCTGCCCAGCGAAGTTCACCCACAGAAGACCGCGCGGAGCGCTCTGCCTGCGTGGCCGGCTGGCCCGCCAGGCGCCGTTTCCGCGCGCTGCATGTCTTGTCGTGCCTGCGCGCGGCTTTCTCGCGCGTCTCCCCGTGCCTACAGCGCGCGTTCGCACCTGTCATCGACGCACCTGCAGAGGGCGCCAGGCGGCGTGGCTGAGGGGCAACAGCACGCGTGGGTGGCCGTGATAGCGGACTACAAGTCCGAGGATCTGCCCGACCTGCCCGAGCACGCCGTTCCCTGGCTGGAGCTCCTGGGCAAGGAGACGGTAGTGAGTCTGTTCACCAACGACTGGATGGCGCGCACCGCGGCGCTCAAGTCGATCGTGTCGCTGGTCGTGAAGAAGCTGGACGCGCTGAACGGCGCGGACGAGGCGCAGGCGACCGCGCTCGTGCGCGCCGCGTACGGCGCCGCCTCCCAGCACCTGCGCGACCGCACCATCCCCGTCTTCTTCGCGGCGCTCGAGCTCATCGCGGAGACGACCGAGCGCCTCGTGCCCCGCGTCGGCGACGAGCACGGCCTGCGCCTGACGCGCATCGCGTCCAAGATCATCCCGGTCCTCGTGCGCCGTGCCGGCAACGTGCAGAGGCGCGTGCGCGCCGAGTGCGCCGACTGCCTCGTGCGGCTGGCCGAGTGCCCGCGCATCGGCCCGGCGATCGTCCTCAGGCACCTCCTCGTCTCCGCGGAGGAGGAGGGCCGCGCGGACCCCTGCGCGCTGCTCGGGCGCGTCACTGCCCTGAAGGACGTGCTGGCGCTCCCGGACCTCACGATGGACCAGGTGACGGGGACGGGCGTCACGGCCGGGACCATCGCGGCCCTCGCGCGCATGGCCCTGCAGTCCGGGGACGACGAGGGGAAGAAGGCCGGGGCGGAGCTCCTCGCCGCGCTGCACAAGCTCTCGCGGCGCAGCGGGCAGGCGTCCAACCCGCTCCTGCTCGACGGGCTCCCGGACGACCTGCTCCCCGGCGTGCGCCACTCGCTGAACCGCGTCGACAGCGAGCTGGGCGTCCCGCCGCAGTTCGCGTCGGACCACGACCAGGGAAGCTACAGCTCCATCTCCGCGGCAACCAGCGACCACGAGGCGCTCGACACGGTGCCGTCGCGGTTCCCGGGCGGCCTCGCCTCCGAGCTGGCGCTGCAGGCCGCGCGCATGGGCTCGCTGCTGGCGGAGGAGGACGTGATGTCCGCGGTGGGGTCGTCGCGCAACATGGACCGCATCGTCACCGTGAACGCCTCGCGGCAGTCGAGCTTCGTGCGGCACCGGCAGTCGGGGCGCGAGGTCGACATCGCGTGCAAGTCGGTCAACGGGCGGATGAGCCGCATGGCGCCGGGCGGGGTGGACTCGGGGGTGGACTCGCGCTCCAACAGCACGCCCGGCGATCGCTCCCGCGTCCCCACCAGTGCCTACACCGACACTAAAGCTCCAGGCCGGACAGACGAGAGCTCGTGAGGGAGCCGCGGAGGAGCAGAGCAGCTACGGCAAACATGATACATAGTCGCCACGTGGCCCTATCTCGATCACGCCCCCGCACAGGCTCTGCCTCACCTTTTTGTACTATATTTCACACTTTTCCCCTCCGTTCCCGCGTCCGCATCATCCAAGCCTTGCAGCAACCACACGAGTGAAGGCGGCATTTGGTCCGCCGGTGCCGCGTCGGCGCGGCCATTTTCCTGGCGCTCCATCGACGCGTGTCCTCATCACTTCTTTCCCGTTCCTCCTCCCCCGCCCTGTCCATGCCTTGTGCCGCCGCCGACGTCCTGCCAACTGCGGGACTGCCCTCGACCAGCGCTGCTGTCGCGCTGAGAGCCGGCGTGTGCATGAAAGACCAGTAGGAGCCTTGGTATCCAGCACGCTGCCTGGACGACCTGGCAAGTTTTCGCTGCTTGTGATCCGCGTCACCCACTGCTTTTGCGCCCGGGCCGGGAGCGAACGCCGGCTGCACGGCGACGATGTTGCGAGCGGACAGCGCGGCGGGTGTCACCGCGGGAGTACCATGTTTCAAATGCCGGGGCAGTCCCAAGGGCTACCCGACGGTGTCGGCGACAGACCGACTGAGTCGGCGAGGTGCGCGGGCGGCTGCAAGCGCGGGCGTCGCTGGAATGGCAGGACATTGCCATCGTCGATCAGCTCGGTTGGGCTCTGGCGCTGCGAGGGTCTGACGGAAGTGCGCTGCGGAGGCCGTGGGAGCTGGTTTGTGGGCACCAAGGGCGTGGGAGGCATGGGAGGGACCACCGCGCCGTGGCATACCGCGATACGAAAGTCCCTACACGACTCGAAGAACAAGGACATCGGGCCTGCCGTCAAGTTCGTGAGCCTCGCGACTGTGCGGGACGGCAAGCCTCGATGCCGCACCGTCGTCTTCCGCGGCTTCTTGGAGCACAGTGACACCGTGACGTTCGTGACGGACGCACGCAGCGCAAAGGTTAGATCACGCACACAGCCTCTGCACGTGCGACGTTCCAGGCAGCGCGCGCACAGGCAGTCATTGTGGGCTCAAGCGGCAGCAGGCTGGCGTTGCGCGCGGCCCTTCCCGCGCCCGTGTTGGGACGGATGCCGCCGGATACTTCATGTCTGGAGGTCGCCCCCCGTGCGAAAGCACAGCGCTCTCCGCGGACCTATTTCGCGCCCAGTCCACTACAGAGCAGAGAGGCGTCCGTTGCGGTCTGCAGGTTGAGGACGTGAGGAGCAATGACTCCGTGGAGATGTGCTGGTACTTTGCGGGCACGCGCGAGCAGTACCGGCTTCATGGCACGTGCAAGATCGTAGACAGCGCAGAGCAGGATGCAGCGTTGGCTGGTGCGAGGCAAAAGGTGCGCAGCTGCGCCAAAAACGGGCTCGGTTAGACGAACGTTCGACACACCGCCATCTCCTTTGCCTCCCTGGGACCAGACGGCCGCGTCGGGGGCCACGCTGCCCTGTGCCGCGAAAAGTACCTGACCTGCGGCTGCCTGGCCGGACGCTTGGCGGGCGCCGCGACGCGGTCGCGGCTCCATCGTCGCCCCGCGCCCTCGGCCGGTCTGCACCAGCGTTGCGTTTCTCTGCACACTGCGCTGCGACGCGATGCGCGGCGAGCGCTGGTGCGAGCCTGCAGGCCTGGATGAACATGTCGGACGACGCAAGAACGCAGTTCGCGTGGCCAGCCCCGGGCACTCGGAGGGACGACAGCGGCGCGTTCGTCGTGGAGCGGGGGGAGGTCCACATCGACAAGCCGCTCGACACGTTCTGCCTGATGTTGATGGACGTGCAGGAGGTGAGCCGACCCGGCGCGCTCCCGGGCGCGAGCTGGCGGGGCCCGAGCGTCGCCGTGCTCTGCGCGCGCGACTGCGGCACCGCCGTGACGCGTGTCCGGCGCCGGTGGCTGCAGGTCGACTACGTGGCGCTGTTTGAGAACAAGCGCAAGGTGTTTCGGAGAGAGATCGGGGAGCTCGGGAAGGGCTGGCGAGAAGAGGACGTCAATCCGTAGCGCCGGGGACGCGGCCGAAGCCCCCCGCGGCGCCACGGTCGCCTCGCAGAATGGGCATGAACACGTGGGCAGCCTGGGGGGCTCAGAGGGCCCTGGGCGAGGCGCTGGGAGCTCGTGCCGCCGTCATCCCCGCATCCTGGAGCGCGGTACGACTCGACAGCTCGCGATTGGCTTGATTATTACGTCACGCGCTGTGCGGGCGGGCCATGAGCCTGCCAGGCTGGCACTTGTGCATGGAGTGATGACTTGTCAAGATGCCCTGCCGACCGACTCAATCACATCAGCGCGCGCACCACCCCGCGGAAGCGTATCGTCGCGCTACAACAGCCCCATGCTCAGCCGCGTCAAGGACACAACTCTCTGCTCCAGCAAGTGGTGGTGGCTGGGCGACGCGTCCCCGCGCGCCCCCGCGCCCGGGGCCTCGCGCTGCGCCTCGCCATCGTACTCCGACGGCAGCGCACGCGCCGCCGGCAGCGTCTCAATCGCCCCCGGCTCGCACACCCGCGCGGGCACCCCCCCGCGCCGAGGCACATCGCCGTCCTCCGCGCCGCCGCGCTTGGCGCCGCCAGCCCACCCCGCCGTCGCGACGCGCTCTTTCAGCGTCGCGAGCAGCGTCGCGCGCTCCTCCCGCAGCGCGCGGATCGCGGCGTCCCGCGCGCGCAGCTTGGACGCCAGAACCCCTGCCAGGGCCTCGTTCTCGGCGCTCGCGGACGCCCGCGCCGACTCCGCCTCGCGCTCCGCGGCCGCGAGCTGCGCCTCTGCGCGCCCCGCCTGCCGCTTGGCCGCGTCCAGCTGCCCCCGGAGCGAGCGCACCTCCTCTGCGCTGCGCGTCTCTGCGTCGCGCACCGCCCGCTCGAGCCCGTCGTGCGCCGCGCGCTCCGCCTCGCGCGCCGCCTCGACCTCCTCGCGCAGCCGCTTGCACTCGCGCGCCGAGCGCTCGCCCGCCACCTCCGCGGCCCGGCGCGCTGACTCTGCGTCCTCCACGCGCCGCGTGGCCTGCAAGAGACGCTCCCGTGCGTCCGCGAGCTCGTCCCGGACCGCCTGCATGGACGCGCGGGCCTCCGAGCGCGCTGCAGCGATCCGCGCCTCCGCGTCGTCCGCGCGGCGCGTCCGCACCTCCCGCGCCAGCCGCGCAACGAGGCTCTCGCGCTCGTCCCGCAGCGCCGCGATCTCCGCAGCGACCTCCGCGGGCAGCTCGAGGTCCGCAAGGTCGCCCCCGCGTGCGCCGTGGTGCGGCGCGTAGCCGCCCGTCACCATGGGCACCAGTGCCGCTGCCCGTGCCTCGGCAAACTGCAAGCGCCTCCGCAGCGGCGCGAGCGCGCGCTCGAACCGCGCCTCCGCCTCGGACGTGAGCCGCTCCGCCGCGCCTTGCGACCGCGTCAGCGCCTCCCGCAGCGTCCGCGCCTCGGCCCGCGCGCCGCCCTCGCGCTCCCGCGCCACCCCCAGCTCGCCCTCCAGGCCCGCAGCGCGCTGCTCCGCCGCCCGCGCCCGCTCCTGAATCTGCCGCAGCCCCCCGGTCGCCGCCTCCGTCGCCTCCGCCGCACGCCGCGACGCCTCCGCCAGCGCCTCGGCGCGCGCCTCTGCAGCATCGCGCGCGGCCTCCGCCTCCGCCACGCGCGCGCGCGACGCCTCGAGCTCGTCCGCCAGCGCGCGGCACCGCGACTCGAGCACGTCCGCCTGCCGCGCGCTCTCCCGGTGCGCCCCGAGCGCGCGGTCGCGCTCGTCCAGCAGCTCCTGGATGGCGTCGGTGGCCTCCGCGTGAGCCTCGCGCAAACTCTTGGCCTCCGCCGCCGCGCTCATCCCGGCCTGCTCCGCCGCGAGCCCCGCCGCGGCGAGGTCCTCGAGCTCCTGCGTCGCGCGCGCGCGGTCCAGCGCCCACGCCGCTGCCAGCAGCAGCG